TCTTTGGCATTGTTCGAAAGTGTGGGGATCTCCACAGCGAACACATCTCAACTTCGATCTACAATGAGCAATGCCATGACCAAACATTTGGCATCTGTAACACCTGGGAACGAGTGGGATATATAACGAGACTCTGAATGTCTGAAAAAACATAGAAACCTTTTCTGGAAGTTCTGAGTTAAAAGTCAAAATGACACTTCTAGTCGGAAAGTACTCTGGCTGCAGATTTGTTTCGTTTTCATTTCCTTTGTTTTCTTTTCTTTTCTTCATGATTCTTTTAACTGCTATTACTTTTTGGCATTTCAGCTCTTGTTCTATCTCTTTCTCTGTCATGTCTACCGGGATCCCTGAAATGACTCCTTTTACACCCACGATCTTCTCTTGTACTTTAACTGGAATGTTACCGATTGATTGGATTTGGTTAAGGTTTCGATGTTGTTTTGGGGTCTTGCACTGAACAAGAATTCCGGAGTACGTGTGTTTGATAAACTCAATCATGGGTGATTGGCCCACACATTCTTTGATTGATGTAGCTATTGCTTTAGGGGTTACGTTCTTTAAGGATTTGGTCTTATCTATTGGGACTATCAGGGTTTTCAAAAGTTGGGTGCTAGTATGGATGGAAGTGGTGCGGTTAGAGGAGGGGGTTTTGTAGTCAGTATTTCGTGAGGTGTCTGAATCTGAACTGTTCGAGGAGTCCGTTCTGAGGGAGATAGATTCTACAGTCAGACTTCCTTCACGTTTTCGTTTATTTTGGCGTTTCTTGCCATACGTGACTGTCCGAAACTCCTCGTCCAGGTTGAAACTGTCGACCTCCGGAGCGGAAGTCGACATGATTGGGTGTTAGGGGGAGGCGGGAAAATCAAATCCCGCCGTGCGTGTGTGTTAGAGGGTGCGTATAGAAAGCCCAAATTTTGTTTGCCTACCCTATTCTGTATAATCCAATTCACCACGCTTATGGATCCAATATCCTGAACATATATGCAATGAAACCAACTTCCAGAAGAAAAGTATAATTTTCCAGTGAAGATATGAAATTTTTCCCGAAAAGTTGACCGGATTGAGAGAGCCTGTGAAAAACACGTCCACGCAGCGCGAGGGCGCTATAGTTGACCTGATAGTTGGCTCATACACCTATATATATAGAAAACATACATGCTATTTCTAATTGGTTAGTAATCGTATAATCAATATATCTATTGCTAAAACGTGAATGTAAGTGTGATCTGACAAATAATCTATTGGTCAATAATTTCCAAAGAAAAATACAATCACAAAATTGATATGTGCATTAATTGTCATAATTTGCTTAACAATTAATCATGATAAATGTATTTTTCTGTGAGACGTGTAGAGTAATAATGAATATTCATGAGATACGTATTGCAGGTTAATTTTAGCATGCTAATCGAAAAGGCAGGCTAACATAAATGAAGGTTTCTATTGGTTTCTATTGGTCCCATTGGGTTCAATTAGTCTTATTGGTTTATATTGGTCCTATTGTTCCTATTGGTAGATCTATTGGTCTTATTGGTTTCAATTGGACCAATTGGCCCCATTTTACTCTAATCGGGATTTCAATTGGTTTCAATTGGACCAATTGGCCCCATTAGATATTTCAAATGGTTTCAATTGGACCAATTGAATGTATTATTCTGTTTGTTTGTATAAATGCATCCCCCAAAAAAATGATTACAAAAAATGTAACATGCCATATATGTAATGAAACATGTGAAATATGAAAATAAACTGAAATTGAAACTGAATTGGACCAATTGAAGTCCAAAATAGGGCCAATTGGTCTAATTGAAACCAATTGAGTTCCCATTAAAGTCTAATGGGGCCTAGGCCAATTGGTCCAATAGGGCCAATCTAGACCAATTGAAACCAACTGAAGTCCTATTAAAGTCCCAATGAGACTAATTAAAACCAACTGCAAAAATTAAAATTAAATTGGTGTTCAATTGGATTTTTGTCTTGGGATGCCTCCCCAAGCGCTCGAAACCTCGCTTGCTCGGCTTTGAACCTATTTTTGTTTAAACTCTTGAATCACCCCTGATATGTAACATTAAACGTGCATGTGAAAAATAACCTGCAGGCTACAGTACATGTAAAAAGCAATAACAGGTTAAATTTGTGTTCTAAACCTGCTCAGAGGACATTTCTTCAGATTGCAGGTTTAACAAATTATGATAGAAATTTACATGCTAAAGATTAAAGTGCATCTCATCTGGCATGCTAAAGATATAACCTGCTAAAACTGTATTTTGCAAAACGCATGCTAATTTTAAACTGCAGGCTGAGATTTAGCCTGCTTAAACTGTAAGACTGTGTTTTGCAAAATGCATGCTAATAACAGGCTAAAATTTAACCTGCTAAAACTTGTAAGACTGATTTTGCAAGATGCAGGCTAAAATTTAACCTGCTAAAAAATGTAAGACTGATTTTGCAAAATACAGGCTAAAATTTAACATGCAATAGAATAATTAGCATGTATTTAAGATTGCAGGCCAGACGCAGGTTCAAAGCAGGTTAAATAAGCCTGCGTTTTCGGTAAGGGGGGGGGGGCTGCATTATTTATACCAAAACTTGAAACCAACGCCTTTTTTTGTAGAATTTTTTTGAGGCAGCATACGCATGCAGGAATTACCCGCATGCAGGCCCCCTCCAAAAATAAAGAAAGAAGGCGATTCTTCACCTCACTTCTACTAGGCTAGGCCCTTACGTTAGATCTAGCTATTTATAAAGTCTTTGACTTTCAGGAGTAAAATATAATTATCTGATTATGATAAGTATAACTATAAGTACATCTATATGTAGATCTAGCTACAGTAGATATAGATCTAGGTCTAGTTTACTCACTAAATCAAATTGGATATTCTACTCGGAATGAATAATGATAATACAGTAGATATAGATCTAGTTTGATTAGTTGAATATTCGATTAGTTGTACTCACATCACTCAATCAAATTGGGCAGTACAATCATGCAATGCAGTGCAGCGACCCGGTACGGGCGCCGAGTCAGTGAATTCAGTCAGTTTGAGTTTATCCTTTCTCGTTTTCGTGCCTGATGTCTATTTGCTTATCGTAAACCAAAACGCCCTCTGTCGTCCGTTGAGGGTCAGTTCGTACGATGATGTGATGTCTGTTTGAGTTTATCCTTTCTCGTTTTCGTGCCTGATGTCTATTTGCTTACCGTAAACCAAAACGCCCTCTGTTGTCCTTTGATGTCCTTTGATGGTCAGTTCGTACGATGATGTGATGTCTGTTTGAGTTTATCCTTTCTCGTTTTCATGCCTGATGTCTATTTGCTTACCGTAAACCAAAACGCCCTCTGTTGTCCTTTGAGGGTCAGTTCGTACGATGATGTGATGTCTGTTTGAGTTTGTCCTTTCTCGTTTTTGTGCCTGATGTCTATTTGCTTACCGTAAACCAAAACGCCCTCAATTGTCCTTTGATGGTCAGTTCGTACGATGATGTGATGTCTGTTTGAGCTTTATACAAATATATTCAGCTGCGCTGGATTTCAATATCTGTTGGACTGTTTCCATAAACGGATATTGTTGTGTCATCCGCTAGCATTTACATGTAAACATTCCCTTTACTTATATGCGTATATGCGTGGGAAGATCGTTTATCATGACTGTAAACAGGAGGGGCCCCAAGGATTGAACCCTGAGCCACTCCTGTGTTGACATTCATGATGTTTGACTTTTTATTTTGCAGTGAAACATATCGTTTCCTGTCATTAAGATAGAGTAAGACATTTATCAGAATAGCCGTAGTTAGCTAATTTACTTTATTATGAGAATACGGTGATCTACCATGTCAAATGCTTTTCGTAAGTCAATAAGTGCTAATCCATTCACATACCCCTTATCAACATTCAATGCTAATTCATTGAATCGACCATACAGGTGAGGGCGGTCTCATATGAATGATTAGGTCGAAAACCGAACTGTTTGGGGTTAAGTAGTCGTTTTTCTGACAGATATTCCAGGAGATTCATATTCACTGCCTTTTCTATTATTGTGGATAAGACGGGGAGAATGGCTATCGGCCTAGTATAAATAGATACTTGAAATCTATCTCCACTCTTAAAGATGGGTTGTACTCTTTGCTATTTTCCATGCAGCAGGTACTACTACACACGTTGTCAGTGACAGATTGTATAAATACGTCAGAGTATCTATGACAATGTTAATTTATGTTACAAATATATTTAAAAATCTTAACACTTAATCCATCATTCCCTGTAGCCTTTAGTTATCGGAAAACCCTTAATTTCTTTCTGTACAAATTTGCTATCAATGACTGGCAGATCAAACAATTCTCTGCGTTCCGACAGACTATCTTCAGCTGTACTGCATTTTGTGGTTATCACTTCATCACTTGATGCACCAAAATTGTTGTTTAATCTTTTCACAGCACATTGAAATAATTACTGAAAATGTTTGCTACTTCTCCTGAATCAGTTATATTTCATTTCTCGAGAGTAACGTTATCTTTTCAGAAACGTCTGCATTTGTTAAGATGTCAGTCAGTCACTCAATAGTGTCTGACAGTGAATTTAAAGTCTAGGAGGTTAACATGTTTCCTTGCATAATTTGAATGCTAATGTTTAAATTTCACAGATAGGACATACATGTACATGACATATTCATAATTCAAAGTTCTACAGAATTCGACGTTGGCTGCAAAAGGGACATAGCATCATACCGTCATGGATATCTCCATGATACCGGTAATGGGCTGTTCAATGTTGGTGAACTCGCATCCAACATTTGTTTATGTGGTGATTTTCTGGACACCCCTGTAGGTGAAGTTGATGCTTCCAAGTCATGCCAGCTCCTCCAATGTATCTACTCCAAGTGGGTCTACTCCATTAATAACGGGGTGGCATAGTTTCAAGATGCAGCTTGTGGTTGACGATTCTGAGTCCATATAGCAATCCTTCATAACTTCTTTTGTGTGTGATTTTCTGGACACCCCTGCAGGTGAAGTTGATGCTCCCAAGTCATGCCAGCTCTTCCAATTGCCAGTGGGTCTACTCCATTAATTACGGGGGTGGCATAGTTTCTGGTGACAGTATCAAGGTTCAGATCAGGCTGAAGGATAACTGCTGCGCCATGCTTACAACTCAGGCAACCACAAAGGTATTTGTTGATAACGGTTATTAATTTGCTGTAAATAGTTCACTTTCCTAAAGCTAAGTACAAAATTGAGTACCTGTTTACATTAGGAATGATTGCATGTCAACTTATTAACCCAGTGTAGATTAGTGTCATAGGCCTGATAAAAACCTGATTTAAATTGGTTTCCTGATTATTTGTTTTCCCAATTTTTTTCTGATTATTTTGTTTAATTATTTTTTTTACCTGATTTTTTTCTCTCCTGATTTTACCCTTATTTTCTCTATTCTTCCTTATTTTCCCTATTATTTCCCAATTTTTCTTACTCAAAAGGGGGGGGGGGGGGGGGGTCAAGTTTTATGAAATGGAGCCCAGCTAGGACCATAGTGTACTGAGAGAGATAGTTGCGACACACGCCCACTCAAAGGTCAGTTCATGCCTTCATGGAGCTCAGAATAATTCCGTCCCACGTACAATCTCTATGGGAGAGAACTGTTTGGAGCCCCACCAAATGACCTTTGACCCCATTTGTGTGAGCATGCCACAACTATCCCCCTGTCCACACACAACATTTTCCGTGATTAGGCGTGATTAGCTATACCGTTTCGCGATAGTTATACGATGAAATTGTGTGTGTGGACGCTCACTAACGATACGTCGTATAATGAAACGTAGGTTTGGGCATCGTTTCGAACTAGAACTCAGTAAAGAATCACGCCTAATCACGGAAGGTGTTGTGTGTGGACGTAACTAGTGTAACTAAGTGGGCGGGGCTTAACATGACCTCTCGCGAAAGGAGACCTGACCTCTCATTTCCGCTTCCATTTCATGACCGCAGTTGGAAACTGCGCACCTATATGGCATTTCGCTGTAGAGTTTCAGGATTACTATCTTCTGTGTGTGGACATCCTGGAATTTATATGATGATTATTTATACAACGTTTCTTGTGTGTGGACACTCTGAAATTTATACGATGATTCTTTATACAACGTTTCGTTATAGAGTTTCGGGATAAATTGTTTTGTATGTGCCTATGTGGACATGCTGTATCTCTCTCAGTGCACTATGCCCAGGGGGTGTGTTTCACAAAGATCCTAAGTTGAACTTATCTCTAAGTTGGACTTAACAATTTTGGAAAGCTATTAGCTAGCATCTCTGAAAATTTTCACCATGATCAATTTCAATGTCCTCCTGGCTATTATTCTAGGCTTTAGCGTCTGCCTGACTGATTCACAACTGTGCACCATCTATCAGTCAAACCAAGAAGCTTCATTTGGGCAAGCTTTTGTCCGAAAGAACTACATAAAGACTAGAATAGCCTATTATGCAAATAGCCATTCAACTTTTCAACTTGAACTGTTCAAAGCAGGGGACATCAACCCCAACCCTGGACCAACTACAATTGACAGTGACACCTCACAGAAATGTAAACAGTTGTACTACCCTCAACGGACAACTTTCACTGGTTCAGAACTACACCGCTTAAAGAACATCGCTGGTTATCAGCGACTTCCAAGTGATGTATATGACAAAGTGAAAGCCCTAGGTATTAGTTGCAAACCTCCAACTAAAAGGGGTACCAGGGGAGGTGTTAAGACGAAAGCCTGGTTAAGGAGTCAACTTTCTGGAACACGACTCGGACCAGTTGTTGATGGAAATGATGAAAGAAAGAAAGTTGCTCACTGTCCGATTCCAGTTTGTGTTCGGCCCCACACTCGAAATTCGTACACGCATGAAAGGCGGAATGGTGTTAACTTCGAGAATCTTAAACTTGTAGAGACTCTATCAAATGCTCCGTCACCTGTAGCACTTCATCTATGGAATGCCAGATCTGTGAGGAATAAAACCACTGAACTATATGACTATGTACTTCAAAATGATGTTGACATCATGGTCATTACAGAGACATGGCTCCGTGAAAGTGATCCTACTGTCATAACCGAATTGTCGCCACCCCGATTTTTCCTTTCACAATGTTGCTCGTCATGGTGATGCTCATGGAGGTTTGGGTTTTCTGTTTAGAACTCACCTAGATCTCAGACTGAAGCAGATTGAATTTTCCCCTAAAACTTTTGAATTTGCCTGTGTTGTAGACAGGTGTGAACAGTATCGTATCATTGCCGTATATAGGCCTCCACCTTCTACGACTAATGGCTTTACAGTAAAGGCCTTTCTCGATGAGATTGATGAATTCTTAGGCTTATGTTCAATGTTGGGCAGTCGCGTCATCATTCTCGGGGACTTCAATGTACACGTTGATAAGGCACATCTACCGACCCCACGCCAGTTTCTGGAATCAGTCACTTCATCTGGCTTCTCCCAGCTCGTTGAAGAACCTACTCATGATGGTGATCACACGCTGGACTTGGTCATTACGAAGACTGGAGATGACATAGTCTGCAATTACAACGTCATTGACAAAGGCATGTCAGACCACTTTGTAGTGCGTTGCAATCTGAATATCCAGACACCCCCTTCGAGTACTGACAGAGTGCTTATCAAATCCAGAAACTATCGCCAGATTGACAGTGAGAAGTTTCTAGCTGATCTTTCATCACGTTTTGCGGATTTTCCGGAGAGTGATGTAAACGACATGCTGACTTCCTTGTATGGTGCTGTCCAGGGAGTGCTGAATCAACATTGCCCAGAAACGACGCGAAGACGGAAACAAAGACCATGTGCTCCGTGGTATGATGACAGTGTGATGGCAAGTCGACAACTAAAGAGAGCGCTGGAGTCAAAATGGAGAAAATCCAAACTTGTTTCGGATCGACAGAATTACATTAATCAAAAGAATAAGCTAAATGTTATCATTCGGAAAGCTAAGCGTAATTATTACACAAATGTTATTCTTGAGTCTAACTGCAGGAATATGTTTTCAACAGTCAGTTCATTACTGGGTCGTTCAAAGCATGTCCTCCCAGTGTCCGATGAACCGCTTCGCCTCTGCAATGATTTTGCCAATTTCTTTGAGGGCAAGGTTAGGAGTATCAGACGGTTACTTGATGCACATCCACCTAATCAGCAAACAGTGTGGACTGTTCCAGATCCGGATAATGTTCCTCCTCTTGGTCCAGTAGCGGATGACGACTTACTGCTGGCTTTAACACCAGTCAGCGATGAAGATGTGAAGAGGGTCATAAAGAAGTCTGCAAACAAGTCCTGTGACCTGGATGTCATGCCAACCTGGCTGCTTAAAGCTAATTCAGAGGTAATGGTACCCGTTATCACGTCAATCATAAACTGCTCGTTAGTGAATGGAGTTTTCCCTGACAAACTTAAATATGCAATAGTTTTTCCTCACCTGAAAAAATCTTCGTTGGATTCTTCGGAACTTAAAAACTATAGGCCTGTATCTAATCTTGCTTACATATCCAAGGTGATTGAGCTCGTGGTGTCCTCAAAACTGACAGCCCATGTCGAAGAGCTTAGCTTACAAGATGAATTTCAGTCGGCATACAGGAGACATCATAGTACTGAATCTGCACTAACCCGTGTTAGAAATGATATTCTATGTGAAATTGATAAAAGGCGTGGTGTGATATTAGTTTTATTAGATTTAAGCGCAGCCTTTGATACCATTGACCACGGGTTTTTGATTGATAGGCTTTCCTCAGAATTTGGAATACGTGACACGGCTCTGCAGTGGTTTCGGTCGTATCTTAACTGTCGGACCTATCGGGTTCGCATAGATAGCACTTACTCTGATGTTCATACTTTAGATTATGGAGTTCCACAAGGGTCCGTACTCGGCCCGCTCCTTTTTACGCTATACGTCAAACCTTTGGGAAGAATTATTAGTCGCTACGGTCTTAGATATCATATGTATGCTGACGACACACAAATATACACAAGTTTCAACCCCAAAAGTCTTGCAAATTTTCAAGAAGAAATAAGTAAACTGGAACAATGTATCTCTGAAATTAGTATATGGATGACCTTAAATAAACTCAAACTGAACGAAGGAAAGACGGAACTACTGCTGGCCATGTCACCAAAGCTTAGACATCACTTACCGCGTGATATAAGTATAAACATAGGAAATGGTAGAGTACAAATGTCTGACAATGTCAAAAACTTAGGTATTTTCTTTCAATCTTCAATGTCCATGTCTAAACAAATTACTGCTTTGTGTAAATCGCTTAACTTTCATTTGTACAATATTTCTAGAATCAAGAATCTGTTGACCTCTGATGCGTGCCATCATGTCGTAAGATCATTAATCCTCAGTAGAATAGACTATGCCAACTCTCTTCTTTTGAATGCTAATGTGACAGACATTCAAAGATTACAACGAATCCAAAATCGTGCTGCCCGGGTTGTTTTGGGAGGGAGCAGGTATGAATCAGCATCTCCTCTACTTAAGCAATTACACTGGTTAACCGTAAATAACAGAATCATATACAAAGTTTCCCTAATTGTCTACCAATGTTTGAATAATTGTGCACCAATGTATCTGTCTGTGCTTCTACATACTCCTCCTAGACTTCAATACAACCTCCGCTCTTCTAACGACCCCACGCTCCTCCGATTACCACGTATCAATTCAAGATCGGGGGAGTGTAGTTTCTTTTATTATGGCCCCAAAATTTGGAATACCCTCCCTTTCGACCTCCGTACCTCTCCCTCAGTTGAAATTTTCAAGAAAAAACTAAAAACGTACCTCTTCAATAAGTAAATTGTAATTCTAATATTTTTGTTTGTTATTATAATTACTCTTTTATACATGTATTATCTTGTGTTTACTATGTCATTATTTCTGTAAAGCGCTTCGAGCAATTCGTTGGATGTTGCGCTATATAAAAGACAACTGTATGTATGTATGTATGTAAAATATTTTATAAAAGTTATTTTAAAAGGCATAAAATGCTGATTCAAATCATTCATATTTTCTATTATGAAGGAGCATGTTCTTGATGTGGAATTTATGAACAATCTAAAATAATACTCAAATTTTTGCTTTTTAATATATTTTATTTTAGGGCTCAAATGGCTCCCCATAATGTTAAAGTCCATCTTAGAGATAAGTTTGACTTAGGATCTTTGTGAAACACCCCCCGGACTACCCGAATGGTTCCACTTTCACTGTCAATTGTAACAGTTTATCACAGTGAAGAAGGCCAGGTCAGTTTGCAGACACTGGAAGGTGTTGTCGAGAGTGGAAGCGTCCTGGCTGTTCTACAGGACCCCGTCACATGTTTTGCTAATGCCAGATACAGACAGACACAGGTAAGTCAGTCCCTTGGATAGGCATTAAATAGAGGTCCCATGTTTGTCTTTCCAGACCCTGTCACATGCTTTGCTAATGCCAGATACAGACAGACACAGGTAAGTCAGTCCCTTGGATAGGCATTAAATAGAGGTCCCATGTTTGTCCTTCAAGACCCCGTCACATGCTTTGCTAATGCCAGATACAGACAGACACAGGTAAGTCAGTCCCTTGGATAGGCATTAATAGAGGTCCCATGTTTGTCCTTCCAGACCCTGTCACATGCTTTGCTAATCCCAGATACAGACAGACACAGGTAAGTCAGTCCCTTGGATAGGCATTAAATAGAGGTCCCATGTTTGCCCTACAGGACCCCGTCACATGCTCTGCTAATCCCAGATACAGGCAGACACAGGTCAGGCCAAACCTGTCCGTCCCTGAGATGGAATGTTCAATATCCGATATGTTGGAAAATCATCTGTAGTGACTTCGACATAAGTATGTGACTCCACCTTCTCTTTACCAAAACAAGTAAACATTGTCACATTAATATACATTGTACTACCGTATACAGTATCTGAAATACTCTTGTACTCCACCATATGTTTATGTGTTAATTTAAATTGGCTACAGTGTGTGCATTTTAAGCAGGAATTCGTCTAGGGTGTATCATAAATGGGGGGGGGGGGTAATTTATTACACTTTTACTTTAAACTTGAAAACCCTAGATTTGCAGCAGAATAAGACTTTAAGAGTTTGATTTCTGAATCAAGTAAAGTAGCAAATGTGCTTCCATTGCTTTCAGTGTTCATTTGAATGTTTTGTGCTGCAGTTAATTCACGACACAGTCCAGTGACGGATTTTCAAATTTTTGAGGGCAAAAAAAAAATTAAAATAGTGCTCACCCCCCCCCCCCCCCCCCCCCCCCCCCCCCCCCCCCCCCCCCACTGAGTGCATCTTCGGCCGGCACGATTTTCAAATTTTTCGGGAGCAAAAAGAAAAACAATTGGGCCCCCACTCCTAAGAATTCCTGGATCCACACCTGACATTCCCACATATATGTTTGGCCCCGTGAGTGAAATATTGCCAACACTGACCTAAAGTAGCAAATGCGCTTCCATTGCTTTCGGTGTTCATTTGAATGTTTAGTGCCGCAGTTAATTCACAACACAGTCCAGGGGGGTGCAAATTTTTAAGGGCCCCCCCAAAAAAAATGTGCTCATTTTCGGCCGGTGCGATTTTCAAATTTTAGGGAGCAAAAAAAAATAATAATGCTCACTACCCCCCCCCCCCCACCCCCCACTAAGCACATCTTCAGCCGGCACGATTTTCAAATTTTCGGGAGCAAAAAGAAAAACAAGAATTTCTGGATCCACGCCTGACACATTCCCACATATATTTGGCCCCGTGAGTGAAATATTGCTAACACTGACCTGTTACAGACCTGCCAACCAGTACGATTTAGCCGTATTTTGTACGATTTTTAGAAGCAAACACGACAGTACGATTTTCAAAAAAAAAAAAAAAAAAAATATTTTGTGTGTGCGTCCGCCATTTTCAATGGCAAATTGTCCATTCTGTCCTGTAAAGTATTCTACAAGCATCTCACATCGGCAATTTGGGGATGTTTATTGGTTCATCGAACACACCAGTCATGGCGAAATAATGCATATTCAAACAATGATCAATAAAAAAATTCTTCCTGTAGGTAGAAACTGTAAGAGGCATTGATCCGCGTAACAATCCGTGTTTATTTTCAAGAATACAACTTTTGTCAGTAAAATACAACTTTTGACACTAAAGAAAACAGTTTTTGAACTCCAGAGGTTGGCAGGTCTGCCTGTATATTCACCCACCTAATTATTTCTTCAATGATCCTTACACTGTGTATTTGATGTACAGACCTTTGATGTGAGTGAGGATGGTAACCTGGTGTTCATGGATTGGCTGACTGCAGGAAGAATCGCCAGAGGAGAACGATGGGATTTCACCAGGTATTGAAGATGTTTTTGATAGTTTAATTGCTTCTAACCCTGCTTTCATCATCATCAATTTCAGGTGGCGCTGTAAAGCGCTGCTGTGGTCTTCACGAGAGCACGCCTTGCAACTCTTTCACCTGCCATTTGTGTTGCACCTTTCATTCCTTGTCCAGACACTTTCTTGATATCATCAGTCCAAGATATTGGTGGACGACCTCTTCCACGTTTTCCTTTGACTGCTCCTTGCAGTATTTGCTTCTCAACACCTTCAGATCTCCTAACAATGTGCCCAAAATAGTTTAGTTTTCTTTCCATGATTCCCCTTCTGATGGTCATGTCTGTTCCAATCTTTTCCGGGACCCAACCATTTGTCTTTTTATCTTTCCATGACACCTGCAACAGCCTCCTGTAGCACCACATTTCAAAGGCATCAACTCTCTTTCTGTCATTCTTTGTCATGGCCCATGACTCACTTCCGGAATTCTATTGAAATTCATCATACAGCTAGCTGTATGAAAATCAAATAGCTATATGATAAATAATTACATTTTCCAAGTCTGAACGACTCCCAGGTTCGAAACCAAGCAGATGTGTTAGTGCCCTTTGGTAAGGCGTTAATCCTCATTACCACGTCCCTCGCAGAGGAGTTATAAAAGCCATACTCTCATTGGGTTGTTTATTTACATATTACAAGCATGCACATGCTTTCTTAGTAGTTAGGTAAAACGAACAAACCGTCATTATCATCTGTAGCTTTGCTCACACGGTACAGTCGTAGTTTTCAAGCCCGTCTGCACTAGTTTTGCCAGGGGGATTAGACCTCCCTGCAAGGTCACTGACAGGTGGTTATCTCATCAAATCAGCTTTCAATTAACATAAGAAAAAGGAGATCATGGGGGACCATTAGGCACCGATTAGGCATTGTTTGCTATAGAGGGCGCAAGTAGCTATAAGTAGTGCAGTGGGGCTTTAAACCAAAGTTCAAAGTTAAAAACCATGATCCATTAACAGTGATGAAGGTTCACACAGGGCCGAAATAATGAGTCAGGCTACAGGCCGGGAAAGCGTTTATTTTAACCACAAGCTGGCGTAACCTCAAAATTACTTGTGTCCACACGGCACATTAACTTTGTGTGAGGACCCCCTGCTGCATCGTACATGTAGTTAAAGGGATAGTTGAGTTTTGTTGCAGGGGGTGCTACACAAAATAATTTTTTGTGAGAGTGTCAAATTTGGAAGAACATAATATTTAAATGACAAAACCATCTTTGTTTGATCAAAATTGGTTCAGAGACGGCTCAAATATCCATAAATATTAACGATTTCTAATATTTGTGTACCACCACAAATATTTGATAATTTGAAGCAGCTGTTGAAAAAACAAAATAGCACCTAGCTTTTACGTTGTATTTCAGCCAATGCCGATGTTATTTTTTTTATTGGCTTTTTCGTGTTGGTTATATTACGTACAACCAGCCGGCCCATGTATTGTTATTATAACTTAATTAACTAATTAACGGTCACCATATTTTTTTTTAAAGTGGAGCTGAATTGGTGTGATCGTATTGGCTAAATTTCACACATTTTGGGGCCTCAAATTGCCTTCATAGCAATTTTAGGTCCTAAAATGTCATAGATAAGAATAAGAGCAATAACCAGGCATTTTTAAGGCATTTGTGGTCTGAAAACAGAACAACTACCGGTAGTGTGTCTGCACATTCCCAAGCTACAAGATAACTTTGAAGTTTGAAAGATGAGCTAAACTCATTATTGTGTTCCCTTGTGTATCGGTTGCAGCTATTCCAGTTGCAACTCTGTAACCTACAATGGTAGCCATGTCTTCCGGGATGCAATCTCTCTTGAAAGCACTCCACTCAGCAGCATCAGACAGAGGATGGGGCAGAACACAGTCATAGCCTCCTGTGTCATGCTTGGCCGCAAGTTCAGCGATGTCGGCAAAACCGTGTTGGCAAAGTATGGTGGGATGCAAGACTACGGTAGGATTTCGAATTTCAAGTTTATTTCCCATATTGCAAGAGAAATTAATGTATCGCAGATAAAAGCAAAACATAGCCAACAATGGCATGAAGGTGCAATTATGTACATTAATGAATAACAATATTACGGTATAGTTGCTATCCACATGCATGTAAAAAAACAGAGGTTTTCTGTGTCATGCATGAACGAGCCCAGTATTGATAACTGTGGTTTAAAGGTAAAGACCAGTATTGGAAACGCCCCAATTTCAAAAAATTAAATGGAAGCTCTTATCACTAATCATGTGAAAGAATATGTTTTGACTACCGGTAATACATGATGATAACGATTTTGCCGGGAAACCGCCTTCTAATTGATATATTTGGTAAATTAGTTTATCTATTGGGATGTGAGAGATAACGCACGTGTCACGCACGTGTGCGTAGTCCCATATACATATTTCTGTGTACAGTGCTTGTAAATTTACGAAGACTGGGCCAAATTTCTTATCATTTTGATGATTCCAGAACCTTGCAGTACACACCAATACTTATATGCTAGATGATCAACCTTTTCTGATCGATTCCACAACGTTTCTTCCACAATGCAATCGCTTGACCATAACTGGTCTTTATCTTTAATGATTATCATCTCAATTTGATTCCCCCACAGGTGTGAAGTCGAATGAGAACATCACAGTGGCTGTCAGTCCGATTGAGACGACAGTCGATGGTAAAGAGGTTCCGGGAGTTGTTGTCAAGTTTGCAAGTACATCAGTCAGTCTGGTAAGCGCTCTGCGGTCATTGTCCCAACACTAGCCAAATTAGAAACTTAGGCCGTGGGCCAAACATTCTACTGCTGACCCTAAACCTAACCTAGAACCCAATGGTCACCCTAACTCTACATCAGTGTCAAAAATATTGTTGAGCGTGCCTGAGCAGACCTGCCAACCATTACGATTTAGTCGTATTTCATATGATTTTTGGAAGCAAATTCCTGAATTTAAAAAAATATATTTTGTTAAAATATTTTTTGGGTATTTTGTGTGTGTGTTAGCCATTTTCAATGGCAAAATGCCCATTCTGTCCAGTAAAGTATCCTACAAGCATCTCACATTGGCAATTTGGGGATGTTCATTGGTTCATCGAACACAACAATCGTGACAAAATCGTGCATATTCAACAAATGATTCATAAAAAAAATTCTTCCTGTATGTAGGAACTGTAAGAGCCATTGATCAACTTAACACTCTGTGTTTATTTTTAAGAATACAACTTTTGTCAGTAAATTACAACTTTTGGGATTAAAGAATACAGTTTTTTAACTCAAGAGGTTGGCAGATCTGCCTGAGCTCTTCTTCAGATTACCGAAGCTCGTTTGGAGCTCTTCAAACATCCATGTGTAACAATCACTCACAGCTCCTGTGTAAGTTGCTTTGCTTATGCCTTCGTCTTTGGTGAAATAAACATTTTTCTACAAGTTTATGCATTCTTTGGATGGTCTTTAATAAACAGTCTGATAATTACCCAATTTAAATCGGTTTACTGATTTTTTTTTCTTCCCCCAATTTTTTTCTTTTTTTCTTCCCAATTTTATCCCTATTTCCAGATTTTTCTCTTATTTTCTCTATTCTTCCTTATTTTTCCTTATTTTTTCCCAATTTTCTACCTCAAAAGAGGGGGGGGGGGGGAATGTTGATAGACGCCATTCCCCCCCCCCCCCCCCCCCCCGAATGGTCTCTTTTTTTTTAGTGCTCACTATCACCCCTGAATAAACCTTTGCAAATGATTTGTACTGCCATTGTTTCTTTTTTTTTCAACAGGTGTATTCCAAGGCAGAGGAGATTCTAAGCCCTCTCTTTCCCATGCTGGGTGGGAACCCTTTCCAGGACAAGCACTGAGTAGAAACCACTTCGGTTTCTCGGCTTTGTAGACAGGTTCCTTTAGTACATGTTTCAACGAGAAACAATTTTCAAGGGAAACAAAAAATGTGGTCTTTATAGACAGGTGGTCTTTGTAGACAGGTGGTCACTAAAGCAGGTTTGACTGTAGTTATGGCTTGCTCAGATATGCCATGTGTAAATGAATAGCAACTGTGCACAAACAAAGATCCCGCGCTTATTCACTGAGCTCTGTGACTTATACGGAAATGAGAAGCTTTCTAGATGATTTAATCACAGAATGTGGAGCAACAGGGTATGAAATGCTGAAACGAATGGCTCAAGACCAAGGAACTTGGAGAGACACTTGATATAGAATTTTGAGTGGGTCACTGAACCTGTCATAAACTGACAGATCACTTTTGATGATGATTACTCTTTATTTAAAAAAATATGCGGTTCTTTGCAGGTGTGAATAAATGGCAAATTTGCACAGCAAAGGTCCTATTTTTTTTTTTTTTTATTCATTTAGCTCTGTGTTACATTGTATGAAGTACAGAAATGCAGAGAGTATTACACTTAGGTCATTATAACAAAAATAACTGTGGCAGTTGTGTCGCTTCATATCTGAATGAGGCTTTAAAAACCGTCAATACTACTGGGCCAGAAGGGATTAGACCACACAGTGAGGTCAATGACAGGTGGCTATCTCATTAACTCAGCTCTCAATTTACATAAGAAAAAGAGGATCATGGGGGACCCACAGGCACCGATTGGGGAAGTTTTCTATATAGAGGGAGCAAGTAGCTACAAGTAGGACAGTGGGGCTTTAAGCGTAAAGTAACCACCAACTTTGCCAGATGTGCCAGTATTCATTTAAGCCATACTGTACTGGAAGCACTACCACAAGATCCCCTCTCGCGACATCTCAGGCCATCTCAGATCAGCTGTACGAGTGTGGTCTCGCAACGTGCTACTTCCCTAGCTGCGCTGTTGGTTCTCACATAGAGTCCGCTACCTGTTGGAAGTAGGTATTGGGTTACGCACTGTTGGCAATTAAGTTGACCAAGAGATGGCGATGTGCAATGAACAGTATTTTCTAGGGCAGAAAATTCATCAGTTCAGTATTAATTTTAAGTGTATCATCTCTAATCCAAGTTCAAACCCTAAATGGATACAAGTAGCCTTCTGATTTATAGAGTCAGTACTAACTGTCGACCTTTTGGTCTTGTAAACTAACCTTAAATCTGAAATAAACTGAAGTGCATATTGATAATTTGACAATTTTGATTCCTGACTGTCGATTGTTGACCTTGTCAAATTATTTATTAGGTCAACATTTAGTTCAAGTGTACCAATTACCTGAACAAAATTATTTGTGTATAGATAAAACTTACAAAATTAACCTACTTTACCTGGCATTATATATATATATAGGTAAAGGGTTAAGGTGTATGAAGGAAAAAAAGAACAAAAAAACCCTGTGTATGGGGACGTATAGAACCCAAGTTTGACTAGGGATCCACTGTATAAACATCTACCAAACATTCAGTGCATGTCAATGGAAATATTGTGAAAATATTTTAGTTTTTTATCATGTTTTAAGAGATTTTTCCTTTAATTTTGGGGCAGTCTAATATTGTGTATATTGTAAATTTTTAACAGAACTGCTGCCCATTAATTTTGTTCTATTAAAGGTAAAGACCAGTTTTGGAAACTGCCCCCCTCAACGAATGAAATGGAAGCTCTTTATTACCAATCATGTGAACGAATATGTTTTGACTAATACGTAATGATACAAACTTTCTGAGAAACCGCCTACTAATTTATATATTTGGTAAAATTTTATATCTATTTGGACCTGATAGATATAACGCACGTGTCGCGCATGTGTCGCGTAGTCCCATGTAAATCTTTCTGTGTACAGTGCTTGTAACTTTACCAAGACTGGGCCAAATTTCTTATCATTTTGATGATTCCAGAACCTTGCAATACACACCAATACATATATGCTTGATGATCAACCTTTTTGATCGATTGCACAACGTTTCTTTCACGATGCAATCGCATGAAATACAACAAATAAATAGATATCATTAAAAACCTGAAAGTATATGGTAAATATTAAAGAATCAAGGTAGATGCAGTCACCATTATTATTCATTGATAATTCCTAATTACTGTATAATTTGTCTTATCGCGTTGTATATCTGTCATAGTTTGAGAGAAAATTGGTAAAGTTCAGGAAAAGAGGAAAAATAATTTGTGAGTGTGTAGTCCCATACCAATTTCTGTGTGTGATGGTGCATGTCGCCTTTCAGCAAGATCGAGTGACTTATTTTTGTCTGGTTCTAAAACCTCACAGTATACACCAATTCTTTCTTATGTATGACACTGAAGCACTGCTATTAATTGACGTCATTTTCATGAATATTCATATTCTGATTTAGAGGTGCTGATATTTGTTGATGTATTATATTTTTGATACAGAGTAATTTCAACAAATTTATGCTCCAAATCGCCATTTATTAGAATATAATATGTTAAGGTATTCATGAGTATTTAATTAGATGTGCTACTATTTGTTTATGATTCATATTTTTGATTTACATATATACATTTTTGATACAGAGTATCATCAACAAAATTATATTCCAAATCGCAATTTATTAGAATATACTATGTTATGGTATTAATGAGTATTAGATTTATGTTCTTGTTTAAACTCGTATTGATCATGCATATAGAATGTAAACAATAACCACGTTTTTTATACAATGGTGAATTACCATTATTTTTGTTGTTTCGTGTAACATTAGCATTGTCTTAGACAGTGCTTTGTAAGTTTGCATTTTAGCTTTTACCAATCTGATACCAATAATATTTTCTATCATTGTGAAAGTGCTTCATCAAAGTAACAGTACTCGCTGAATACCGTCTTGATATTCAGCCATATTTTAAAGGACAACATTTGCTTTTTACGTGTTTTAGGAAAAGAATATTTGGATTTTCCTATTTAGTGACAAATTGTGTGATTGTCATTGATTTCATCTCACAGCCTTTTCAAGGAAGTGTGTCCTGTTATTTTCAAGTTGTTGTTTTAGTACACAGAGTTTGTGTCTATAGATTAAATGTACTTTATAAATTTCAGTGAAACTCTTCATTTCTGTATCCTTTTGTAGTTTAATGAAAAACTATCTTGTAATTGTATGATTGAACTTGACTTATAGTATAACTTGAGATGATTGAAAGATGATGAATGCAGCTTTCTAAATTCTAGTGAATGTCTAAAGATTGATTAGAGTGAGAAATTGGTGTATGTTTACATTAATAATCATTACCCTAAAATTACATAGATCCCCCCAAGACTCGTTTTACTAAAGCACAATCAACCTTTCCCAAATTGGTTCCAGTTTGACATTTCTTATTTTTACGGGAACAGCCAGAGAATGATTTTTACGATTTTATGCTAATTGCACACTTATGTTTGTTCCTACCCAATAAATCAAACTGAATTGAATTCTTTCATGATGTAATTAGATAACCAGGGGGGGGGGGGGGGGGGGGTGTTTCACAAAGATCCCAAGTTGAACTTATCTCTAAGTTGGACTTAAATATTATGATAAGCCATTGATCAAAATCATCCATATTTTCTATTATCAAGGAGATTTCATGTTCTTGATGTGGAATTTATAAAAATTCTAAAATACTTTAATTTTTGCTTTTTAATATATTTTATTTGAAGGCTACAAATGGTTCTCCTTTTTTATTCAAGTCCAACTTAGAGATAAGTTCAACTTAGGATCTTTGTGAAACACTCCCCAGGGACCATATTGTGAAAACTGCTTTAGCATTTTTTTGTAGGGAAAATGATGGAATGAGGAAATATAAGTACAGTATGAACTTGTCACTTATTCTATCCCCATCTCCTCTTCTCTCTTCATGACTGTTCTCTTCTGTCCTTCCTTCCATTCTATCTTATATTTCTCCATTTTCTCCCTCCCTCTCTCTCTCTCTCTCCCTCCCTCTCTCTCTCACTCTCTCTCTCTCTCTCCCTCCCCCCCCCTCTCTCTCTCTCTCTCCCTCCCTTCCTCTCTCTCTCTCTCGTAATGGGTTTGGGGGGGGGGGGGGGGAGGAAATATATGTATGAACAGTATGAACTTGTCACTTATTCTATCGCTATCTCCTAGCTCTTCTCTCTTCACGACTGTTCTCTCCCTCCCTCCCTCTCCCTCTCTCCCTCCCTCCCTTCCTCCCTTTTCTCATGAATAAATAACAATCGATCTACGAATCATTACATATGTACAACTTTTCATTTATTTGTATCAACATATTTGCCTTTATCCATTACATCTATGATCAAATCAAAGGAAAAACAAATGATACAAATTGCTCAATATTTCACAAAGTAATCCAAGAAAACATTGTTTACTAAAAATACCCAGCACTTGTACATGTAAAGCCCAGAATCTGGCCGTATCTAATTTTAACAATATCTCCCAACTTGCTGCAAGCTGAAGATGCCGTGATCCTCGAATTCGTCTTCCAGCAGGTAAGGGCGAGATCTCAAAAATTGGAGAGCTTCAAAATAAAAACCAAGCAGATTCTGGACTATACATACAGGGAAATAAGTGTTCCTTTCCCTTAATAGCCCCCACTTCTCTTTCATAACTCACTATAATAAAAACTGGTTTGCCTACTAATTTTTAAAAAGATCGTCAAAATTAATTTATTACAAATCCCTTTTGAACCAAAATGGGAAAAAGTCAAAGATCGGTATCAAAGGTACGATCATGAATTTCATAATATCCAAAATCATCGCTAAGTTTCATACTTACAGAACATTACTGAAAACATTTCCCATCAATCCCAATAACAACAGTGACTTCTTTTCAAAAAGAAATTACATGTTAACATGTTCAACAGCAGGGCATGAACACAGTTTGTGTCATGTTTTGAAACTACACATATTTAGTTTTTATTTCTGGAGTAATAATATCTTTGATAATAATGTGGATGCTAGCTGCAAAGACTGAGCACAGGTAGTCACACAATGTTCAAAAGTCAAAACTGAGGAATGCACTATTCTTGAAATATACATCCATAGTCTGCACATCCAGTCATGTTGGTTTATCCTCCTCCTCCACTTCCTCTGCATTTCATGATTGTTCCAAGCTTTTCCTAGAAATCAAGCTTTTCCTGGACAATTTTTTAACAAAGTATAATTACTGTGTGCACCTTTTCAATACCTTTTCAAGAATAAATACCAGAATGCCAGTTGGTTTCAGCCAATCAACCAGAAAAGAGACTTTGTCATGTTGGGTTCCCACATGTGCAGTACAAAATGTAGCCTGAACAAAAATTACTGTAAATGGGGAGGTGTCTGGCTCTGAAATAAGGCTATGGTCTGAAAAACTAGCATTCCTGATAAAAAATTGTCTCCCTATTTCTATGAAACAAGGCTGTGGTCTGAAAACTGGCATTCCTGATAAAGAATCGCCTCCGTATTTCTATGACACAAATATCTTTTCGTCTTTGCGTTTCCTCTGCATGATTTCTGGCATTCCTGATAAAGAATCGTCTCCCTATTTCTATGAGACAAATATCTTTTCGTCCTTGCGTTTCCTCTGCATATTTTCTGGCATTCCTGATAAAGAATCGTTTCCCTATTTCTATGAGACAAATATCTTTTCGTCTTTGCGTTTCCTCTGCATGATTGTACCAGGTTTGTTCTGGGCGTCGGGATGGCTCGCAAGCTCCGGCGGGCAGGAGGAGGTTGTGCTCGCCGACAGGACGTTCTTAAGATCGTAGAAGATGGCGCTGTCATCAGGCGTTAGGAAGCTGACCGCAGTACCGGTCTTGCCAGCTCGACCCGTTCTTCCTATACGATGGGTGTAGTCTGGAATGATAGAGGATAGATAATAACAACATTGCGCTTTTCTATAGCGCCCAATGCATTGATACAACGATGTGTCTAAGTAAGCGCTTTACAAATATGTTATTATTATGCCGGGCATCGGATTCAGGCTTACCCGCACACAATGTATGCACATTTTCCACTCCCTGGGGAGCATTCCAGCCAGTCGCCATTTGATAAGTGCATCAACATGAACTTTCGCATCCTATACTGGGTACCCATTTAACACCTGGGTGGAGAGTAGCAAGTGCAGGTAAATATCTTGCGAAAGGATATAAGTGTTGTGTCGGGATTCGAACCTCGACCTTCGCATCTCCAGTCAAGCGCCTTAAACCACTCAACCACGACACTCCTGATAAGAAGCATTATAAAACAAACTAGCAGGACCCGCGGAAATCCGCGGGATTCTAGAGGGGGCGGGGGGTGTAAATAGATATATAGAGATCGTCAAGAACTTTATTTGCCATTCAGGCCATTAAAAAAATATACATGTTTAGCGTCCCCGCCCGCTTCCTTTTTGAGGGCCACCTCCTTTTTTTTTTTTTTAAACAGCTTCCCCGCCAGCTTCCTTTTTGGGGGCCGCCTCCTATTTTTTTTTTTTTGAAATTTTGTTGAATTTTTTTTTTTTTTTTTTTTTTTTTGACAGAAAAAAAACAGCGTCCCCACCCGCTTCCTTTCTGGGGGCCGCCTCTCCTATTTTTTTTTTTTTTTTTTGAATTTTTTTTTTGATTTTTTTTTTTTTTTTTTTAAAGAAAAAAAACATGAAAAGCACTGCTAAAATGTATTTCTGATCTTAAAAAAGAAAAAAAAAAAATTGTCGGCCGCCATCTTGAAAAATTGCCTGAATGTCAGGGAAAATGTACTGAGCAGCCATTTTGAAAGAAAAAAAAAAAAAAGAAAAAAAAAAGGGCCTCCTCCTTCCCATTTTTCGAAAACACAGGACGCTAAACATGTTTTTTTTAAAATTTGGCCTTATATAAAAAAAATTAAAAAAAGATCCAACTGTACCGGTAGTTATTCTTTAAGCCACTGGAACTGCGTAGAGTTCCGTAGTGTGGCGTACCGACTACGCAGAAATTAGGCTGCGTATTAATGGGAAAATAGTCCCTGCGTAGGTTATGCGTAGGCTGGCATACAGGTTTGCTTATATGGTTGCTTACTGTGTGGAAAGCTTTTACTGCTTTGACGATCTGGCGTAGGGTAGCATAGTGTTGCGTAAAAAGGCGTACTTTCTGCGTCAAGTTTCTACGCTGAAAGTACGCGAAAAAATTAAACATGTTGACTTGTTTTCGTTCATCTTGCGTACCCCTTTCTGTCCCTCAGCATATAGTAACGTAGGCCAGCGTAGTTGGTAGCAACACTACGCAACTCTACGTATTGACCCCACGCCAATTAGTGACCCGCAAGTGTCACAAATAAAGTATTAAAAATATGCTCATCTGACCCTAATTAAACACCTAAAACCCCCGAGCTTTCGGGGGTTTATGGCCCCTTGAAACCGTGGACCCCACGCCTATATTGTATATACACTCAACTCGCTGCGATCTGATCTCTCCCCCCTCCCAACTTTGAAGAACGTAACCCCCAAGCTTTTGGGGGTTTATGGCCCCTTGAAACAAATATACACTCAACTCAGGGTTTCAGGTTTCCTTCTTCATAATTGCCTATTTAAAAAAAAAAACATTTTTCTAGTTCAAAAAATAAGTTTTCATGCATTGATTTGATGCAAGAACTGTAACATAATAGACCCTAGATTGTGATTATTTCTGACCATAAATTTCGATAATTATTTTTCAAAGTAAAATTTTCACAAGAAAATCAGACAGTCGTTTAAAAACGTAGACATTAGTAATACTTTTACTAATTCTAAGCTCAGGTTTCGTAAATCTATTCACGAAACTATATTGAAATCGCGGCAATAATGATGCAAACCAACAGATAACAATTTCAAAGTGTCAAATCTCTTCGACTCGAGCTCAGCTCAGCTGTACTCACACACACACACACACAGTGTAACTCCAGAAAGCTCGAACACCGGCGCCGCAGGCCTCGGACGCCTTCGGTGCGCGGAGCCGGTGTTGGAGCTTGCTGGAGTTAAATTGCAGCTCACACACACTGCACAGCAGCACTGCACTGACTGAAGGCAGCTTGCGACTGAATTGTCAGTCCAATGGTTTTCTTGTGAAAACTTTCCTTTAGAAAATGATAATCAAAATTTAGTAGCATGGCCGTAATAATCACAAAATAAGCTTTCATTTCATACCTCCATTCACGACACCTATATAAAAATCGCGGCAATAATGATGGAAATAGGTCCCTAAGTTTGGACGTGGACGGGAAGCTTCGTGTGTATCTCTGTGGCTCGTGCAGCTACTATACAATGGATATCCTATAGAAAGATGCTTTACTCGGGTAATCCCGACCCTGTCCGTCGTGCATTTAATACGCAACTTAATGTGAGTGGATAGTCATCGATCGTGTGTCTACGGATGTAATGTTGAATATCCATGAGGTATCTCTGTCGTCACGCATATCCTGCATTATGCATATCGCGTCTGTTTTCGCCCTGGACGTCGACACGGAGGAGGACCTCGGGCGGAGTATAGCCAATTCCACAGAGTAGACTCTCCCGCGGACGATGGCACCGGGCACGGGCACCCCGAGGGGAGGGTTCAGGAGGAGATAGCCGCACCAACTTGGGTCGGCGATCTCATTAAAAAACAATAGAATACAAAGGCTCGCCGAGACGTCGCGCCCCCCGCGGAGCCTTAGCGTATTACTTATATAGATTCTGCAATGCAGGCAATCTCATTGGTCGAATGACACCATGTCACAGTGAAAATTCTTTCTTTACCATGCAAAACAAGTGTCTCATCAATATATACAAATAATTAATGTTCACAAGTACATTTTGCTTACTATATTTCAATGGCATCTAATTAGATGAGGCCCTACCCTTTCTTGATATAAGAAAATTTCCTGAAAGACTTGTGAAATATTCAGTCTGGGAGACTTTTTTCAACGGTAAACTGCTGTTGAGATACACACTGTATATAAAGCAAGTACAGCTGTATGCCAGGGGTGATAGTGAGGACTAAAAAAGAAATATATTTTTTTTTTCCTCAACTCCCTTGAGTAAAAAAAAAGAAGAGGTTCCGGGGAGAAAAAAAATGGCATCGTACAACACTCCCCACTTTTTGAGTAAGAAAATTGGGGAAAATCAGGAAAATTATTTAAAAAAAAAAAAAATTTAAAAACGGGGAAAAAACCCTAAAAATCTGGAAATAATCAAGCCTGCTGTATGCTTACCTTCAATGTTCTTGGCCATATCAAAGTTGATGACGACGGAGACATCTTTGATGTCGATACCGCGACCAGCGACGTCCGTGGCGACTAATATATCCTTGAGGCCCGCTTTGAGGGACGCGAGGGCGTACTCACGCTGCTCCTGAGATTTGCCTCCGTGAAGGGTGGTTGCGTTGAACTAGTTATCAAGAAAGAATTATAAGAAGACATTGCTAGAAAATCTGAATTCTTTATTCAATTCAATAAAGGTTTAGTATGCAATTTTAAAATTCAAAATTCATGCATCGTAAATGTCATTTTTCATGAAAAGCAGCAGAAGCTGGTATGTATCATGTAGTAAATCAGCTTTTTGGGGCTGGCAAAATGTAAGGAAATTAAAAAACATTCTGATGAAAATCACAGTGTATACTGAAAACCCAAAAGTGGTTCTTTACATGTGGGACTACATGTATATTTTCAATTTACTGGCTTGTAGTGGGCACATTCATTTTTCGTTTCTCAATTTAAGAGAAGGTTGCAAAACACAAAGACAAATCTAGAGGGGATTAAGGAAAAAGAGGGAGGGATGTACATATATAGGGAGAAAAAGAGGAAACAGAAAAGAATTTAATGTGAAGGAGAGTGAGTGAGAGAAAGAGAGAGAGTTGGGGGGGGGGGAAGATAGAGAAAGAAATATAAAAGAGAAATGGAGAGCAAGTCATGAGAGAAGGAAAGAGAGAAGGGAGGAATGAGTTCAGGTGAAGGATGGAAGAGAAAGACAGAGTGAGAGAGTGATGGTGAAGACGGGGAAGAGGAGAGAGAGCAAGGGAAGAAGAAAAAGAACAAGGGGAGAAATGGGAGGGATGGGAGGAGCGAGATTGACAGAATGACAGAGTCGCGGAAAGAGCCAAGAAAAAGAGAGGGAAGGGTACCGGACAACACGAGGGCAATTTTCTTTACAACTTACGCCCCTCTTCTCCAAACGCTTTGCCAGGGCATCGACGCGCTTCTTTTGGTTGACGAAGATGAGGACAGGAGGATCGATGCCCTTCTCGAGAAGCTGAATGAGCTTTTGCGTCTTCTCCTGGTTGGAGGTCATGTACACGAGCTGCTGGACGCTCTCCACTGGTTTGCCTATGGAGCCGATGTAGACCACGGCCGGTCGACGGAGGTAGGACCGGGCCACACGCTCCACCGCTGTAGGCATAGTAGCGGTGAACATGACCGTCTGTTTCATAAAAAATATTAAAAAAAAAACGATTGGTTACAAATTTTGTACAACTGGTTTAATGATAATGATTATTTTGGATGCATAATTTGGCTAAGGCATGAAATTTTGAACCAGACATGCAAATATTTTTTAATATTTTTTTTTAGCAGATGTTTTTGCATTTATTGATGAATCAAATACAAAAACATTCAAATAATAGTATATAATATTATTGATTTACATAAAGAGTAACAACTGAAATACACACACATAAAAATGCATATATAATTAAAAACTGGAAAGTATGAAGGTAAGTCAAAGAATCAAGATAAATGCAAAGGCCAACTATCATAAGCATGAATGCTTGAGTCAATAGCAGCCAGGAAAGGGGTAAGGGTACATGACGCTGTTATAGGAGTATGTAGGAACTCTTAGTCCAATATTTCTCTTTGATTAGCTTGACCAAAAAATACTGCTCTTTGACTCTTAGATCTCATCCGTTTTTTGGCTTGATTTGTCCTCATGGCCACCAAATAGACCCTGGAATAAACATTATACCTAATACTAAACCCTAAACCTGAACCAAACCTAAAACCCAATTGCAGTACTATAACCCAACCCTGAATCCCTGATAAACAAAGCGCAGAGCAACTGTTGCCAGAGCATACATGTCTGTCAGATTTGAGGGATTTACAGTAAAACACAGAGACCGGACTACAAACCAACTCCTATTAGGCCTTTTCACAGTACGATTTCAACCTAACCTGTCTGTATTTCTTCTTGGAGGCAAAATTGGCGAGGAGTTTGGCTGAGTCTTCTGCCTCTTCTGAATCTGGCTTTTGATTGGTCACGGGCAGATACTCAAGAATCTTCTGAACGTCAGGCTCAAAACCCATGTCAATCATGCGATCAGCCTGGAAAACAAGAAGTAAGTATAATTGTGAGAGATAAATCACAGGATGAAAATCAAGGATCTTCTGAACGGCAAGAAAATAAAGATATTTAATAAGAAGAGATGGAATCATATTGTTCTTTGTTAATTATATTGTATTTTAACTGGTATCACTTGAAACAATTGTGAAAGAAATATGACATGTTTTTAATTGTAAATTGTCGGGGCAATTTCGCAGAGGCTGCGAAATGATGATATTAATAAACTGAAACTGAAACTGAAATAAGATGAATCTTGGAGAAAAAAAAACATGTCAATCATGTGATAAGCCTAGAAAACAATAGTAAGAAAAGAAGAAAATCTAATTGTGATGGATACTACTTTGAGAGGTACAGGACATTGAAAATAATAATAAGAAGAAGAAGAAGCATAGAAATAATAATGATGATGGATGATGATAGTAATGTTGAAGACAACAACAACAACAACAACAACAACAACAACAACAACAATAATAATATACAAGATTCATGAATATTATTACGAATATGTATTTTATTACATACATGTATATACTGGTATGCTAATTATGTGCAAATGCAGAAATGGTGGCCAGTTTCAAGGGGGCTACCTTACAATAAACACCACAGAAACAATGGTAAACTTGTAATTGCAAGTGGTGTTTGTTTACGTTCATCTGTAGTGGTGAATGATCAATCTTCTGGGGGGCGTTTCACACAGATCTCAAGTTGAACTTATCTCTAAGTTGGACTTAACAATTATGGAAGGCCGTTAGCATCTTTGAAAACATTTTGTAAAAGATTTGGTTAAAGGCATACAATATTAATTCAAATCAGTCATATTTTTTATTATCAATGAGATGTCATGTTCTTGATATGGAATTTATGAAAAGTCTACAATACTTGAATTTTTGCTTCTGCATATATTATACTTAAGGCTACAAATAGCTCTCCATAATGTTTAAGTCCAACTTGGAGTTAAGTTCGACTTAGGATCTTTGTAAAGCATCCCCCTGGTCACGGCACATAGCTTTTCACAAGATTTTTCTATCCGCATAAAACTCACCTCATCAAGTACCACGTAGGTGCATTGACAGAGTACCAGGTACCTGTTCTCAAGGACATCGATCAGACGACCCGGCGTCGCTATGACGATCTCGCATCCCAGACGGAGCTTGAACCCCTGGTCTTCCCGGGAGATACCGCCAATGATGGTGACGGTCCGGATGCCGAGGGGTTTGCCAAACTTGATGGTTTCTTCTTCGATCTGCTGGGCCAGCTCGCGAGTCGGTGCTAGGATGATAGCGTAAGGCCCCTGGTCTTTATCCTCGTCCCTATCACCATGACAACCAGAGTAAAAATAGTTCAATCATTGTTGAAAATTATCAATATAAATTAACTATAAATGGTTGAGTTCATTATAATCATTATTTTCATTATTAATATTATTATCATCATCATCATAAACTTCAGGTTGTTATCATTATTATTACTAATATTATTGTTTTTGTTATAATTATTATTATTTTGTTTTCTAATGATTATTATCATCCTTATCTTTATTAATTCATCATTATCAGTAATAATAATAATTAATTTATGATTATTGTTATTATTACCATTGAAATAGTAGAACAGTTTGTTTCAACACTTGGTATTAGAAAATGGTATCGGTACAAAATCTGGAAAGACATTTACATCCAAGGCAAAGGATTCTGCTGATTATCGTTTTCTCGGTATATAGATGTAAATGGTTCCTTCCTACTGGGTAGCACACATCAATATGGTTTATACTTTATAAACTGGCAGCTGCATTCTTGTGAAATGAAAGTATACAATCTAACTGTTTGTTTGTTTTACCTGACTGTTAAGAAAGCATGTGTATGCTTGTAAGCAACCAGTAATAATGCAGAGCTGCCAACTTCCAGAACAGGAAATCAGTAATCACAAGGCTCAAAACCAGTAATTTTGGGAATAGATCAGTAATTTCCTAAGCGGCGCTATAAATCTATAAAAAAATGGCATGTCAAAAATGCGCAGATGCATGCGCTCATGAGTGTTTAAAATTTTGGTGATTTTACTCACACAAAGCTGCTAAATATTGATTATCATGTCATAACAACACATAAGTTTTCCATGAAAAATTGGCTTCTATTAAGAGAATACCGCCATACTGCACAGCACTCGCTACGATACAATCATATTTACGCAACAGCAAGAATTTTTTTTTTTTTTTTAATCCGTTATTTTAGACAACATTCGGTAATGATCGTTAATTTCCGTACCAATTACAGGAAATCCATACTAGTTGGCAGCTCTGCATGGTTAAGATGCCCTCTGGTACAGCCCAGTTAAACGACGGCTTACAGTCCTTACCGATGGACTTGGTAATGAAGATTAATGCCTTACCAAAGGGCACTAGCGCATCGACCTGGTTTCAAACCCAAGACCACTGCTCTACCACTTTGCCATCGCGCCAAATGACCAAGGTAATTAAAATTTCATCTGCATCTTCTAAAGCTATAAAAATGTTACTCATCAATAAGAATGTCTTTCATTACTGTTATATCGATACCCATACAGAAGAAGGGGTGATCAATCCAGACATATGACCTCATCATTACCTACCGGCTAAGACTGAGCCTTTAATCTGCCCCACTTGTTCAATTAATAACACCAAACCTGTTTCCAGTATTATCCTATAAAAACACAGTCAAATATTTCCACATTATACCCTTCACCTACTGTATATCTTGCCATTATGTTGTTTATGCATGCCATACACTCCATTGCTACAATGTTGCAGTCCTCTACCTTTCTCTTTCTCCAAGCTCTCTATCCTCTTCTTCTCCTTTCTTCTATTCAAAACGTTTATTATGTATTTTCTGTATTCACGCTTTCTTCCTTGTAATACAAGTTCTTAAATTACATTTATATTCCTACGTATAAATTGTATCGTTTGAACAGATGTCAAATATGTTGGCAAAATGAATGAAAGAAAATAAATGTTAATTTGAACCTAATTTGAATAATACGTGATAGCAGATTATGAACTGCAAGGATAAAAAGTGTCAAATACAAAATCACTACCCTTTTTTTTTGCTTACCTCTCGATTTTTGGTAACGTGGAGATCCAGACCAGCAGGGGAATGAGGAAAGCGGCCGTCTTACCCGACCCCGTCTCGGCAACGCCAATGACATCACGATTCTGTAGACCAATGGGTATGGCTTGTCTTTGGATGGGCGACGGATCCTGCAAAGTATTTTGAAGAAATCACATTTGGTTCTCCGTTAAATCAGTAAAGTAAGAACCAAACACTTTTCAGCAGATTTCTTTACGATCAATAAGTAGCAAGTTCCTCAAAAATTCAGCTTTGTATGTGAATGAGAAATTCAAATTAGAATAGTCATATCCACAATTAGCCAATTGGAAATTTCCACATGTATGGTGATTTCAACTTTCAAAATGTACTACTTTCCTATCGTATAAAATGTTGTTAAACTCTAACCAATATGTTTTTTTCTTATATTCTTTTGCGTTCACTCACACCAAGGTTGAATTTACCATCAACATTGCTCCATTTAAAATGGAAATAACTTTGAGTTTATTTTTTTAGTTCCAGCTGCCTACCTTGTTTACAATATTGATAATATCTGATTCAAAGATACGTTTGGGAAGGCCAGAAGGTCTCAGAATCCGAGCGATCACAGGATTTGATCCTTCTCCCCTCACTCCCCGCCCTTGATTCAAATAAAGTGTTTTATATACATTTTACGGGTCTTTATGAATAAAAATACCCAAAATTTTCAAGTAAAGTTCAATAACTTGATTGACTACAGGGTGTGATGATTCAAGATGGTCAGTCAATCGGTGATATGTTTGGGAAGGCCGTACTCATCCCAGAACCGGATCGGGTGAGAGATGTGGCAAAAGATAGTTTACCCAATCCCTTTAATGTTTTATATACATTTTTGAAGTCTTTATCAAACAAAACCAACAAAAAGTCAAGTCAAGCTGCCTACCTTGTAACCAACTTCAGCAATGATATCGGTGATATGTTTGGGAAGGCCGTACTCATCCCAGAAGCGGATCGGGTGCGGGATGTGGCCGCCCTTGGTGGAGATGTTGAAGTCCTCTCGGAAGATTCTCCAGTCCCTATCCTTCATCTCTAGCAGCTTCTTCTGCTTCCAGTGTCTCTCATCGTAGATCAGCTTGTCCTCTCTGTTCTTCTGCTTCTTTAGTCGGGACCTTGCAAGGATGATAATAATAATAATAATAATAAAATTATATAGCGCAGCTTTTATACAAAATATATTCAGCTGCGCCGGTTCAGAGCTCCTTTTTTAAAACTAAATTCTACAAAATATAATCTCTCAAATGAACAAATATGTTTTTTTTAACTTGGATTTTAAGACATTGAGAGATGGAGTGCTTCGTCTTTCTATTGGCAAGCTATTCCATAGTTTGGGGGCAGCAAAAGCATGCTCCCCGAGAGTTACTTTAGTTTTGCCATGGGGAATCTGGAACAGTAATTTATCTGTGGAACTGCGCAGGCTACGACTGTGTGACTGGACTTTGAGTCAAAGTAATTCTGTTATGTAACTAGGGGCTTGACCACTCAATGATTTATAAACAATTAACAACATTTTGAAAGAAATTCTTTGACGGACTGGCAACCAGTGGAGCTCTCTCAGAAGAGGTACTTTTAATTTCCCTGTCTTTCCTCATTTCCTTGCTGGAGTTTGTTTAGCAATGTTATTCCTCCTGTATATTACTGTGCATATCACTGTATGTTATATCACAAATTCTGCACTGTATTGTACATTATGTTGTTTCATTTCAGCCTGAATGTATGCTTTTTAGGATTTTTAGGATTAAGATTAGGACTTTTCCTCTTTATTTGATCAGCTTACTTTTCTTGGTCCTTCTCCTGCTCTGTCCTGCGTGTGTCTACGACCTCCTGGTTGAACTTGGACTGTTTCTTCTGTGCTTTGATGTCTATTCCTGCAATGCTGCCGCGTCCATAGAGTTGGATCTGATGGTTATCTCTGTACCTATTTATCAAGTAAACAAAAAATAAAATATTGAGGGGTCAGTGACACAAAGACGTAACTCGATTTTGAGAAAAAGTGATTTATTTGTCACTGAGCACTTGGGCCTTAAGGAGTTAATTCTATGTTTCACTAGCCATTGACTTCAATGGGGTGTTGGGTGGAGTTAAGTCTTTGTGTTTCCTGGAAAGCCCACATTTTTCTGAACATTTTGATATCAAATACTCCTCTTGGCAAAATATGGAGTTACGTTTTTGTGTCACTGAACCCTCGATATGATGCCCTAAATAAAATTTATGAATTACAAAGCCAAGATTTGTGATCAATTTTTTAAAGTCCTATTTGACAATAATATGAAAAACCAATTTAATCAATACACATGTATGACTTGTGATTAATATGATAGTCTAAATGAAAAGTGACTTGAATTGTAAACCTATTCCTAATATAAACTTTGTTATTAATAGTGATATTCACTCGTATTCTACTCGTCAGAAAAATGATTTACATTTATTTAAAGTTCGTACGAAAAATGCACAAAATTCTTTCTATTTAAATGGCATTAAGGAATGGAATAAGTTGAGTAAGGATATTAAGGAAAGTACAACTCTATCTCGATTTAAAGTACGATGTACACAGTTATTATTTAATGATTTATGTAAACAAGTTTGAGCAGAGGAAGATATTTTGAATGTATGTGTGTATGTATATGTGTGAGCGTGCATGTGTGTTTGTATCATGTTATTTTAAAGTTTTTAAACTGTATAATTTATGTGTAGTTTGTTTTTTCTTTTTAAGGCCCCACCACAAGCAATTTGCTTCTAAGGGTGTCCTTTACCGTATTATGTTTACTATGTTACTCATTTGTCTGTACATGTTTCATTTTATGGTTAAATAAACTTTACTTTACTTACTATTAATGTACCTTGTTTGTATATGATTTGTGATCAATTCAATAGTCATATTTGACGTCGCTTGCTTGAAAATCAGCTTTTCAGTATCTACAAGTGAGTTTCAATGGTGACGATACAAAACACTTAAATAAACGGCATCATATTTCTGTTTTAGACGTTAAAAGTTCTGCACCTCTAAAGTAGTCGGTATTTAACAAGCACAAGCCAGGGCGAAAACAAGATTTTTTGAGCGAGTGATCAGCACTTTCAACACCTTACATAACTACAGGAAAATTCATTTTTTCATCAAAATACACCAAACAAAATGATCAAACTACAAATAGACTGCTTAAATGCCTGAACATGAAGTAACAGAATCTGGGTCCTGTTTCATGAAACCTGTTATCGATAACAAATGCTTAATTTACATGACAAATTTGCTCTCAGCCAATTAAATGCCACGATTTGAGTAGCTTGAGTGGTGAAGGGTGACGTTATCAAAAATCTATTTTTAGAATTTCTCAATTTTTTTTCTTCATTTTCCAAAAGAAAATAATGTCATAATGTCGAAAATCAATTGAATATATATGTTAAGTATTGGCTGAGATATGACCATCTGAATAAATATATTTCCTATAGGAATAAACCTATGAAACAGGACCCTGGGGTAGTAGGAGCCGGAATGTAACATGGAATTCTTTATGACAATCAAACAATCAAAGCTGCTTACAGAGGGTTGAAATCTGCCGAGGTGTCCTCGCCCGCGTCCCAATCAAAGACAAATTTCCTATCATTGAGACGCCGCACTCTCCTCTTCTTCTTGACGCCTCCCAAGTAACGGTCCTAAAAGATAAAACGAGATGAAGTAATGTCACAGCATACATGCAGCTCTAGTGGTTTGCGGTGACAACAAAACCAAAGTCTAAGATTGACTTTAAGTTGGACTTAACTAAAGCAGGCCGTTCATGCAACAGTTCTCTCTCAGCATTTACTGGCATTGGTCTTTCAAGGGATGTACAAATCATGGTCACAAATCTACAGAATGTACATTTTGTTATAGTTCATTTTAGTTGAATTATATAAAGATCATAATGGTGAGAGCAACCAGTGGCATGAATGGTCTACCATAGTTTAGTCAACTTAAAGTCAATCTTAGTCTTTGTGAAACATCCCCCCCCCCCCCCCCCCCCCCCCCCCCCCGGCAGCATCCTATATAAGATTGCAATTGCCTTTTGGGATCGACCCCAAAATCTTGAAATCTACGGTTGACTTTTTAAAAAAATCTTAAAGCATTTAAAACTGAGAAATATCAGCCCAGAGAGGGAGAAAAAAGAAGGAAAAAAAAAGGGTAAAAAAAAGAAAAAGATTTCCAACAGATCCACCCATGTTTTGGCACCTAAAGGGCAATACAACATCTTTTTTTCCCAGGCCTAATATAGTGTACAAGGTAAGCAGCTGGAACATTGCTTGAACATAATGACAAACCTTTATTGCTTGCTTCTCTTTGAGTTCATCTCTTGAGAGTTTCTCCTCATCCCCGGCATCTTCTCTCATCCTCCTCTCCCTCCGTTCTCTCCTCTCCCTCCGTTCTCTCCTCTCCTTCTCCCTAGGGTCCTCTGGAAGATAACACAAGAATGGAAGACAGCAAAAAGGTCAAAATCCGCATTCCTGATTTTTATCCACAACTTCCACCGACTGGAAGATGTTGCAATATTGCTCTCATCTTGACTTTGTTCAGAACAATATAAAACATGTGCTATTTTCTATGCAGAATCCTACTGTCAACGTCGTAAGGATTACGCACTTAAACATTATCACGTTAAACCCCATAGAAGGATACTAGAGCACGGTGAAAATGGACGAAAACGGCCGGGCGGTTTCGGGCGGTTCAGTGAGTAAAGGAGGGGCAGTTTCGGGGGGGGGGGGGGGGGGGTTTAGTCGCTAAAGGGTTAAGGATTTACTACGTGGGTGCGCCACAAATCTACTCTCTAAGCCAAAAATGTTTTAAAACACATGCTTCAGATCAGCGACAGTAGCTATGGTATGTGAATCTACATCTAACTCTAAACCTAACCCTAACCCTGTACTGTTGGCTCTGTACTAAACACAAATCATTAATTTTTCTATTTTCTCTATTAGCACCACTCCCAGTTCTTTCCCTCCTCTCTCTTCTAACAATTTCTGCAGAATGTCCATCAAAATATCCTCCTTCTTTCCCTACTCCTCGTTCCCACAATTTTCCCTGTCAAAGCAAAATTCTCTAGGCCTTCTTTGCATGTAATATGACCCATGAACTTCTCTCGTAATTATTAAAGGCATCGTTTAAAGCTTATCTGCCGTAGTTTACAGGAGGGATTAAACCGCTCTACAAGGTCACTGGACAGGTGGTTATCTCATCAACTCAGCTCTGACTCAGTTAACATAAGAAAAAGAGGATCATGGGGGACCAATGGTCACCGATTAGGCATTGTTTGTTATATAGAGGGCGCAAGTAGCTACCAGTAGTGCAGTGGGCCTTTAACGATGTTAAATCTGAGATGCATGGCCCTACGTGTTATCAGTGTCTGTGATATGGTGTCATATTGAAGCCCTAAAAAAATTTCCAATCATAAACATCTTGCTAATCAGACATGCGATCGGCTTGTAAAAGTCATGGGGTTCCTGACTGACTTAAAAGTTTATGATAATTATTGCAGCATGAGCTAAATCCAAGATTTTGTTTCAGAATCTGAGACAAAGTAACCCAATCCCTTTAAAAACCAACAAACTAACAGAGTGGACTCCCCTTTTACTTCCACATACCTGAAGCCTGTTGAGCCATCTTCTCAAAATCCACCTGTTTCTGCCGGTTCTCTTCCAAGGCCTTCCTCTGAGCTTCCACCTGGGCCTGTCTCTTCTCAAGGGCTAGCTTGGCCCTCTGCTCCTTGGTCAGAAATTTAGGCTAGACACATGAAAAATGACAGGAAATCATAATATATATATATATATATATATATTTATATCATATAAATTAATACAGATAATAGACATGAAATGATATGAAAATAAACATTTATTTCAAAATGCACATAATATATTTTATTTTTACATTATTTTTTTTTATTTTTATTTTTTACATACACTGTAATACATTTTTTCCTCACTTTCGGCTCTGTGGTACAATAGTTTTAAAAAGGAATAGGCAAATTAAAGCATTGCTTATTATTTAAGTAAAAATATCTGTCGATAAGGCCTACATGAATAATTGATCGGTTTCTTTCTATTCTCATGTTCTCAAGTCAGGTGTCATCTGCACTTCACAAACATCCTATTCCTATGTTGGACTCACCTTAGACAAGGCCTCCTGCTCTGCATTCTTCTTGGCAATCATCTCCTCCAGAGAAATGGGCTGTTTCTTCTCCAGCTTCATCTCCTCTTCTTCCTCCTCTTCTTTCTTAACGCTAAAATTTACAAGTGAAAAATAATGTTAATACTACTAATGGGAAGTTTATATTATCAATTTAAAGGCACACTGTCCTACTTGTAGCTACTTGCTCCCTCTATATAGAAAACTTCCCCAATCGGTGCATGTTGGTCCCCCATGATCCTCTTTTTCTTATGTTAAATGAGAGCTGAGTTAATGAGATAGCCACCTGTCACAGTGACCTCGCTGGCTCCCTGGGTGGTCTAATCCCTTCTAGCTGAAGTAGTAAAGCCTGCCTTTAAAGAAAACAATTATTGGACAGTGGGCAATGACGCCACAGACTCATGAGTGAGTTCCCAATTTGTCTTGTGATTTTTTCATGTCATTACAAATTTATAACTTTCTAGTTTCTTATTAGTTATCCGATTTTGCTCAAACTGTTTGATTGGTTGTCTAATGTTTCTGCTTCTATTCAAAGTAAGCTATTTTTGGAGTGGACCTGCCCTTCAATGAATTCAATGATGAGACATACTTCATAGTACTCATAGTACTTAATTTACTTAAATTTAAAAAAAAAATCACAGTAAGCTTAAAGACCGTCAACACTACTGGGTCAGAAGGGATTAGACCACACAGCGAGGTCACTGACAGGTGGCTATCTCATTAACTCAGCTCTCAACTAACATAAGAAAAAGAGGATCATGGGGGACCAACAGGCACCGATTGGGGAAGTTTTCTATATAGAGGGAGCAAGTAGCTACAAGTAGAACAGTGGGGCATTAATGTTCGAATATTTACTTGAAATGGTAACATAGATGCAGTTTATGTTTATGTTTATAAGCAATCAATGTATATATTGTTACGTTTCCAATCACTTTCAGAATGTTATTATGTTTGTGATGATATACATTTACATTTGCTATTATTGTATTTCTTGTATGATGTACAGTATATGTACAATGACTGTAAAACCAGTGAAAAAAGAATTTCCTGAAAGGGACAATAAATTTCAATTCAATTTCAATTTAATCTAAGATGTGATCAATGATGTATAAGACAAAGTAGTTGCCTTCGACTTTGTCCCGAAAGACTTTCGACCCTCAAGCAATCATACCTAGCACCTTATTCGATTCAATTCAATTCAATTCAATTCAAGGTTTATTAAGAAATATCTTCGCAGCCGTAAAAGGCTGAATTGCGATACAATTCACAGATAAAAACATGCAAAATTACATAAATATACATATCAATTACAATGAACATAGTTTGACATAAATTAAAAATCAAATATAAAATATATAAACAGAAAACCAAAGAGTTCAAAAGTGAGTTTTAGAAAAATGGGTTGTTCAAAATCAGTAGATGACTGCAAAAATTGACAAATCTGTAGAGCTGTAAAACAGTGCTGGCGGCCAGTCAGGCACTCAATCTATTACTTACCTTTTTGACTTTCGACTTGGTGACTTGGATGATCGTCTCGACCGATCTCTATCCTTCTTCCTCTCTCGTTCTCTGTCTCTCTCCCTGTCTCTATCCCGATCTCGATGTTGATCTTTGTTTTGATCGCGGTCCCTCTCAGACCTCTCCCGCTCCTTGTCCCTGCCTCTATCTCTTTCCCGGTCTTTTCCTCCTCGATCTCTGTGACGATCTGAGTGCAAGTCGCGACTTCTCTCGCGGTCACGGACTTGGCCAAAGTCCCCACGTCTATCTCGGTCCTTACTGGACATCTATGAAAACAAATTATTGAAATGACTTTTGTGCAAGAGAAAACAGAAATACACTCCAGCCCTAAAGTAGGGTGTCTGAACGATTTTTAAATTTGCCCTTTTGGTTTGTTTTTCATCATTATGGTTGGGTAATATACAAAAAAATCAACTATCAGTACTGAGAAGAACACATTTTAAATTTCAAGACTCACCAATGTTTCTATCAAAAGATACAGCCCCCCCCCCCCCCCCCCCGAAAATCTAGGCAATATTCATCCAATTTTTGTCCAGGATGGATGAAAAAGTGGTATATGGTGAAGTTATATCCTAACATAAATTGCAATATCTGGGACAGTACTTAACTAAGTGAAGGCCACGGTGAGAATTATCTCTATCGGAACTCATTTTTCCCATGGACAGTGACTGCATGCAATGCACTTTCGAAGATCACCCTTGACGCTACTTCACTGGAGGGATTCAAGGGAGCGCTTCCACCCAGCATCTAGACCAAGAACTAGATGACTTAGATCTATGCTGAGTATCGTCGTAGAAATTCTGGTGATAGCTAGTCTATAATTTTTACGTTAATTGTCGACATAGTTACTCAATAAATGTAATTTCAATTTGCGTTTAAAACCAAAGACACTGACAGATCTAGTTACATTGTGTGCGTCACAATATGATGACCGTGATCCGTGTTTATTCACCATTGCTACTCTTCTCCCATTTGATCCTGTACTGCCACTCACTACATTTAGAAGTTTACTGGCTATTACTTTACTCTTTGTCCATAAAATGCACCTATCGCGATCGACTGCTATCAGTCCATTACCTTGAATCTTGATGTTTACCTTGTGCTCCTGTTTAGTTATATGTCTTGCGGCCCATGGGATCGCTGATCTCCGAAAAAGCGGAGGAAGAACAAGAAGAAGAAGATAGGAAGTGAGTTCCAAAACTTGGGACCAGTACAAGCCAATATTTTTTAAAACATTAAAATCTAACTGTGTTAGACTCTGCTGCCGTAAATACCATCATCACCCGAAACGTGCACATTTTTTCTTTTCGCTTGTCGATTCGACGTTTTATCGACGTTTTATCGACGTTTTTCGACGTTTTATCGGGGTCGCTGGCTTATTGGTCGCTAGTTTCGAGCTTCTGGCTGTCGGGTTAGATTGGATTAGATGGTAAAAAGCCTACATTGTAGATCTAGGTTGTTTTTCAACGAGCGATAAAACATCGTTGACAAATCTTTGCTTTGAAAAGTTCTTGCATCGAAATCCCACCGTAAGTATACTCGAGTCATGCGTGTTTAAACCTTGAATGTTTATATCTTGGTGTCAGCTTTATTTGTGTTAATGTGAGCAATATATCGCCTTGACTAGCTAGAGATAATTCTCACCGTGGCCTTCACTTAGTTAAGTACTGTCCCAGATATTGCAATTTGTGTAGGCTGCGCCTAGGCCTAGATTAGGTACGTGACAATCCGCGCGTCCCTACGACGGTGCATCGATTTGGCACTGCGCGCACAGTTGTAGAGTAAAGGAGGGGGTAATCGACCATCTCCAGTTTTCGGCCGATTGGTTGGATGCATGGTAAAATCCCTTTAAAATACATTGTATAATAGCATATAACACACATAGGCCTACCATACCTAGACCGAATTTTCCGTCTCTTTCGTTCGTTAGCCTCTTAAGTCTTATTGGGGTAGGGTCGGCCGGCTCTCTCTTTACAGGCCTGATAAAAACCCGATTTAAATCGGTTTCCCGATTTTTTTATTTTTCCCGATTTTTTCCCGATTTTTTTTTCTTCCCGATTTAAAAAAAGAAAAAAAAAACAGATTTTTTTTTTTTTTTTTTTTTTTTTTTATAATTTTTTTTTTTTACCAATTTTTTTTTTCTTCCCTATTTTATCCTGATTTTCCCGATTTCCCTCTTATTTTCTCTATTCTTCCCTATTTTGCCCTACTTTTTCCCCAATTTTCTTACTCGTAAGGGGGGAATGTTGTTAGATGCCATTTTTTCCCCGCGAATCTTCTTCTTTTTTTTTTACTCAAGGGGGACGTGGTTGAGGGGAAAACAAAAAACCTATTTTTTTGTTAGTGCTCACTATCACCCCTGTCTTTAGAGACGGAAACCGTCTATAGTCTACACATTCCCTTGATAACGCCATGGCCATTTCAGGTCGTAGCGTTTTGCCCCCAAAATCCCCCAAAATGTCATTTTACCTCATGCATTGATTATTTAAAATTAGGAGAAGGTTATACTTATACTACATCGGTTCCACTTACCAACTTGACTGAAATAATCCGTTTAATGGTCCCTTTTAAGGAAATTATGGGTCAAAATCGACATCCATGTTGAAATCTTGCAAGCCGTGTTAAACTCTCGCTGCGCACGGAGTCATCTAAATCAATCTCATCTCTTCTAGTCTACGCCGAAGGCAAAACGATTATGAAGGAAAAACTGTGCGCCATCTACACGTTCGTAATGGCGTTATCACAGTTTTTCCTTCATAATCGTTTTGCCTTTCGGCGTAGACTAAGAGACTAAGAGAAGTCCGAGCGGATGAGCGGACGTGCTTTTCAGAAGCTCTCTAGGAGCTTGTAGATTTCTTGTAGAATTTTGCCAATATTGTTAAAAATTGCCTCAATACCGGATAATTTGGGACTGTTTTGCTTCTTTATACTGTTGAACTTGGATTGAAACTATAGTGGATTCATACAAGCCTATACTTAGGATCAGAGTCAAAAGGTAAGCAAGTCTTGTGGGCTACTAACACATACCGCACCCTTAATTACACGGTAGACTGCACACAACTGAATTTCCCGCCCTTTTCAGGCAACCAACCACGTCATGGCCGGAGTGACAAACACCGGCCAGGGCGAAGAGCCACCTCTTTTACAACCCAATGGAGAAGATGAATTTCGAACTGTAAAATACTCTCGTAGGGAGCAAAAACCGAGAAATAAACGCAGGCGCGAAGGAAGCATTGCAATTGAAAATCTTTCAATGAGAACAGAATCCTCTTCCTCAGAAGACCAAAATACAACCCAGAACCGCCAATCGGAACTCAAAGTCTTAATTACCCCCATAGATAAATCAAAATCGCTAAAGAATGTGAATCCCATTACTATAGCTAGAAATATCCGTGAAGCTTGTCCGAACCCTGTGGAATTTATCAAACCCACAGCACAAGGTCTCCTTATCAAATGCAAAAACCAGAAACAAGTAAAAGCACTATCTCAAATTAGTAACATAGGAACCATCCCAGTAAAAGTTGCAGAAAAGCAGCAAGTTGTGAGAGGGGTCATATATGGAGTACCTACAGAAATGACTGATGACGAAATTCTCAATGAATTGAAACACCAAGGAGTAATTGATGTAAAAAGAATCATGAAAAGGTCCAAATCAAATGTAAAATCAATTGAAATTGAAGAAAGCAGACCCAATTTTATCCCAATGAGGAGTGTTATTATAGCATTCAACCGTACAAACCTCCCCAGCAACATAACAATGTGCTATCAACATTTTGAGGTTAAACTATACATTCCCCCCGTTTTGAGGTGCTTTCAATGCCAACGCTACGGCCACGGCATAGCTCAATGCAGAACAAAGATGAGATGCGTCAGATGCGGGGAAGACCACAAATTTGAGGAATGTAACCGAAAAGAAAGACCGATATGTATAAATTGTGGTGGGAACCATTCAGCAGTCTTTGACGGCTGTCTTGAAGCTAAGAAAGCCAAAAAGATACAAATAGTAAAAGTAAAAAACAATCTTTCATACGCACAAGCTGCAAAAATACAGTCGGAGCAAGAAAAAGCACAGCAGAAACCACAAGTCAACCTCCCTGAATCACATCCCTCCCTCGATGTCAACTCAGATAACCTCCCTCTTCCTCCCCGACCAGTGAGGTCATCCACAGCAATCCGCCCTGAAAACGCCACCCCGCAACTTGATCCCCAGCCCTGGAACACCCCGCTGCAAAAAAACGCACAGAGCAGTAAATTAATAGATAAAGATGGAAAAACTGAAGTAGAACTAGAAGCCCTCCCTCGAGGTAACCTAGTAACATTAATGAGTGATGAGCAAATAATCTCTTTCATTACGCAACTTGTTCTCACTTTTACGGATGGAAAATCCGAGAAGGAGATTTCATCCTTAGTGAAAGTGGCAGCTGAGAGACTGCTCAAACAAAGAGTAAAACATGACGCTAAAGATGTACTGGTATAGCATAGTAATGATGATGACAGCGCTAACCATATTACAATGGAACGCGCAGGGACTTCTTAATCACGGTCCTGAACTTATAAAATACTTAGATTCATATAAAGATGTAAAGTACCATTTAATTTGTGTTCAGGAAACATGGTTCAATGATGATAGAATATTGCAAATCCCTGAATATACATGTTTTATTAGAAACAGGGAAAATCAATCTAAAGGAGGGTGTGCCATTTATGTACATGATTCCATCAACTATGAATATCCTGTCAATGACGAAGAATTCGAAATACAACATATTAAAGTTCATGTTGCTGGATCAAAAATCTCCATAATCAATTTCTATAACCCTTGCAAAAAATTAAACGAGATTGTTTTGAACAGGATGATTAACAAACTAGAATACAATCTATTCCTTATAGTTGGGGATTTCAACTCACATAATCCTGTGTGGGGTAGTGCAAAGATAGACCAAAATGGGCACACAATTGAAAATTTCACACATGACAATAACTTTATAATTTTAAACGACGGAAGAGGAACCAGAATAGATCCACGCACTGGGAAAATGTCATGTTTGGATCTTAGCATCACCTCCCCCAAACTATCTTGCCTATGCTCGTGGGAAGTTTTGCGGCACACCCTTGGTAGTGACCATTTTCCCATCTCCACCCAGATATTATTGGACCGAGCAGGGAAAGTAAACAGCAACAGCGAGAAGATAAATGAGGAAACAACTTGGTCTTTTAAAAATTTTGATTGGAACACTTTTGCCGAAAAATGTGAACATAAAATTGAACATAGTGGCAACTAAACCTCGTATCTACTTCTGTATCAACTCTCTCTTATGGTAATCGCTCCTTTCGCAAAGCTTCTGCTGAACTTTGGAACAAATTACCTTTAAATGTAAAAAACTGTCAAACCGTTAACCTATTCAAAACTAGTCTCAAGACACATTTATTCAAGATTGCGTTCGATGATTAATTATCTCTGTTCACTTTGATGTGTATTCCATATGTATTGTTATTTGTAGGTTTATTTGCATTTTTAGTTTTGTATAAGATGTAATTGTATATCAGTCTATTTTGTGTGTATAGCGCTTAGAGACTTCGGTGGTAAGCGCTTTATAAGTAACGTTTTTATTATTATTATTATTAACTATTCCGACCCTACGAAAATGTATAAATGTTTTATGAAAAGTTTGTCAGAGACTATTAAAGAAATAATGCCCCAGAGGGGAAAGAAAAAACATGACCCTGTACCTTGGTGGACAAAAGACTGTACACAAAGTATCAAAGAAAGAAACAGGGCTAATAATAGGTTAAAAAGACACATTTCAATAGAAAATCTAAATACATATTTGAAGAAAAAATCAGAGGTACAAAAAACTCTACGCCAAGCAGAACGAAATTACTGGCAAGAATTTTGCTCAAGACTCAACCGCTTTGTACCAGAATCAGCGGTATGGTCTACCATTAAACGGTTAAAGGGGGTATCTGTCAAAAAAACAAAAAACATGTCAGTCCTGATAGAAAATGAAAAAGAAATCACATGTAACAGTGAAAAGACTGAGGCTTTCTCTAAGTTCTTCCAATCAATTAGTAATGTTAAAGAATGTCCAGAAATAAAAGAAAACAAAAATGTTGAGCAACAAGTCACGAAATCACTGAAGCGGGGAATGGAGCATATCTTGAATGAACCATTCACTCTTTTTGAATTGCAAAAAACTCTAAACACATGTAAACAATCAGCTCCTGGAAAAGACAAGATCCCTTATCAGGTTTACCAAAAACTTCCTCAGAAAGCAAAACAATATATGCTAAAGGTCATGAACTTGATATGGGATACGGGTAGCATACCTCCCAGTCTGAAACACTCTATCCTAATACCTGTGTTAAAACAGAATAAAGACCCCCGAAAGGTATCGTCGTACCGACCCATAGCACTTTCCTCATGTTTTGCCAAGATACTAGAACGGATTGTGAAGAATAGACTCCAATGGTATGTAGAAAAGAACAATATACTTCCCCCCCTCATGACTGGCTTTCGTAGTAAACGTGGGGTCACGGATAACATTGTACTTTTAGAGAATGCCATCCAAAGAAGCATTAATGTTGGTGAATATACTTTAGCAATCTTTCTCGATATTGAAAAGGCATATGATAGACTTTGTATCAAAGGCCTTATTTACAAACTATCAGTACATGGTATTACAGGTAATATGCTCGAGTTTCTCTATAACTATCTGAAAGAGCGGACTTTCCAAGTAAAGATTGGTAAAGAAGAATCAAAATTATATGAAATGTACAACAGCCTCCCCCAGGGGAGTGTCTTAAGTCCTATATTATATAATATCATGATGAGTGATATTCCAACAGATGAATTAATCACCACATCTATTTATGCTGATGACTGTGTCATCTGGATGTCAGGTAATAACATAGAAATTATTTCAAACAGAATACAGTGCTATCTGAACACATTGAGTGAATGGTTTACTAAATGGGGCTTTCGCCTTTCACAGAGTAAATCCTTTCCAGTGTTATTTACTAAAATCAATAAAGCAAAATACCCAGAACTAAAATTAAACAACGACGCACTTTTATTCCAATCAAAGAAGCATTTCCTAGGACTTATATTTGACAAAAGACTTTCATGGAAGACGCACATAGATGCCGTAGTCCTTAGATGTAAAAAGAAACTGAACATTCTTAGGTGCCTTACTGGGACTACATGGGGAAGCTCCTCGAAATCCCTGCTAATGGTATATAGAGCATTGATAAGATCGTTATTAGATTTTGGTTGTGAAGCCTATGACAGTGCGGCTCAAAGTATAAAGAAATCACTTGACTCCATTCAATATCAAGCCTTGAGAATTTGTGCGGGAGCTCTTCCTCTTACATCATTAGATTCACTACAAGTTGAACTAGGTGAAATGCCCTTAGACTTAAGAAGACAGATGCTGGCGGACAGATTCAGACAAAAGATTGAAATGCATCGAGATCACCCTGTCATATTAAACGTTAAGCCCAGCTGGCAAATGGAACTTTTGAAGCTCCAAAAGAATAACAAGCCGTTTGGATGCAGAACAGAACTAATGAAACATTGTACTATCGAACCTTACACTATACCTAGTTTCCCCCCTTGGAAAATTAATGCTCCAAAAGTGTCGATAGAATTAAGCGAAATAGTGAACAAACATGAAAACCCATCTTATTTACGTCAACGCAGTTTAGAATTGATCAGTACCAAATGGCCAATACAACTACACATCTATACAGATGGGTCAAAGGTTCCAAGTTTTGGAATAAGTTCTGCTTCTTTTTATGTACCAGCATTCTCCTTTCAACAAGCCAAACGATTGGCGGATCACACCTCATCTTTCAGAGCCGAATTGGCTGCAATTGTCCTTGCGCTTAATTGGCTAGAGAACATTAATGTGTATGTTGGCATTGTTATTTTTTGTGATTCCGTAAGCGCCCTGCTCGCCATAAAGGATGAAAAAGATATTACATTTGTAACTGAAATTATTACATTAAGTACAAAATTATCGTATCAAGGAAAACACATACACTTAGAATGGATTCCTAGCCATTGTGGTGTACACGGAAATGAAATGGCAGATTTTTATGCAAAATCTGCTTTACAAAATAACATTGAAATTTGTAATAAATTATCCTTTTCTGAAATAAAGAGTATTATTACCAGCAAGTATATAAAACTCTGGCAAGACAGATGGAATAATTCTGATAGATCTCTTAGACATATACTGCCTACAGTAAATCAACCATATGAATGTAAGTTGAACAGATTTGAAGAAAGTATTCTCCATAGATTAAGAATAGGAGTGATAGGTTTGAACTTAGATCTCTTCAGATTGAATATACACTCGACAGGCCATTGCAATAACTGCATAGGACGTACTGAAACTGTAAACCACTTTCTCACTGAATGCCCAAAGTACATAATAGAAAGAGCTATGTTACTCGTAGAAACTGATTTATCACATCCACAGGAAATCATGACACTACTTAAACTTTCAGAAATAGTTAAACAAAAAGCAATAGTTCGCTTCGTTTTAAGAACAAAGCGGCTGTATCAAAACAATTAAATTGTTGTTGAGGTTTTTTTTTTTTTTTTTTTTTTTTTTTTTTTTTAATCTTCTCTTTTCCTTTTTCTTGCACCAATAAAGCCCACAATACTTGTAACTAATTTGACCATTTACTTTTTCTAACAATTCGGTGATCACCTCCAACATCACATGCTAGCTGGCACCCCCTCACCTATGCCGGAGTGACCTAGGTTAAAACCGAAAGTCTGCGAAATATACCTCAAAGACTGGTAAGATGGCATTTTAAAAAGGGTGGGGGTAAGTGCGAAGTACACATGTGCATACGTGAGGTGATATTTGAACGCGCACGTGCGCGTAAACACAAGTACGTACGTTTAGTTTTAGTTTATAGGCGTTTTTCATTCACAACTTGCTAGGCCGTCGTCTCTTTCCAAAATTATTAATTTATTGAATTTTCTCTCTAAAAAAAAGTTATAGAGTCTAAAAAGAAAAAAAGAGGAAGGAAAGAGGATGGAAAGAGAAAGAATCCTAAAAATAGTCATTTATGACATGAAATTGTACATATATGTATATATATAAATAATTCATAAAATAGTGTGTGGCAAAAATAGTCAACTGTGACTGATTGCCAAACAAAAACAAATCAAGAAGAAGAAGAAGATTTAGATGACTCCGTGCGCAGCGAGAGTTTAACACGGCTTGCAAGATTTCAACATGGATGTCGATTTTTACCCATAATTTCCTTAAAAGGGACCATTAAACGGATTATTTCAGTCAAGTTGGTAAGTGGAACCGATGTAGTATAACCTTCTCCTAATTTTAAATAATCAATGCATGAGGTAAAATGACATTTTGGGGGATTTTGGGGGCAAAACGCTACGACCTGAAATGGCCGTGGCGTTATCAAGGGAATGTGTATAGACGGTTTCCGTCTCTAAAGAGAGAGCCGACCCTACCCCAATAAGAGGCTAACGAACGAAAGAGACGGAAAAAATACGACGATACTCGGCATAAGTCATCTAGTTCTTGGTCTAGATGCTGGGTGGAAGCGCTCCCTTGAAGCCCTCCAGTGAAGTAGCGTCAAGGGTGATCTTCGAAAGTGCGTTCCACGCAGTTACTGTCCATGGGAAAAATGAGTTCCGATAGAGATAATTCTCACCGTGGCCTTCACTTAGTTAAGTACTGTCCTAGATATTGCAATTTATGTTAGGATATAACTTCACCATGTACCACTTTTTCATCCATCCTGGACAAAAATTGGATGAATATTGCCTAGATTTTGGGGGCTGAATCTTTTGATAGAAACATTGGTGAGTCTTGAAATTTAAAATGTGTTCTTCTCAGTACCGATAGTTGATTTTTTTGTATATTACCCAACCATAATGATGAAAAACAAACCAAAAGGGCAAATTTAAAAATCGTTCAGACACCCTACTTTAGGGCTGGAGTGTATTTCTGTTTTCTCTTGCACAAAAGTCATTTCAATAATTTGTTTTCATAGATGTCCAGTAAGGACCGAGATAGACGTGGGGACTTTGGCCAAGTCCGTGACCGCGAGAGAAGTCGCGACTTGCACTCAGATCGTCACAGAGATCGAGGAGGAAAAGACCGGGAAAGAGATAGAGGCAGGGACAAGGAGCGGGAGAGGTCTGAGAGGGACCGCGATCAAAACAAAGATCGACATCGAGATCGGGATAGAGACAGGGAGAGAGACAGAGAACGAGAGAGGAAGAAGGATAGAGATCGGTCGAGACGATCATCCAAGTCACCAAGTCGAAAGTCAAAAAGGTAAGTAATAGATTGAGTGCCTGACTGGCCGCCAGCACTGTTTTACAGCTCTACAGATTTGTCAATTTTTGCAGTCATCTACTGATTTTGAACAACCCATTTTTCTAAAACTCACTTTTGAACTCTTTGGTTTTCTGTTTATATATTTTTATATTTGATTTTTAATTTATGTCAAACTATGTTCATTGTAATTGATATGTATATTTATGTAATTTTGCATGTTTTTATCTGTGAATTGTATCGCAATTCAGCTTTTACGGCTGCGAAGATATTTCTTAATAAACCTTGAATTGAATTGAATTGAATCGAATAAGGTGCTAGGTATGATTGCTTGAGGGTCGAAAGTCTTTCGGGACAAAGTCAAAGGCAACTACTTTGTCTTATACATCATTGATCACATCTTAGATTGAATTGAATTGAATTGAAATTTATTGTCCCTTTCAGGAAATTCTTTTTTCACTGGTTTTACAGTCATTGTACATATACTGTACATCATACAAGAAATACAATAATAGCAAATGTACATGTAATGTATATCGTCACAAACATAATAACATTCTGAAAGTGATTGTTACATTGGAAACGGAACAATATATACACTGATTGCTTATAAACATAAACATAAACTGCATCTATGTTACCATTTCAAGTAAATATTCGAACATTAAAGCCCCACTGTTCTACTTGTAGCTACTTGCTCCCTCTATATAGAAAACTTCCCCAATCGGTGCCTGTTGGTCCCCCATGATCCTCTTTTTCTTATGTTAGTTGAGAGCTGAGTTAATGAGATAGCCACCTGTCAGTGACCTCGCTGTGTGGTCTAATCCCTTCTGACCCAGTAGTGTTGATGGTCTTTAAGCTTACTGTGATTTTATTTCGAAATTTAAGTAAATTAAGTACTATGAGTACTATGAAGTATGTCTCATCATTGAATTCATTGAAGGGCAAGTCCACTCCAAAAATAGCTTACTTTGAATAGAAGCAGAAACATTAGACAACCAATCAAAAAGTTTGAGCAAAATCGGATAACTAATAAGAAACTAGAAAGTTATAAATTTGTAATGACATGAAAAAATCACAAGACAAATTGGGAACTCACTCATGAGTCTGTGACGTCATTGCCTCACTGTCCAATAATTGTTTTCTTTAAAGGCAGGCTTTACTACTTCAGCTAGAAGGGATTAGACCACCCAGGGAGCAAGCAAGGTCACTGTGACAGGTGGCTATCTCATTAACTCAGCTCTCATTTAACATAAGAAAAAGAGGATCATGGGGGACCAACATGCGTCGATTGGGGAAGTTTTCTATAAAGAGGGAGCAAGTAGCTACAAGTAGGACAGTGTGCCTTTAAATTGATAATATAAACTTCCCATTAGTAGTATTAACATTATTTTTCACTTGTAAATTTTAGCGTGAAGAAAGAAGAGGAGGAAGAAGAGGAGATGAAGCTGGAGAAGAAACAGCCCATTTCTCTGGAGGAGATGATTGCCAAGAAGAATGCAGAGCAGGAGGCCTTGTCTAAGGTGAGTCCAACATAGGAATAGGATGTTTGTGAAGTGCAGATGACGCCTGACTTGAGAACATGAGAATAGAAAGAGATCGATTAATTATACATGTTAGGCCTTAAAGACAGATATTTATACTTAAATAATAAACACTGCTTTAATTTGCCTATTCCTTTTTAAAGCTATTGTACCACAGAGCCAAAAGTGAGAAAAAAGTGTATTATACATGTAAAAAAAGAACAAGAAAATTATTTTTTTTTAAAAGTATTATGTGCATATTAAAATAAACATTCATTTCCATATTATTTCATGTCTTTTATTTTCAATTTCAATTTATTTATGTTTCCAACAAAACATTACAAATCAATTATAATATTTACAGCAAATGTAAAAATACGTATTGGAAACAGAGGGGTCCACTTAAAAGCAATGCTTGTACAAGTACAAGTATTTGTATTTATTTATATAATATAGATATAAATATGTTATTTCTGTCATTTTTCATGTGTCTAGCCTAAATTTCTGACCAAGGAGCAGAGGGCCAAGCTAGCCCTTGAGAAGAGACAGGCCCAGGTGGAAGCTCAGAGGAAGGCCTTGGAAGAGAACCGGCAGAAACAGGTGGATTTTGAGAAGATGGCTCAACAGGCTTCAGGTATGTACATGTAGGGGAGTCCACTCTGTTAGTTTGTTGGTTTTAAAGGCATCGTTTAACAATGTTAAATTTGAGATTCACAGCCCCCACGTGCTATCAGTGTCTATGATATGGTGTAATATTGAAGCCCCCAACAAAAATTGCACTTCAAAATGATCATGAAGTGCCTCAAAAAAGTAAAAAAATCTTTGAATGACCAGTTTTACCATACATTTTCCCCAATAGACTGTAGTATTATGAAATTTTGATTTCCAATCATAAATATCTTAATAATCCAACAGGCAATTGGCTTGTTAAAGATATGGGATTCCTGACTGACCTTAAGGTTTATAATTATGATTGCAGCATGAGCTAAATCCAGGATTTTGTTTCAGAATCTGAGGCAATGTTACTGAGTCACTTTAATAATGATGAGAGAAGTTCATGGGTCATATTACATGCAAAGAAGGCCTAGAGAATTTTGCTTTGACAGGGAAAATTGTGGGAACGAGGAGTAGGGAAAGAAGGAGGATATTTTGATGGACATTCTGCAGAAATTGTTAGAAGAGAGAGGAGGGAAAGAACTGGGAGTGGTGCTAATAGAGAAAATAGAAAAATTAATGATTTGTGTTTAGTACAGAGTCAGCAGTACAGGGTAACGGTTAGGTTTAGAGTTAGATGTAGATCCACATACCATAGCTACTGTCGCTGATCTGAAGCATGTGTTTTAAAACGTTTTTGGCTTAGAGAGTAGATTTGTGGCGCAACCACGTAGTTAATCCTTAACCCTTTAGCAACTAAACCGCCCCGAAACTGCCCCTCCTTTTACTCACTGAACCGCCCGAAACCGCCCGGCCGTTTTCGTCCATTTTCAACATGCTCTAGTATCCTTCTATGGGGTTTAACGTGATAATGTTTAAGTGCGTAATCCTTACGATGTTGACAGTAGGATTCTGCATAGAAAATAGCACATGTTTCATATTGTTCTGAACAAAGTCAAAATGAGAGCAATATTGCAACATCTTCCAGTCGGAGGAAGTTGTGGATAAAAATCAGGAATGCGGATTTTGACCTTTTTGCTATCTTCCGCTCTTGTGTTATCTTCCAGAGGACCCTAGGGAGAAGGAGAGGAGAGAACGGAGGGAGAGGAGGATGAGAGAAGATGCCGGGGATGAGGAGAAACTCTCAAGAGATGAACTCAAAGAGAAGCAAGCAATAAAGGTGTGTCATTATGTTCAAGCAATGTTCCAGCTGCTTACCTTGTACACTATATTAGGCCTGGGAAAAAAAGATGTTGTATTGCCCTTTAGGTGCCAAAACATGGGTTGATCAGTTGGAAATCTTTCTTTTTTTTAAACCTTTTTATCCTTCTTTTTCTCCCTCTCTGGGCTGATATTGCTCAGTTTTAAATGCTTTAAGATTTTTTTTTAAAAAGCCAACCGTAGATTTCAAGATTTTGGGGTCAATCCCAAAAGGCAATTGCAATCTTATATAGGATGCTGCCGTTTTTTCTAGGTGTAAACTTTTTTTTGACACGGTAGTTTAGTCCAACTTAAAGTCGATCTTAGACTTTGGTTTTGTTGTCACTGCAAACCACTAGAGCTGCATGTATGCTGTGACATTACTTTCATCTTGTTTTATCTTTTAGGACCGTTACTTGGGAGGCGTCAAGAAGAAGAGGAGAGTGCGGCGTCTCAATGATCGAAAATTTGTCTTTGATTGGGACGCGGGCGAGGACACCTCGGCAGATTTCAACCCTCTGTAAGCAGCTTTGATTCATTTCATTCATTCTTTTTTATTATGTAGGTCCCAGTTAATAGGTTTGTATATAAATTAGGGTCTCTGAATAAACATAAGATTTTTACAAAAGCATATGATTATACGAGGGTTATTTTTAAGTGACATATTTTACTAAACATCGCGTAAACAATTGAGAAAAAAAAAGGTTTGATTGATTGTCATAAAGAATTCCACGTTACATTCAGGCTCCTTCCACCTCAGGGCCCTGTTTCATAAAACTGTAATTAAAAAAAAGTTACAATAATGTTATATGCTACTGAAATCGTGGCATTTGATTGGCTGAGAGCAAATTTGTCATATAAATTTTGCAGCCAACATCAAATTCTCTAGAACTTTGCAGGAATTATGAACATGTCATGTATGTCCTATCTGTGAAATTTAAACGTTAGCAGTGTCCTAATATTCAAATTATGCAAGGAAACCCGTTTTGCTAGACTTCACTGTCAGAGAAAATTGAGTGACTGACTGGCTTTTTTCATCTTTGGTAATAACATACATAACATGAGCTGTAAAGGATACATGAGCATTTGTCTACATCAATAACCCACTTCTTGTAATGGCCAAAATTAAACTGATTGAATCTTTGCGCAGCATAAAATGTACAGCCATTCGGTACAATGGTCTGAAAAATCAGACTATTGCTTACTAGCCCTATAGCTCCTACATGTAAGTCAATTCGACAACTAATAGTCGTTATTTTCCCACTTAAAGACATTTTCAAGCCCCACCCCCCTTTTTTTTTTAACCCTTACTGTACTGAGGGGGGGGGGGGCCTGGGAGGCCCCCCCCCTCGACATTTTCGGAGATTGCGCCGCAACCGCTTGAAATTTTGAATTGTCGTTTCATGACTTTTTTCCCTCAGGTCTTACGCACGTTTTGATACCATTTTCGTCGCAATCGGATATACCTGTGAGGTGTTATCAAAAATATGCTATAATTGCATATATTCATGTACAAGTAGAAATGTGAATACAGGTTTAGATGTATTCCTTCCTAAGTGGGTGATATGAATTGATATCGAATTGCTTTTATATGTTTCTCAAAGTAACTTGATGTATTCCAGAACAAAAGAATACATAAGAAATAAAAACAATAGATATAATAAGAAATAAAAAAACAATAAAATACCTAAGAAAATAAATATTTGAAAATCGCATCAAATTTGCATAAATTATCATTATTAATTACATCCAAATAAATATTTTGTGTTAGAAAAGAAGTTTCATATGAATAATGATTTTCAACGTTCAAAAAGTGAAGTTTGACACGTTTTCTGTAAAATGCATAATTAATTAGGCTATAACGACAAAAATTTGCATATTCGCAAAAAACTAATTACACCATCTTGTTCGTTACGTAAATATCTACAAACATGCAAATTTTCGTGTTCATCGGACATCCGACGGCCGAGATCATAGGCCTGGGAGGCCCCCCCCCCCCCCCCCCCCAGTCAGGAGGTGCTCAAAATAGCCCAGTACAGTAAGGGTTAAGGAAAGTTCTAAATTATTTTTGTCTTTCAAATGCTGTTGGAACTTAAACTTTTTATTTTTAGGGCCTGCAAATGGGACATACTTACCTTTAATAGGTTTACAAATCAATTCACTTTTCATTTAGACTATCATATTAATCACAAGTCAGTGACACAAAAACGTAACTCCATATTTTGCCAAGATGAGTATTTGATATCAAAATGTTCAGAAAAATGTGGGCTTTCCAGGAAACACAAAGACTTAACTCCACCCAACACCCCATTGAAGTCAATGGCTAGTGAAACATAGAATTAACTCCTTAAGGCCCAAGTGCTCAGTGACAAATAAATCACTTTTTCTCAAAATGGAGTTACGTCTTTGTGTCACTGACCCCTCAATATTTATTTTTGGTTTACTTGATAAACAGGTACAGAGATAACCATCAGATCCAACTCTATGGACGCGGCAGCATTGCAGGAATAGACATCAAAGCACAGAAGAAACAGTCCAAGTTCTACCAGGAGGTCGTAGACACACGCAGGACAGAGCAGGAGAAGGACCAAGAAAAGTAAGCCGATCAAAAAAAGAGGAAAAGACCCAATCTTTGCTGTAAATCTCAAGTTAAATTGAGGTCGATAGGAATTGGTTTCCAACTCTGTAGCAATTCTTATTTGATCGATTGATTGATTGAACTGGTTTATTGATTAAAAAGCATACATTCAGGCTGAAATGAAATAAAATACATTACAGCGCAGAATTTGTGATATGCACAGTTATATACAAAGTAGGAATTACATTGCTAAACAAGCTCCAGCAAGGAAATGAGGAAAGACAGGGAAATTAAAAGTACAAACAAGATACATGTAAATTTTAGGTGAAATAATCAAAATGATTTAACCCAGAACAATAACATTTCAGATTCATTGGCAGTAAATTTACATTAATAAGGTTTAGAGATACGTTTGGATAAACAATAAAAATTAGAATAACATTATTTCTACCAATGATGAGAGATATATTAATTAGAACACGAAAATCGTGCAAAATAGCACATACAATTATTACAATATTGATAAGTATTGCAACTTATGAGTTATATCTTCATCCAGCGTCTTATATGAATAATTTTGAGAACACATCAGGAGGGCGTTTCTCAAAGATCCCAAGTCGAACTTAACAATTATGGAAAGCCGTTGGCATCAATGAAAATATTTTGGAAAAGTTATTTTAAAAGGCATTAAATGTTGATTCTAATCATTCTTATTTTCTATTATCAAGGATATTTCATGTTCTTGATGTGGAATATATGAAAAGTCTAAAAATACTTGAGTGGAAAATGTGCATACATTGTGTTGTGGGTGAGCTTGAATCCGATGACCGGGTTAATAATATGTGCTGCGCCTAGAAACAAAGTATTATTAAAAAGCGCATTATAAATGTGAGCTATTATTATTATTATCAATCATCCTTGCCCTTAAGGACCCGCTTGAAGAAGCAGAAGAACAGAGAGGACAAGCTGATCTATGACGAGAGACACTGGAAGCAGAAGAAGCTGCTAGAGATGAAGGACAGGGACTGGAGAATCTTCCGAGAAGACTTTAACATCTCCACCAAGGGGGGCCACATCCCGCACCCGATCCGCTTCTGGGATGAGTACGGCCTTCCCAAACATATCACCGATATCATCGCTGAAGTCGGTTACAAGGTAGGCAGCTGGAATGATCGTCTCGTCTCGACCGATCTCTATCCTTCTTCCTCTCTTGTTCTCTGTATCTGTCCCTGTCTCTATCCCGATCTCGAGGTCGATCTTTGTCTCGATCGCTGTCCCTCTCAGACCTCTCCCGATCGTGGTCCCTGCCTCTATCTCTTTCCCGGTCTTTTCCTCCTCGATCTCTGTGACTTGGCTAAGGTTCCCATGTCTATCTTGGTCCTTACTGGACATCTATGAAACTTGAACTTGACTTTGTTGGTTTTGTTTAATAAAGACTTCAAAAATGTATATAAAACATTAATCGGTTCTGGGACGAGTACGGCCTTCCCAAACATTTAACCGATATCGATACAGTAGGTTACAAGGTACGCAGCTGGAACTTGAACTTGACTTGAATTTGTGTTGGTATTGTTAATAAAGACTTAGAAAATGTATATAAAAATTTTATTTTGAATCAAGGGCGGGGAGTGAGGGGGAGAGGGATCACATCCTGTGATCACTCGGATTCTGAGACCTTCTGGCCTTCCCAAACATATCTTTGAATCAGATATTATCAATATTGTAAACAAGGTAGGCAGCTGGAACTAAAAAAATAAACTTGAAGTTATTCCGATTTTCAATGGTGCAATGTTGATGGGAAATTCAACCTTGGTGTGAGTGAACGCAAAAGATTATAAGAAAAAAACATATTGGTTAGAGTTTGACAACATCTTATACGATAGGAAAGTACATGTAGTACATTTTGAAAGTTGAAACCACCATACATGTGGAAAATTTCAATTGGCTAATTTTGGATATGAGTATTCTCATTTGAATTTCTCATTCACATACAAAGCTGAATTTTTTAAGAACTTTCTACTTATTGACCATAAAGAAATCCGCTGTAAAGTGTTTGGTTCTTACTTTACTGATTTAACAGAGGACCAAATGTAAACAATGCCTTTTGAAATGCTAAAATATTTTGATTTTTTTAAAAAAAATTGATAATTACTACATCACCTGAATTATTTATGCTCAAATATTCTTTGTGTATACTTTTCCTTCACACAGACCCCCTGTTTCCCTTTTGTTGTGTACTAAATTATGTTGTGTACCTACCTATATACTATTAAATTATTCCTGGAGACCATCCCTTAAATGGTCTTTGTTGGCTCCACCACAGTCTCAAGTATAAGTTCTAGGTGCTTAAAATTCTTTAAACATTGTTATGTTATTTTCTTGTTTTGTTTTGTTGTGTTTAATCAGATATTGTATGTAAATTGTTATATGTTTTTTATGAGAAGTGGAAATAAATGAAATGAAAAAAAAGAAATTAAATTAAATTTCTTCAAAATACTTTGCAGGATCCGTCGCCCATCCAAAGACAAGCCATACCCATTGGTCTACAGAATCGTGATGTCATTGGCGTTGCCGAGACTGGGTCTGGTAAGACGGCCGCTTTCCTCATTCCCCTGCTGGTCTGGATCACCACGTTACCAAAAATCGAGAGGTAAGCACAAAAAAAGGTAGTGATTTTGTATTTGACACTTTTTATCCTTGCAGTTCATAATCTGCTATCACATACTATTATTCAAACTAGGTTTGAAACCAGGTCGATGCGCTAGTGCCCTTTGGTAAGGCATTAATCTTCATTACCCAGTCCATCGGTAAGGACTGTAAGCCGTCGTTCAACTGGGCTGTACCAGAGGGCATCTTAACCATGCAGAGCTGCCAACTAGTACGGATTTCCCATAATTGGTATGGAAATTAACGATCATTGCGGAATGTTGTCTAAAATTACAGATTATAAAAAAAAAAAATTACTGCTGTTGCGTAAATATGATTGTATCGTAGCGAGTGCTGTGCAGTATGGCGGTATTCTCTTAATAGAAGCCAATTTTTCATGGAAAACTGATGTGTTGTTATGACCTGATAATCAATATTTAGCAACTTTGTGTGAGTAAAATCACCAAAATTTTTAACACTCATGAGCGCATGCATCTGTGCAGTTTTGACATGCCATTTTCAGGCCTTAAATTTCGTCATTTTTAGGGCAAGGCCAGTTTGGCCTTAAAGTACCTCATATTTTTAAGGGCACCAAGGCCACTACAAAGGGCACCAAGGCCAAAATATTTTTACAAAAAGGGCATCAAGGCCAAAAAAAAAATTGATTCTATTTTTGTTAGATGTCATGTGTATTTTATAATGAAACTTGTGCGGGATCAATTTCCCATGACTTTTAGCACCAGCTTCTTCACAGAATGTATAGAGGCCTACAGTACATACAAACAACGGCGGCGGCCCCGCAAGCCTAATATTAAGCAGCCAGGAGCAAGGGGCAATTTTTTTTCTAAAGTTGCCTCTTGCCCACGAAAATTGACCAGAGCAAGGGGCAATTCCCTAAGAACCAGGGGCAATTTTCCAAAAACAGATAGACTAGGCCCCTAATCTAATTATAAGTTCAAAGATAAAATGTTAATTTCATAATGTGAATAGAACGATCAATTTAATAACTTTTTAATCTTAACAATATCAACAGGAAAGATTGATTAAGAACATCAAACTTGCATATTTTAAAGTAACTAAAAATATTGATGAGCAAATGAATAAATAAATTGTAAATTTCACAAACATCGAAAGTCAGAAGTACTTGGCAAGTTTACCGGGTATCCGAAATCGAAATCGCACCTCACACACAAACCTTCCGCCACACTCTCGGTAGCTGGTAGTAGGAGCAAATTTGAAGAAATTATCTTTTTAATTGTTGTATAACCAACCCAGGGAAAAAATTAAGTTTTTCATTTCGGGGGCTCCATTTCAAATTTTTGGGAAATTTTCGGGGGCTACTTTTTCAAATTTTGGGGGCTTTTTTTTCCATTTCGGGGGCGACTTTTTCATTAATTCTTAAAAGGATAGGCCTAGGGGGTCTACAGTTTGTTGAGATTTGTTTAGTAGGCTAAGGTTTCGGGCTTCCTGCTTCAAAATTGCCTATTAAAAAAGAAACCCCTTTTTCTAGTTCAATTAACTAAGTTTTCATGCATTGATTTGATGCAAGAACTGTGACATAATAGACCCTAGATTGTGATTATTTCTGGCCATGAATTTCGATAATCATTTTTCAAAGTAAAGTTTTTCCAAGAAAATCAGACAGTCGTTTAAAAACTTAGACATTAGTAATACTTTTACTAATTCCAAGCTCAGGTTTCGTACATCTATTCACGAAACTATATTGAAAATCGCGGCAATAATGATACAAACCAACAGATAGCAATTTCAAAGTGTCAAAACTCTTTGACTCAGCTCAACTCACACACTGCACAGTGCGCAGCGTGACTCCAGGAAGCTCCAACACCGGCCGCCGCAGCCGTCCGCCTGCGTAGCTGGTGTTGGAGCCTCCTGGAGTTAACTGCAGCGCAGCATCCGTCATGGTGATTTTGTCTGATTTTCTTTACTTTGAAGAAATGATTATCAAAATTACGTAAACATGGCGATGTTGGAAAATAATCACAAAATAGGCTTTAAGTTCATACCTCTATTCATGGAAACTTTATAAAATTGCGGCAATCATGATGGAAATTGATTTCAGTTTCGCGATTAGAGGTCTAGGTTCAGCTAATATGATCCACCAAAACAAAATCGACCGCGAAAAACTCGACCCCTACTCGATCTCGCAACTGCGAAAATGTACGTGTTTTGGCATACTTGCGTGCGACATGGTAAGCCAGGTAAGGTATGGAATATGGTTCGATTTTTTTTTTACGACCGATTTTTTGTGTATACAATTTTACACGGAGATTCAGCAATACGAAGCTAGTAGAGAGCTCATGGGCAGCAAACTGTTCGTGATTCGTGCTGTTCTAATAATTTATGGGCGCATTTTCACGGAAAACACTCAGCCTTGCCGTCTAGTTTTAGATGATTATGGGCGCAATGGTGGTTTTATGAGCGCAAATTTCTAAAAAGGGGCACGTCCAGTTGGAAAAAAAGGCACGTCGGCCAGTTTGAAAAAAGGGCACGGCCTTTTTGGCCGTGAATTTATCTTTTTTTGGGAGGGCACCACGGCCAGTCGAGGGGCATCGACGGCCTGGCCGTCGATGGCCGTCGATTAATTTAAGGCCTGCATTTTTTTTATAGATTTATAGCGCCGCTTAGGAAATTACTGATCTATTCCCAAAATTACTGATTTTGAGCCTTGTGATTACTGATTTCCTGTTCTGGAAGTTGGCAGCTCTGCATTATCACTGGTTGCTTACAAGCATACACACGCTTTCTTAGCAGTCAGGTAAAACAAACAAACAGTTAGATAGTATACTTTTATTTCAGCTAGTTGCCGTTTCACACGAATGCAGCTCCCAGTTTATAAAGTATAAACCATATTGATGTGTGCTACCCAGTAGGAAGGAACCATTTATATACCGAGAAAATGATAATCGGTAGAATCCTTTACCTAGGATATAAATGCTCTTCCAGATTTTGTACCCATACCATTAATACCAAGTGTTGAAACCAACTGTTGTACTATAACGATGATAATAATAAACAGTAATTATAATTAATTATTATTATTGATAATGATGAATTAATAAAGATAAGGATGATATTAATCATTAGAAAACAAAATAATAATAATAATAACAAAAACATGAATATTAGTAATAATAATATTAATAATAATGACGATAATGATAACAAAATTAATAGTGATAATAATGATAATAATTCCTCAACCATTTTAGCAGTTAATGTATAAAGATAATTTTCATCAATGATTGAACTATTATTACTCTGGTTGTCATGGTGATAGGGACGAGGATAAAGACCAGGGGCCTTACGCTATCATTCTAGCCCCGACCCGCGAGCTGGCCCAGCAGATTGAAGAAGAAACCATCAAGTTTGGCAAACCCCTCGGCATCCGTACTGTCACCATCATTGGCGGTATCTCCCGGGAAGACCAGGGGTTCAAGCTCCGTCTGGGATGTGAGATCGTCATAGCGACGCCAGGGCGTCTGATTGATGTCCTGGAGAACAGGTACCTGGTACTCTGTCAATGCACCTACGTGGTACTTGATGAGGTGAGTTATATGCGCTTAGAAAAATCTTGTGAAAAGCTATGTGCCATGACCAGGGGGGGGGGGGGGGGGGGGGTGTTTCACAAAGATCCCAAGTCAAACTTAACTCTAAGTTGGACTTAAACATTATGGAGAGCCATTTGTAACCCTAAAATAAAATATATTCAGAAGCAAAAAATCAAGTATTGTAGACTTTTCATAAATTCCATATCAAGAACATGACATCTCCTTGATAATAAAAAATATGAATGATTTGAATTAAAATTTTATGACTTTAAACAAAACTTTTACAAAATATTTTCAAAGATGCTAACGGCCTTCCATAATTGTTAAGTCCAACTTAGAGATAAGTTCAACTTAAGATCTTTGTGAAATACCCCCCAGAAGATTGATCATTCACCACTACAGATGAACGAAACAAACACCACTTGCAATTACAAGTTTACCATTGTTTCTGTAGTGTTTATTGTACAGTAAGCCCCTTGAAACTGGCCTCCAGTTTTGCATTTGACACAATTAGCATATTGAATGAATATATATATTCATATATACATATTCGTAATAATCTTCATAAATCTTGTATATTATTATTGTTCTTGTTGTTGTTGTCTGCAGCATTACTATACATTAACTTCTATTATTATTATTATTTTTTTCTTTTTCAATGTCACCTCTCAAAGTAGTATCTGTCACAATTTTATTTTTCTTCTTTTCTTACTATTGTGTACTAGGCTTATCGCATGTTTAACATGTTTTTTTCTTCCAAGATTCACCCGTCACAATAGAATTTCATCTCTTCTTTATTAAATTCAGAGAAGATTCTTGATTCTCTTCACGTGATTTATCCCTCGCACTTTTACTTTTTTTCTTGTTTTCCAGGCTGATCGCATGATTGACATGGGTTTTGAGCCTGACGTTCAGAAGATCCTTGAGTACCTGCCTGTGACCAATCAAAAGCCAGATTCAGAAGAGGCAGAAGACTCAGCCAAACTCCTCGCCAATTTTGCCTCCAAGAAGAAATACAGACAGGTTAGGTTGAAATCGTACTGAGAAAAAGCCTAATAGGAGTTGGTTTGTAGTCCGGTCTCTGTGTTTTACTGTAAATCCCTAAAATCTGACAGACATGTATGCTCTGGCAACAGTTGCTCTGCACTTTGTTTATCAGGGATTTAGGATTGGGTTAGGGCGGAGGAAAAGCCAAATGGGAGTTGGTTTGTAGTCCGATCTCTGTTTTTTTTTTTTACTGTAAATCCCTAAAATCTGACAGACATGTATGCTCTGGCAACAGTTGCTCTGCACTTTGTTTATCAGGGATTTAGGATTGGGTGAGGGCGGAGGAAAAGCCAAATGGGAGTTGGTTTGAGTCCGATCTCTGATTTTTTTACTATAAACCCCTGAAAACTGACAGACATTTATGCTCTGGCAACAGTTGCTCTGCGCTTTGTTTATAAGGGTTTAAGGTTTTGGTTAGGACTGCAATGGGGTTTGAGGTTGGGTTTAGGGTTTAGTATTAGGTATAATGTTTATTCCAGGGTTTATTTAGTGGCCAAGAGGACAATTCTAGCAAATAATGGATTAGACCAACGAGTCAAAGAGCAGTATTCTTTGGTCAAGCGAATCAAAGAGAAATGTTGGACTAAGAGTTCCTACATACTCATGTACCCTTACCCCTTTCCTGGCTGCTGTCGACTCAAGCATTCATGCTTTATGATAGTTGGCCTTTGCATTTATCTTGATTCTTTGACTTACCTTCATACTTTCAAGTTTTTAATTATAGATGCATTTATATGTGTGTGTATTTCAGTTGTTACTCTTTATGTAAATCAATAATATTATATACTATTATTGAATGTTTTTGTATTTGATTTATCAATAAATGCAGAAACATCTGCTAAAAAATATATGGTTCAAAATTTCATGTGTTAGCCAAATTATGCATCCAAAATAATCATTATCATTCAACCAGTTGTAAATTTTTTTTAACCAATCGTTTTTTTTTCTTATTTTTTATGAAACAGACGGTCATGTTCACCGCGACTATGCCTACAGCAGTGGAGCGCGTGGCCCGGTCCTACCTCCGTCGACCGGCCGTGGTCTACATCGGCTCCATTGGCAAACCAGTGGAGAGCGTCCAACAGCTCGTCTACATGACCTCCAACCAGGAGAAGAGGCACAAGCTCATTCAGCTTCTCGAGAAGGGCATCGATCCTCCTGTCCTCATCTTTGTCAACCAAAAGAAGGGCGTCGACGTCCTGGCAAAGAGTTTGGAGAAGATGGGTGTAAGTTGTAACAAAAATTGCACTCGTGTTTTTCCAGTACCCTTCCCTCTTTTTCTTGGCTCTTTCCGCGACTCTGTCATTCTGTCAATCTCGCTCCTCCCATCTCCTCCCATCTCTCCCCATCTCTCCCCATCTCTCCCCTTGTTCTTTTTCTTCTTCCCTTGCTCTCTCTCCTCTTCCCCGTCTCTCTTTCACCATCACTCTCTCACTCTGTCTTTCTCTTCCATCTTTCACCTGAACTCATTCCTCCCTTCTCTCTTTCCTTCTCTCATGACTTGCTCTCCATTTCTCTTTTATCTTTCTTTCTCTATCTCCCCCCCCCCCCTCCTCCAGGACTCTCTCTCTTTCTCTCACTCACTCTCCCTCACATTAAATTTCTATTCTGCTTCCTCTTTCTCTCCCTATACATGTACATGCATCCCTCCCTCTTTTTCCTTAATTTCTCTCTAGATTTGTCTTTGTGTTTTGCAACCTTCTCTTAAATTGAGAAACGAAAAGTGAATGTGCCCACTACAAGCCAGTAAATTGAAAATATACATGTAGTCCCACATGTAAAGAACCACGTTTGGGGTTTTCAGTATACACTGTGATTTTCATCAGGATGTTTTTTAATTTCCTTACATTTTGCCAGCCCCAAAAAGCTGATTTACTACATGATACATACCAGCTTCTGCTGCTTTTCATGAAAAATGACAGTTACGATGCATGTATTTTGAATTTTAAAATTGCATAATAAACCATTATTGAATTGAATAAAGAATTCAGATTTTCTAGCAATGTCTTCTTATAATTCTTTCTTGATAACTAGTTCAACGCAACCACCCTTCACGGAGGCAAATCTCAGGAGCAGCGTGAGTACGCCCTCGCGTCCCTCAAAGCGGGCCTCAAGGATATATTAGTCGCCACGGACGTCGCTGGTCGCGGTATCGACATCAAAGATGTCTCCGTCGTCATCAACTTTGATATGGCCAAGAACATTGAAGGTAAGCATACAGCAGGCCTGATAATTACCCAATTTTTTCCCTGATTTTTTTTTTTTTTTGTGTGTCCTGATTTTCCTTATTTTTCTCCAATTTTCCCCAATTTTCTAACTGAAAAAGGGGAAAATGTTGTTAGATGCCATTTTTATGCCTCCGCCACCGAAGGTGGTGCCGGAGGCATCATGTTTTCGGGTTGTCCGTCCGTACGTCCGTCCCGTTTGACCGTTATCACAATATCTCAAGAACCATTTAAGATTTAAACTTAAAGGTAATACAAAGTTTTGGGAAATTTTGAAAATGGGTGGATTGTGATTCTTTACAATTTTTATGTATTTGGATACCCCTGTGGATGTAATATAAGCACAAGAAAATTTAGCCCCTAAAACACTTCTGCTTTCGAGAAAAATTGAATATAAAAATTTACCGGTGCTCCCGGTAAATTTTACATACATTTCAATTAGCGTCTACGGCCGTACGGTGGTAGCTGCGACCATGAAAATCTCAGAATATGTAGTTGTGATATATAATTTCCAAACGGGAATAGCTAATCGGTTGATTTTAGTCGAGAAACATTGTTTTATAGCTTAATTAATGTCTTGACCTTGAGAGGGAGCTATACAACATAAAGAGTTTATTATTTACAATTTCATAACTTTAGACTCAATTTCAACCGTGACAACGATCACTTCATATTGTAAGATCGCATATGCTTCCAATATGTTCATTTGAACCAAATTCATGACCCCATACCAAAACTTTGTATTACCTTTAAGACTGGGGAATAGTATTTATCACCATAGGAAGACGATCTGATTAGATTTTGGAGTACGTAGGTCAAAGGTCACAGGTCACAGAGGTCAACTTATGAAATTCCTTGTATTGAGTTTGTTAGCGCGATATCTCAAGAACCATTTGAGATTTAAACTTCAAACTTAAGGATAGTATGTATCACCATAGGAAGACGATCTGATTAGATTTTGGAGCACGTATGTCAAAGGTCAAGGGTCACAGAGGTCAACTTATGAAATTCCATACATTGAGATTGTTATCATGATATCTCAAGAACTACTGGAGATTTAAACTTCAAACTTAGTGATAGTGTGTATCACTATAGGAAAACAATCTGATTACATTTTGGAGCACGTAGGTCAAAGGTCAAGGGTCATAGAGGTCAACTTATGAAATTCCATACATTGAGATTGTTATCATGATATCTCAAGAACCACTGGAGATGTAAAAACTTCAAACTTAAGGATAGTATGTATCACCATAGGAAGACGATCTGATTAGATTTTGGAGCACGTAGGTCAAAGGTCAAGGGTCACAGAGGTCAACTTATGAAATTCCATACATTGAGATTGTTATCATGATATCTCAAGAACCACTGGAGATTTAAACTCCAAACTTGTTTATTTTGAGGTTGAGTTGAGTTGAGGGGGAAAAAATAACTCTTTCTTTTTTAGTACTCACTACCACCCCTGGCATACAGCAGTACTTGCTTTATATACAGTGTATCTCAACAGCAGTTCACCGTTGGAAAAAAAGTCTCCCAGACTGAATATTTCACAAGTATTTCAGGAAATTGTCTTATATGAAGAAAGGGTTGGGCCTCCTCTAATTAGATCCCATCAAAATATAGTGAGCACAATGTACTTGCAAACATTAATTATTTGTATATTGATGAGACACTTGTTTTGCATGGTAAAGAAAGAATTTTCACTGTGACATGGTGTCATTCGACCAACGAGATTGCCTGCATTGCAGAATTTGTTTTATAATGCTTCTGATCAGGAATGTCGTGTTCCGAGTGGTTTCAGGCACTTGACTGGAGATACGAAGGTCAAGGGTTCGAATCCTGACACAGCACTAATATCCTTTGGCAAGATATTTACCTGCACTAGCTACTCTCCACCCAGGTGTTGATTGGGTACCCGGTATAGGATGCGAAAGTTCATGTTGTTGGATGTGCAAGTGTGCGCTGGTAAAAATGACGCCTGGCTGCAATGCTCCCCAGGAAGTGGAAAATGTGCATACATTGTGTGCGGGTGAGCCTGAATCGATGACCGGCGTAATAATAATATATCTGTAAAGTGCATAATTAGGCACATCGTTGTATCAATGTATTGGGTGCTATAGAAAAGCGTAATGTTGTTATTATCTATCCTCTATCATTCCAGACTACACCCATCGTATAGGAAGAACGGGTCGAGCTGGCAAGACCGGTACTGCGGTCAGCTTCCTAACGCCTGATGACAGCGCCATCTTCTACGATCTTAAGAACGTCCTGTCGGCGAGCACAACCTCCTCCTGCCCACCGGAGCTTGCGAGCCATCCCGACGCTCAGAACAAACCTGGTACAATCATGCAGAGGAAACGCAAAGACGAAAAGATATTTGTCTCATAGAAATAGGGAGACGATTCTTTATCAGGTATGCCAGAAATTATGCAGAGGAAACACAAGACGAAAAGATATTTGTTTCATAGAAATAGGGAGGCGATTCTTTATCAGGAATGCCAGTTTTCAGACCATAGCCCGATTTCAGAGCCATCCCGACGCTCAGAACAAACCTGGTATAATCATGCAGAGGAAACGCAAAGACGAAAAGATATTTGGCTCATAGAAATAGGGAGGCGATTCTTTCTCAGGAATGCCAGTTTTCAGACCATAGCCTTATTTCAGAGCCAGACACCTCCCCATTTAATTTTTGTTCAGGCTTCATTTTGTACTGCACATGTGGGAACCCAACATGACAAAGTCTCTTTTCTGGTTGATTGGCTGAAACCAACTGGCATTCTGGTATTTATTCTTGAAAAGGTATTGAAAAGGTGCACACAGTAATTAGACTTTGTTAAAAAATTGTCCAGACACCTTGATTTCTAGAAAAAAATTTGGAACCATCGTGCAATGCAGAGGAAGCAGAAAGAGAGAAAGCAGAAAGATGGGGCGATCTTTGTCTTGTGGAGGAGGAGGAGGATAAACTAACACGCCTGGATGTGCAGACTATGGATGTATATTTCAAGAATAGTGCATTCCTCAGTTTTGACTTTTGACCATTGTGTGACTACCTGTGCTCAGTCTTTGCAGCATCCACATTATTATCAAAGATATTATTACTCCAGAAATAAAAACTAAATACGTGTAGTCTCAAAACATGACACAACTGTGTTCATGCCCTGCTGTTGAACATGTTAACATGTAATTTCTTTTTGAAAAGAAGTCACTTTTGTTATTGGGATTGATGGGAAATGTTTTCAGTAATGTTCTGTAAGTATGAAACTTAGAGATGATTTTGGATATTATGAAATTCATGATTGTACCTTTGATACCGATTTTTGGCTTTTTCCCATTTTGGTTCAAAAGGGATTTGTAATAAATTAATTTTGACGATCTTTTTAAAAATTAGTAGGCAAACCAGTTTTTATTATAGTGAGTTATGAAAGAGAAGTGGGGGCTATTAAGGGAAAGGACCACTTATTTCCCTGTATGTATAGTCCAGAACCTGCTTGGTTTTTATTTGAAGCTCTCCAATTTTTGAGATCTCGCCCCTACCTGCTGGAAGACGAATTCGAGGATCACGGCATCTTCAGCTTGCAGCAAGTTGGGAGATATTGTTAAAATTAGATACGGCCAGATTCTGGGCTTAACATGTATGTGCTGGGTATTTTTAGTAAACAACGTATTCTTGGATTACTTTGTGAAATATTGAGCAATTTGTATCATTTGTTTTTCCTTTGATTTGATCATAGATGCAATGGATAAAGGCGAATATGTTGATACAAATAAATGAAAAGTTGTACATATGTAATGATTTGTAGATCGATTGTTATTTGATCATGAGAGAGAGAGGAAGAAAATGGAGAAATATAAGATAGAAAGGAAGGACAGAAGAGAACAGTCGTGAAGAGAGAAGAGCTAGGAGATAGGGATAGAATAAGTGACAAGCTCATACTGTTCATACATATATTTCCTCCCCCCCCCCAAACCCATTACGAGAGAGAGAGAGAGGGAGAGAGAGAGAGAGAGAGAGAGAGAAGGGGGAGGGAGAGAGAGAGAGAGAGGCAGGGAGGGAGAGAGGGAGAGTGAGAGAGAGGGAGGGAGAAAATAGAGAAATATAAGATAGAATGGAAGGAAGGACAGAAGAGAACAGTCATGAAGAGAGAAGAGGAGGTAGGGATAGAATAAGTGACAAGTTCATACTGTACTTATATTTCCTCATTCCATCATTTTCCCTACAAAAAAATGCTTAAGCAGTTTTCACAATATGGTCCCTGGGGAGTGTTTCACAAAGATCCTAGTTGGACTTGAAAAAAAAGGAGAACCGTTTGTAGCCTTCAAATAAAATATATTAAAAAGCGAAAAATTAAAGTATTTTAGAATTTTTATAAATTCCACGTCGAGAACATGAAATCTCCTTGATAATAGAAAATATGGATGATTTTGATCAACGACTTATCATAATTTTTAAGTCCAACTTAGAGATAAGTTCAACTTAGGATCTTTGTGAAACCCCCCCCCCCCCCCCCCCCCCAGTTATCTAATTACATCATGAAAGAATTCAATTCAGTTTGATTTATTGGGTAGGAACAAACATAAGTGTGCAATTAGCATACGTAAAAATCATTCTCCGGCTGTTCCCGTAAAAATAAAGAAACATCAAACTAGAACCAAATTGGGAAAGGTTGATCTAATTTCAGGGTAATGATTATTAATGTAAACATACACCAATTTCTCACTCTAATCAATCTTTAGACATTCACTAGAAATTAGAAAGCTGCATTCGTCATCTCTCAATCATCTCAAGTTATACTAAGTCAAGTTCAATCATACAATTACAAGACAGTTTTTTCATTAAACTACAAAAAGATACAGAAATGAAGAGTTTCACTGAAATTTATAATGTACATTTAATCAATAGACACAAACTCTGTGTACTAAATCAACAACTTGAAAATAACAGGACACACTTCCTTGACAAGGCTGTAGGATGAAATCAATGACAATCACACAATTTGTCACTAAATAGGAAAATCCTAGGAAAATCCAAATATTCTTTTCCTAAAACCCGTGATAGGCCTTTTATAGAGAGACGATTTATTGTATCGTTCTCGACTGTTAATCCTCGTCTAAATTCAGTTCTCCCCCTCCCGCGTGATCGAAGCGCGGAAGTTTTGGCGTTTCATTAATTATAAGAGAAAGTAGACGATTCGTTGAACCATGCTCGACTCTTAATCCTTGTCTGAATGAAGCTTCCCTAAGCTTCCCGCTCGAAGCGTGGAAGTTTTGGCGTTTCATTAGAAAATTAGAGAAAGTAGACGATTCGTTGAACCGTGCTCGACTCTTAATCCTTCGACGTTTCATTAAATTATGAGAAAAAAGCAGACGATTCGGTGTACTGTTTTCGACTCTTAATCCTTATCTGAATTCAGTTCTCCCCCTCCCGCGCGAAGCGCGGAAGTTTTGGCGTTTCATTAAATTATTGGAGAAAGTAGACGATTCGTTGAACCGTGCTCGACTCTTAATCCTTGTCTGAATGAAGCTTCCCCCTTCCGCGCGAAGCGGAAGGTTTGACGTTTCCCTAAAATATTAGAGAAATAAGACGATTCGTTGTACCGTTCTCCACTCGTCTAAATGAAGTTTTCCCCGTCTGCGCGAAACGCGGAATTTTGGGCGTTTCATTACAATATAGAGAAAGGCAGACGATTTGTCGTACCGTTTTCGACTCTTAATAAGCCATATTATTTTATCTGAATTCAGTTTCCCCCTCTCGCGCGAAGCGCGGAAGCTTTGACGTTTCCTTAAATTATTAGAGAAAGAAGACGATTCGTTGTACCGTTCTTGACTCGTCTAAATGAAATTTTCCCCTTCCGGGGGGTAAGCGGACACTTTTTTTTTTTTTTGGGAGTCCAAAAAAAAATCGCAACGACTCAGCCAGCCGAAAAGTCGCTCAGTGGGGGGGGGGGGGGGGGGGGGGGGGGGGGGGGGGGGCAAGCGGACACTTTTTTTTTTTTTTTGGTCTCGAAATTTCAAAATTTGACATTTTTCTTCGTTGGGGGGGGGGGGGGGGGGGGTAAGGTCACCTTTTTAGGTTAACCGTGGGTATATATATATATTTTTTTTTTAATAATTAAAAAAAAAAAAAAAAAACCCAAAGGGGGGGTTTTTGGTTTTTTTTAGGGGGGTTACACATATAAAAATACCAAAGGGGGGGGGGGTTTGAACCCCCCAAACCCCCCCCCCCCCTGCGTACGCCCCTGAGCTGACCCGACACAGCAACATATTTGACCGTGTCTTTCTCTCTCCCTCGACGAGACGACTCCACCCGACAATCCCTTCTCTCCTTAACTCCCACTCTTCTTCTCTCAGGCTCTTACCCCCTCTCTCTCTTTCATCCCCGTTTCTTTTGTTTCCCTTTTACTCTTTTTTCTTCTTTTTTTCCTTTTCTTCTTTTTTTTTCTTTTCCTTTCTTTCCTCTTCTCCCTCTGTTTCTTTTCTCTCTCTCTTTCTTCTCTTTTCTTTCCTTTCTTTTCCTTCCTTTCCTTTCTTTCTTTTCTTTTCCCTTTCTTTTTTCTTTTTTTCCCTCAATTCCCTCTCTTTTTTCCCTCCCCCTTTTCTCTTTTTCCCGACGGCATCGCAATTTTACCGACAAAATCCTGAGAGGTGGGGGGGGGGGGTGTCGCACCCCCACATCCCCCCTTTGGCGACGCCCCTGCATATATTCAGAAGTGACCAAACTGCAAAGGTCCCGGCAAAAGAGAAACAAATATTGATGTCATCCCTGGTAGTGTAATGGCAATCATGACGATGTAGGGGCTTATACCGATGTCTAAAAAAAAGGTGTATGTTCACTTTGAGGTTTCCCTTTGAAGATGCCCACTTTTAATTCCCAGAAATTGTCCTTTTTTGTTGGTCCTGTTGTTTTCCGCGGAAGCTTATTGGTCGCTGAGTATCCCAATCAACAACAGTGCATGGATCGCTATTGTATGAGCAAAGATTCTAATCCAAACTCTCGTGCAATACCACAATATTACGTAGTGCATGCAATGTGCATGCAGAGCGTTGCGTAATTTGGGATGACTGTGCAGAATTAAGCCAGACCTTCTTCTTCTTGAGCTTGGCTTGGCTTCCTCCAGTTTGGAGAACTGCAGTTGGTGCCGGTGCAGGTGTTGGTAGTACACATATAAAAAGGATAGGTAGGTTTAAAGGTGGCATCACTTATACATGTATGTAGCTGTAGTGGAACGTTTAACATGGAGGTCAAGTATGAAACTGAGAGAGAGAGATTGTGAAAGAGTGATGGGTAGAAATGTCCAGATCTAGACTAACTTAAGTTCTAATTAGAGTCTAGGCCTAGATCTAATTAAATAGATCTAGAAGTCTAGAGTTAAATATTGCCAGTTGAGTTCACATAAACGGAATTCTTGTGCAGGGTGAGCGATACGCGAATGTGGTGCCTGCCAGTGTGACAGTCAATTTAATACTTCTGTCAGTTGGTGTGACATTTGTAAAATTAAAAATGCATCTAGTCTAGACTCTAACTTAGATATCTAGACTAGTCTATATCTATTTGTTTTCATATTTATTTTGTTCACCACTTGACACTTCCCATCGGCCATCCCAAGAGATCGAGAGTGTCAGTTTGGGGTTGGGGTCGCATCAGCACAATGCTGGGCACAATGGGGGGGGGGGGGGGGGGGGGGGATGTGGAGATTGTGCACACTTTGTGTGCGGGCAAGCAATGAATCTAATGACCGGGGTAATAGTATATTTGTAAAGCGCTTAGATCTAGAGACATTTGTATTAAGCGTTATATAAAAATTAAATATTATTATTATTATTGTTATGTCCAGACAAAAATAAAGCCATCTCTTAGAGGTCTACTTATAGTTTTAGTCTTGGCTTTGTGATTTTGGAGGGTCTAGGCCTAGATCTAGACCTATTTGAATTTTGATTTAAATGTATTGTAATGTCGTATTATTTCAATTTCAGACATAGATTCTAGGGCCTAGAGTCTAGATCAGCTCGACGACAGCGCCCCACTGAACTGATACTGATCAGCTGTTAGATAGTGCTACTGATACTAGTGATAATCAGTGATACGCACAGCACGATGGCAGAAGCAAGTTTCTGTCCGGGGAACTCTAGTTTCGTTCCGATCTGGGTGGACCATGGACTGTCCAGGTGCTTCATGGAGACCCTCGTCTCGTCCATCATGTTCCTTGTCGTCGTTGTCATGGGAGGGATTCAGGTGAGAGTCGTGATAGAGAAAAAGTTGTTGGAAGGGCAGGGTCCCTTAGGCCGATGAAAGTTGATCTCATGGTTCTCGTCAGCGCCCGCATCAAATTTTGCTCACGCATCAAAAAAGTTCAACACTCATCGCTGACGAAATTCCCGCGTCAAAAAGTCCAGATATGAAATTGCCGCCTCCAAAAATCGCTGATTGATCGATCGCTGATTGGTCTCAAGTAGCGGGCGGCATAATATGCCGCCCGCTACTTTAGCTGCCTATCGCGTAGGCCAGGAATAGTCTGCGGCTAGACACGGGGCGAATGTTTTGCCTCACGCCGTACTCCGGCTTCCCGCTAACGCGTATTAAACTGTTCAGTGCATTGTGTACGTTGCCCAATATACTAGCTCAGGACAGCAATTCATCTGTACTATTTATCAATCGCTTTTGGCCGCACTGTCAGTCAAAATGATTTTTGATGAAACCTTGACATTTTAAAGGTACTGGGTAAGAGTGTAGGAGAGTACAATACAAAAGTGCTAAGTTTAATGAGGTGAAATGGTAAAAGAATTGTCAGATAATAATTAGAAGAAAGTTAAGATACCTACTTACAATAAAAGAATATGAAGGAAAGTACTTGTGAGAAGATAGAAGAAGAAGAACAAGAAGAAGAACAAGCAAGAAGAAAGAGCAGAAGAACAAATAATAAGAAGCAGACTGAAGACGAACAAAGAAAGATGTATATCGCTATATCATCAAGTTCATAATTTAATACCAGTATAATAAAACAGGGCCTTAAGTTTAAGTCAGAAACGAGACAGTATAAACGAAAATGAAATGAAATGAAGATGGTGTCACAGAAACCCAAATATCACAGAAAATCTGGAAGAAATAGTCATTGGAGTATGATATTGGTGTAAGAGCGTTACATGTATAATGTACAAGACTCGATACCCTCGACAAGTTCTATTGGTTTGTATATGAAAGATGAATTTGGATCAAAATCCCTCATTCAAATTCCAAATATGCCCGCGAGAACATGAAATCAAAGTCAGATGAAAGATGAAAGTTGATCTAAATCCCTCATCAAAATCTCAACAATGCCTGACGAGAACCATGAGATCAACTTTCATCGGCCTTAGTGGTATTTAGGTCCGGTGTGTAAAGTCAATATGGGTCAAGTTTTTGTGTGTTACGAGCCGGACTTTGCTCCGTGAAAAGTACCCCTTTAGTCTTTACTGGACATTTTGGGAACGTGAATGCAGTCCCTCCATTCCCGGAGTGGGGGGGGGGGGGGGGGGCTGTGGCAAGGTTAGAACGGATCTACCTTCGAGCTTCGTAGTGCTCAACTTGCTCCAGTTTTAGTCATACCGGGGCCTGGTAGTCTGCATTATAATATTCTTGTAAAGTAAACTTTATATGGGGATTGTATTGGGAATAGTGCATCAAACAATTTTTCAAATTTAGTACTCTGCCCTTCCTATAATTTGTGTGTCAGAGTTGGTAAGAAAATAAAAATTAGATCCTGAAAATAACTAAATATTTTGGGATAATCTGATCATTTTCGCATGTTTTAATTTCCCGTCATTAAATCCATCATTTACAATCTTTGATAACTTTAAGTTTGCTAATGCGTGCTTCTTGTATTTTCGCAGTTGAAAAAAGTATGAAATTACAAAAGTTTTTTTTTTGCCTGTTCAACTCATTACACATTCAACAATTGATGAGAAATCATTGAAAGGGGCAGCGAACATTTGCTGAGATACCATATTTTCTGATGTAGGAATTCTAAATCCTGATACTGCGCTTTTATCTCACCACCTGGTCAACAGTTGCAGATTAGCGCATAGCTTTTCGGCGGCTTGGAGCATGGGGTCAAAGGAGAGCGGCTTGATTCCACTCCTTCATTATTACCTCCCTGCTCCTTCCTAGTTTCAATTTTTGGTTGACGACCATCCTGAATCTTCCAATACTAGAAGAAAGTTGAATTTCTGACTTCAATGTATTTTACTCTCCACAGGTTTTAATATTCTGGAAACGGGCTATGAGTGTCGAACAACGATTCCGAACGAACCCTTTTTGGTTTCGCCTCCAAATCTTCCTCTCCATCGCCATGGTAACCCAGTACATCCTCCGCATCGTGATGTACGCCGTCCTCCACGAGCCCCTCAACGGCGACATCGAACTCGGCACCTGCTTCTACATCTCCTCCTACATCGTCTCCTTGTTTGTCATCGCCATCGAGCGCACCAAGTTCCTCGCCAGCCGAGTACGCGGTCACGGGTTCATCCTGCTCCTCTTCTGGTCCTTGGCGTTCCTGAACGAGAACCTGGCGTTCGTGTCATGGGGAAGTCCCCACTACTGGTGGAAGCTGGAGACGGAGTTCCACCAGACCATGTTTGGCCTGTGGGTGGCGCGTTACGTCATCACGTTTTGCCTGTTTGTTCTCGGTCTGCGAGCGCCGGGGCTGCCAAGGAAGAGCTACATGCTTATCGTCAACGAGGATGGTAGAGAGCCGGTGAGTTCTTTTCTGTTTGTATCCAAAATATTTCATGTCATGCTCATAGAAGGACTTGTTGTAGTATTTAGCAATTGTTAATGGGATTAAAGACCAGCAAGAAATATCTTGATTTGATCAACATCTTTATTTGAATTGATGTTCCCTGAAGTTTTACATGGTTAATAATTATTTACAACTAAATAAGGGTCAACCGTCATGACCAAGGTTTGAAGGGTCTTGCCCTATGTATTGTCTAGGGGAAGCTGCTAAATAAACCACTGTTTTAACGTGTATTTTGTTTAAATAGACCAACGAAATACCTCTGAGTGGGCCAGAAAACGCCTCAACGTGGGCCAACGCGATGCTCAAGGTGCGCATTGTCTGGCCCTACGTCTGGCCTAAAGGGAACTGCCTGATGCAGCTCAGGATACTGTTCTGTCTCGTCATCTTGGTAGCTGGACGTGTTATCAACGTTTTTGTTCCTGTACTCAACAAGAACATAGGTGAGTAGGCGTCTAAAAGCTGATCCAATGTTTGCTCTGGAGGCCTTTGCTCCGGGCTTCATTTTGTCCATGATATAGGGATAGGCTTAGGGTTGCAAACCTGCAAACATATTTCTTCTCTCAGTAACATAATGTGATTTACGTATTTCATATGCCTATATATTTTTATCTTTCTCTCCACGTTCTGTAATTTTTTAACCACTATGGTTCATTTTGTAGTTAGTGCTCCTAAATGTCCAATATTTTTATTATTACTGTTACGGTTGGGTATAATGTTTGGCCCAGGGTTCAATTGAGGAGTGTGTATAGCGCAGGAAAATGATCGCGGGGCAATAGCTGTCCTGCAGCCCTCTTGAGGCCAGGGTACACGTTGCGATGTGACTTTGCCTAGATCTGAAAAAAACAAAAAAACATTAAGATTAGAAATGAAGATCAAAATAACTTGCTTTTTTCCTTACTGAAGTTCTGAATGGTCATATGAATTAAAAGTCTAAATTGGCAATTATTGTGAACCTCATGTAGTATAGCTGGTCTTACAGCTACTGTTTTGAATCCTAGATTCCTCACTTTTTCTGAAATATTTTGTGTGAAAATATACAAAATAGACTGTATTCCCAATTTCGCGTTGAGAGATTCCTAATCATTGCTGTGAAAGGTTGGCAGGTACTTGTATACATAGAGAAAGGCTTGATTAACTGGGATGTTATATCTACATTATATCAGATAACAAAGACAAAAACTAAGTTGCAGGTTTTCAAGGAACTGAAAAAAGATGAGAGGCAATGGCTCAGTGGTAGAGCATTGGTCTCGTAACCGGAAGGTCCCGGGTTCAAAACCAAATCGATACACTTGTGCCCTTTGGTATGGCATTAATTCTCATTGTACCTTGTCCCTCGGGAGGACTTAAAGTTGTTAACCCCCTGGTGGCTTACTTAACCCGTTGACTACTGCATTATCTAATTCCCATAGACTTAACACAGAGACCACCAGGTTCCAGTAAGCAATAGGTTAAAAGCGTACACATACTTTCTTAGCAGTCGGGTAAAACTGTGTAGCGGTGTTTCTTTTACCTGACTGCTAAGAAAGCATAAATGCTTGTGATTAAGCAACCAGAGGACCGACGGCTTTAGGTCCTCTCTGAGAGACCTGGTAATGAGGATTAATGCCTTACCAAAGGGCACTAGCGCATCGCCTTGGTTTCAAACTCGGGTCACCGGATAAAGAGACCACTGTCTACCAACTGTGCTATCGCGCCAACCAAACCAACCAATAATACCAGCTTCTCTTTGTTGCTTTTCTTTGAATATAAGTGGATGCGCTATCCGGTACTCCAACATTTCCAGTCAGGTACATCGTGTACTACGTAGGATGCAAGCTGTTGCAGGGCGGTGGCTTTGGTAATGTATTAATATCACCCTCTTTTATCAATTGTTCTGAACTGACGATTTCATATTCAAATATATTGCATGTATCTTTATTCAGTCAAAATATTATCTACAGTATCTTTGTAAATAATTTTATTAGATATTTCATTTTAAGATAAAACCAGTAAAATGGAATAGAAGAGATAAATATTGTCATTTGTTTTTCAAATTTGGCTCCGAAACTATAATTTCTATCAGACTTTCCAGTTCTCGATCCATCGTATAATTTATATGGTAACCGAAAGTGCCTTTGCCAAATATACCCATGGCTGGTGCTGCCCTCTATGGCACAATACCGTAGTTGCGGTAGGGAGAATTGCCTAAAACTATGTCGTTCAATCCAAATTTCAAGCATAATAGAGTAAGTTATTCATACTTTGTGTGCACTGTTTTGTCCTCTGCTCTGCAGGTAGTTTGGGTCTACTGAGTAACATTCGATCTCTCCTGTGGATCCGAGTTCAGCAGAATACCACCAAAGGAATCATGGTCCGACTATTCGAACACCTCCACCAGTAAGTAACCATATTTTAGGGATTGGGTATCTTTGTCTCAGATCCTGAAACAAAATCCTGAAATTAGTTCATGCTGCAATGATAATTATAAACCTTTAGGTCAGTCAGGAATCCCATGACATTTAAAAGCCGATCGCCTGTCTGATTATCAAAATATTTATGATTGGAATTCAAAAATTCAAAGACTGTTTTTGCGATGTTTATTTATAACGCTACAGTCTATGGGGGGAATTGAATATGGTAAAACGGGTCACTCAAAGATTTTTTTACTTCTTTGAGCCACTCTATGATCATTTTGAATCACAATTTTGTTTTTCCTTTTTTTTGGAGGGGGGGGGGGGGGGTGGGGGGTGGAGGGGCTTCAATATTTATACACCAAATCACATACACTGATAACACATAGGGCAATGCCTTTAATTGTATTTCAATAAAAATATTCTGTTCTTACAAAGCACACTGCACTTTGAAAGAGCTTCAACAACTTTTCCCTCTGCCTTACCTCCGACAATCGTTGTCCATGCTTGGAGCATTTTAAGGAATAATCCTACCAGGGGGGTGTTTCACAAAGATTAAAGATCGACTGATCGATGAATGCAGAAGAAAGTCCAGTCCAATCAAATCAAATCAAATCAAAAAGATGGTTTAGAGAAATTGTTAAAGGTAAAGACCAGTATTGGAAACGCCCCAATTTCAAAAAATTAAATATGGAAGCTCTCATTAACAATCATGTGAAAGAATATGTTTTGACTAATACTTGATGATAAAAAATTTGCTGTGAAACTGCCTACTAATTCATATATTTGGTAAATTTGTTTCTCTCATGGTCTGTGAGAGATATAGGGTAGTCCCATATACACTACCGCTCAAAGGTTTTGGCATCGGTTCCGCTCCGTAAACCGCACCGAACTGTGTACGGTGAACGGCGAGGATCCGTTCACCGTACGCCCAACTTCGGTTCCTCACCGTTTGCTCGCCGTTTGCTCACCGTACGCTCACCGTTTGCTAACCGAGGAATTGCGGTTACTAACAAAAAGAAATGTGCGCGCTAAGTCTGCGAGCGCGTATCCAAAGAACTCTCAAAAGTTGCACACGCGTACGCGGAAAGTCAAGTTATTTGTTTTATTTTATCATACCGATGCGCGCTTGCCACTGACGTCACAATCAGTTTATTATTACATCACAATAGTGTAAAAGAATACTCTTTTCATTCCGAGCATAAACACACGACATAATGATACGAAAATGATTATTTACTTGATGTCATTCCCGACAGAATGATACGAAAATGATTATAAAGTTGATTTCATTGCCAAGACAATGATACGAAAATGATTATTTACTTGATTTCATTGCCGACAGAATGATACAAAAATAATTACTTAGTTATTTTTTGCCGACAGAATGGTTCAAAAATGATTATTTACTTGATGTCATTGTCGAGAGAATGATACAAAAATTATTATTTACTTGATTTCATTGACGACAAAATGATTAATTAGTTGATTTCATTGGCTAGACATTGATACGAAAATGAATGTTTACTTGATTCCATTGCCGACAGAATGATAAGAAAGTGATTCATTAAATGATGTCAATGCCGACAGAATGATACGAAAATGATTATTTACTTGATGTCATTGCTGACAGGATGATACGAAAATGATTATTTACTTGATTTCATTGCCGACAGAATGATACGAAAATGATTATTAACTTGATGTCATTGCCGACAGAATGATACGAAAATGATTATTAACTTGATGTCATTGCCGACAGAATGATACGAAAATGATTATTTACTTGATGTCATTGCCGACAGAATGATACGAAAATGATTATTTACTTGATGTCATTGCCGACAGAATGATACGAAAATGATTATTAACTTGATGTCATTGCCGACAGAATGATACGAAAATGATTATTTACTTGATGTCATTGCCGACAGAATGATACGAAAATGATTATTTACTTGATGTCATTGCCGACAGAATGATACGAAAATGATTATTTACTTGATGTCATTGCCGACAGAATGATACGAAAATGATTATTTACTTGATGTCATTGCCGACAGAATGATACGAAAATGATTATTAACTTGATGTCATTGCCGACGGAATGATACAAAAATGATTATTTACTTGATTTAATTCTTTATACATTAGCAAACGTGATTCCTAGATCTGCATGAGGCTTTATAAAATCTGTCATTGTTACGTCACAATACAGTTTTCAATGCGTGCGCGATCTTAGCTCACCACGTGCGCGCTTTTAGCTAACCGCGATTTCTCACCGTTCAGAGAAATCAGCGCGTGCGCTCTCTCTTGCTAACCGTTTGCTCACCGTATGCTCACCGTTTGCTCACCGTTTGCTAACCGAGACTTTGCGGTGAACAACAAAATCATGGAGATTAACCTCGGAGGCTAACCGAAGGACATTGCGCACCAAACCGTAACCGAACCGATGTGCCAAAACCTTTGAGCGGTAGTGTACATCTTTCTGTGTATAGTGCTCGTAACTTTACGAAGAATGGGCCAAATTTCTTATCATTTTGATGATTCCAGAACCTTGCAGATGCTAGGTGCTAGATGATCAACCTTTTCTGATCGATTTCACAACGTTTCTTTCACAATGCAATCGCATGACCATAACTTGTCTTTACCTTTAAAAGAATGCTCTTTGTTGTTGTTTTTGTCTTTAAGTTTGTCATTACGTTGGCATCTGAACCGAAAGACGGGTGAAGTTCTCAGGATGATGGACAGAGGAACAACCAGCATCAACAGTTTACTCAGGTATTATACAGTGATTTTCATCTACATTTGCCTCTCTCCACCCGGGTGAAGTAAATGGGTCCCCGGTAGGAAGAAATTCATTGATTGCTCATGCTGCCTTATCGCGTAAACCACTCTAAAGCAGGGGTATTAGATAGTGATTTACATCTACATTTGCCACTCTCCACCCAGGTGAAGTAAATGGGTCCCCGGTAGGAAGAAATTCATTGAATGCTCATGCTGCCTTATCGCGTAAACCACTCTAAAACCGGGGTATAAGTAAAATTTTAGGGCCCTCATGGGGAATATTATTAATTAATGATAAGGCTACCCTGCATAAAAAAAGACTTATTATTATTATTATGATTCATTTAAGACACTGTAAACTGTATTGTAAAAATCAGCGCAGCAAAGAGTAACAACTTTTTCTGACAAACAAATGGCAAGAGCATGTGTAGAAAAAACTAACAGTACATAACATAGGCCCTAAGCATACACACATATATCTGTGTTACAAGAAAGAGAAATGATCCTTTGAGAGCCAGAAAGATATTCAGTCATTCAAAAATTAAAAAGTTAATGACCCATTGGCATTGGCTGGAATAAAACGGCTGGTTCAAATTATTGAATACTCGTTATATATTTCAGCCGTCTCTGAACCGATTTTGATCAAACAAAGATGATTTTGTCATTTAATTTGTATGTTCTTTCAAATTTGACACATTATCTCACAAAAAAAAATTATTTTGTGTAGCACCCTCTGCAACAAAACTCAACTATCCCTTTAATTTTCTTTGGCGTGGCAGTGTTTCGAAGCATTTTACTACCAACATCATACAAGATACTTCAAAAATCTGCAAATTTGTTTCTTGTATACAGCTACATCGTCTTCAACATCTTACCAACAATCGCTGATATTGTTATTGCTGTGGTCTACTTCATCAGTGCTTTCAACGCATGGTTCGGCCTTATCGTGTTTGTGGCTATGACCTTCTTTATCGGTAAATTATTTTATGGATACCTCATGTAGAACATAGCTACATGTATAAAGCTATTCTTTCATTTTCGGTAGATAAAAAGACATACTTAGTAACCAGTTTATCATTAACCTATTTTTGTTTTAAAGGAAAAGTTCTTTTAATTTAACCAAAATTGGAGAGACAACTTGAAGTCATCATTTCATCAAGGACATACAGTTAGTATTAGGGTTGGAATTATTTCTTTAGGTTACATTTAGGGTTAGGATAAGGTATAATGTTTGGTTGTGGCTTGTCGTTGAAAATTTTGAAAGTTTGTGTGGGACATTGGCCATGGAGCAATTGCATTTACAGTACGTGTCGTAAAACCCCAGGGCCCAGCGATATCTTTATTCTACAGGATGCCATGAAAGCTCGCTCTGCTATTATCTGGATTGCTTTTAATAGTAAGATGTTTCCATACACAAACAAGTAGGTAGGCATTGTGTTTGGATGATACATGTACAGTACATGATTAATCGTTTAGTTTCGGTTTTAATGCTGTTGCAAGAGGCTATTAATTAGATTTCATTACATCCTTTTCCTCCAGGTGTTATCACTGATAAGCTTTCACATGGAATTTAAAGATAAAGATCAGTTCTGGTCATGCGATTGCATTGTGAAAGAAACGTTGTGGAAACGATCAGAAAAGGTTGATCATCTAGCATATAAGTATTGGTGTGTATTGCAAGGTTCTGGAATCATCAAAATGAAAAGAAATTTGGCCCAGTCTTGGTAAAGTTACAAGCACCGTACACAGAAAGATGTATACGGGACTACGCACACATGCGCGACATTTGCGTTTTATCTATCACATCCCAATAGATAAACTAATTTAGCAAATATATCAATTAGTAGGCGGTTTCCCCGGCAAATTTGTTATCATCATGTATTAGTCAAAACATATTCTTTCACATTCTTTTCATTTTTTTTTAATTGTGGTGTTTCCAATACTGGTCTTTTCTTTAAAAAGGAGACTCCAATCCATGTAAATATTTCCCATTCAATATTTAAAGGAACAAATTACAAACGGATATTATGCTAATGTTGTGTCAAAGTGTCGTATAGTGGTTCATTCCCTTGACCGTCAATCAGAGGGTTGAGGGTTCCAATCCCAGCCTGGCACTAACATCCTTTGGCAAGACATTTTTCCATGTTTGCCACTCTCCACCCAGATGTATAAATGGGTACCTGGCAATTGCTGGGGTTATAATAAGTGCAGGGCCCTCAGGAAGAACAACATCGTAGCTGATTGGGCTCAATGGGTAAACATAATTATTATTATTACCAATGTTTTTGGTTCTGCGCTAGTAAATGTGTATTACGATCTATTCAGAATATCTGGGACCTGACATTTTCTCCTGCAGCAATTATTTGTAATACTTTATTTTTCAAAGGTGTAGGATTAGGGTGAGAGTTGCAGTTGGGTTTAGATTACTGTAGTGGAAGGGTTATAATGTTGGGTCCAGGTTTGAAATGTAGAAAAATTGATGTTGCCCAAAACATCGCGCTCGCAATAGAGCCAACGTACGTGTCACTCCTTGTTGTCCCCATCGACCATGAATTGATTCTCGACTAGTCTTGCGTAGTTTCTCAGGACCTAAGAGTTGTAGGAAACTCTCTCCCATCACCTCCCATCACCCATCAATACAGTCCTCAGTTTCTCTCTGTCAACTAGCCATCATCTAGAGTATTTACTTTTGTTTTCCAGTTGTCACCATTATTGTTACCGAGTGGAGGACAAAATTCCGACGAGAGATGAACTTGAAGGACAATAAGATGAGACAGAAAGCCATAGACTCTTTGCTCAATTTTGAAACGGTGAGTAGAAGTTCTTTTTTTGTGTCTAGTCTTAAGTTCATTTTATTTCATTTTATTTATTTTCATATTTCTCATGTTACATATACATTTCAAAATGTAAGTTTTTTTTGGTGTGATACAATAACAATCAATAATACATAATAAATAACATAAAGATAAGTGGTCAATATAGAGTACTGATTTAACTGAGAGAAATATGATGGGACCTACATGAAAGCAAGCTTGTAAAGCTGTAGGCCCCAGTGAAATAGTTTGTGGTAATGAGTGGAGGACGGATATGAATCGTGACCAGTCCAAATGAATACAAAAATAAAAAGGGAAATAATAAAGAAACATGCGGTGGTGCTGTTTATATTGTCCCTCTCTTTCCTACAATGTAGACAAAAGTACACCTACTTATATCTTCTAAAGCTTCCTCCACATATATCACAACAAATGCAATAAAACATGTTAACAATAACAAGTTACAATAACTGTTATTAGCTACTGAAATCATGATATTTGATTTGCTGAGAGCTAATTTGTCATAAAAATCTAGCATTTGTTACTGATACCAAGTTTTATGAAACAGGGCCCATGCAGGACAAAATAAGCGAATTGCGCTTCATATTTCTTACAACTTGCAGATATATGATGTAATTAAAGTTAGTACACATATGACTGTTATACATGTACTTTTCATCTCCTCTTGCCATCCATTTCCAAAACAATATAATACCATTATTTTCTGGGTCATTTGTGAATGGATCTTATGGTATTTTGGAGTGTATACATTACTTTAATTATGAATTTTTCAAGATGAGCTTGATATAAGTTAGAGGGTTTATGAGGTGAAAAATGAAAATATTTATCTGACCTTTTAAATCTTGCGATGTAAAGCGTGAATTTGAGTCCATTATTTGAATGTACAGGTATGTTGTAATTCAATAATTTGAATAAATGCCAGAGTTATATTTAAACAAAATATATATTCAAGCCCGTGGTATCGGCTCCTTTGGAATAAATCCAATTGAAGATTTTAGCTTACCTGTAGATACCCCTGCGAAAGTGTAGAATTGTTTGCGTTTGGCTCATTCTTCAATGCTCCATTTAAACAATCTTAAAGGATTTCAAGAATATAATTTCAATGCCGTTGTATATCCCGTAACAATCTTTGTTGGATAACGTAATACTGTTGTTCAGATATCTCAGTAGGTAATGGACATAGCTATTTAAATTGCATAAGTTTCAAAAAATTCATAAGGTTTGAATCGCACAAGGTTTTAAAATTGCATAGGGTTTTAAAATTGCATACGGTTTAAACTGCATAGGGATTTTAATTGAATTAAGTTTTGAAATTGTGTCCATTCCATTCATGTATAAGACATAAGTTTAGAAATATCTTTACCTTGCCCTTTACATAGAAGATTTATTTTAGTGCTTTGCGTATTCTCATGATTACCACTGTTTCTTGTTTTATTTCTTAGGTAAAATACTACAACAATGAGGCATTTGAGGTCAATATCTATGATGAATGCATCACAGACTATCAGGTAAGCTTTTCTTGGTGTCATAGTCTTCAAAAGTTATCCTATTTCTAAACGATAAAAACGAATTTCTGATTGACCATCTGCTTAGTGACACACATAGATTTAGTTGTTGTTATCATGGTCATTGGTATAAATTATGATTATTATTACTATGTTTGCGACTCCCAAAAGATTGTAACATTCAGTAATCTTTCCAGCAAAGATTAACAGACAGTGTCTCAGATTTTCTGTGATGTTTTAACCAATCTTTATGCAAGAAAAGGATAAGGTAAGAATTCTTAGTAGAGTTTTGTGTCAATTCGGTATATAAAAGACATATCTGCTTTAATAATCGAGGCCTGGCTGTTGGCTCTCGGGGACGTTACATCCTGCCATGACCCATCAGCGCGCCGCCCATCCAGGTGTGCGTCGGGGTCATGGCAGGATGTGCACGTCCCCTTGAGCTTATATAACAGCCAGGCCTCTCATAGCGGTCTCATATTATTATCGTTATTAATGTTATTGTCGTTATTATCATCATTATCATCATTATCATCATCATCATCCTCATTATAATGTCTATTATGTCATCGTACAGGTGAGTGAGTGGAAGTCTACCGCATCGCTGTCCATACTGAACTCAGCCCAGAACCTTGTCATCAACGCCGGTCTCCTGGTAGGATGCTTGCTCTGTGCTCATATCGTCTACGAAGGAAGACTCACAGTAAGTCTATATCCATTGAGTGATTTCAAGTTGGGTGTTTAGGGCTGGTGGTAGTGTTTAATAACTGTAAATACTGTAAATGCACTGGTAAATAGGTTTATTGCCATTTGGTCTACAAATGGTTCGTCTACTACCCAAGTGGTCTATTCCATCTGGTCTACACCCAGCCTAAATTAGACTGAATGAGCAATAGGCCAAATTATTGGAGATTAGTATACAATTAATACACAGCAGTGAGGGCATTAGTAAGAATTACCTACACAAGGTACCTTGTGTGGGTAATTTTATCAATGCCCGAAAAAACTGATGTGTATTATTTGTTTTATAAGATTATGTTTTATTTGTTTTATAAAATGATGTTTTATATCATGATTTATTTATTTATTTATTTATTTATTTATTTAAAAATATTTATACAGGATAACAATATCAACCAAGGCTGTTTTTCATATTGGTCCTGTATATAATACAAACAATATATATAAACTATCAGTGAATACAAATATCATTGAAATACAAATATCATCGAAATACAAATATCATTAAAATATGCAAAACATGAATAGATTCCATGGATATTAAATAATATAACATTTTGTAACATAACCAGTGAATAGACACATGGATTATTGGATTTACATTCATAGATTTACCCAGGATCACAAAAAGAATTATCTAAAACAAAGTAAGAAAAAACAAAAAACAAACAAACTTGTATTTATTAAAGTGGGTAAAAAGATATATACAAACATCCATGGATATATTGGTTATTTAGAACATTAATGAAAGTACAATCTTTTATAAAGGTATTTAAATGAAGAAATAGATGTTGAATTCTGTAAGTTAATAGGTAATGAGTTCCAGATAATTCCTCCTGAGTACATAAGACTGTTCTTAAAGCATTCTAGATTAGGTTTTGGTAATATTACATTTGTTTTGTCAGCGGCTCTAGTATTTAAGTTATGTCTATCGCAGACCATTTCTATAGCATTACACAGATGTGTTGATGCAATACCATGTACAGATTTATACATTAAAACAGCTAAAAAATAATTTCTCCTTTCGTCAAATGATTGCCATTTCATTAATTTTATTAAATCATCACCTCTAACATTTTCATAGTCATAGTTGGATGTAATTATACGTGCTGCTCTCTTTTGTAATCTTAAAAGTAACTCTTTATTTATCCTTGAGCAATTTCCCCAGACTGTGTATGAGTAGTCAATACATGGTAGAATGATTGTATTATACATGAGCTTTAAGGATTTGACATCTAAATATTGGGACATATTACGCAATGAGAACAGTTTCATAGAAATCAATCTGGTAAGTCTTTTAACATGGATATCCCAAGTAAGGTGTTCATCAATTTCCACCCCTGGATATTTAAAATTATGAACCTGTTCCATTTTCGTTCCATCCATGTATATGTTCAAATTATATGACTTACGTGTACTTAAAAGCGTAATTTTAGTCTTTTCAGCATTAACTTTTAAATTATTCTGCGTATACCATCTATATATTGAATGAACATCATTTTGTAACAATATGGTTAAATCATTAATCTTCTTATGAGAAGAATATATAACAACATCATCAGCAAACATATTACAGGTACATGTCTGCAAAGACTGAGCTATATCATTTATAAAAAGTAAAAATAATAAAGGTCCGAGGACACTCCCTTGAGGTATTCCATTAGATAATGTTTTTGAGTTTGAAAGTATACCATGACAGAAAACCATTTGTCTCCTTTCAAACAAATAACTACTAAACCATTCAAGCTGTTCATCCTTTATACCATAACATTGTTGTTTCTTAAGTAATACTTCATGGTCAATTGAATCAAAACATTTGGAAATATCTTAAAAGCACGCAGCTACTAATTCTTTCTTATTAAAAGATTCTAGCCAATCATCTATAGTTCTATGAATACATGTACCGGTATTGGTTGAATGGTTGGGTAGGAAAGCCGATTGATCAATAGAAATCAAGTCATTCATGCAAAGATAAGTCAATAATTGTTTTTGAATGAGTTTCTCTAAAATTTTAATTACATGGCAGGTTACAGATATTGGTCTATAGTTGGTTGGATCATCTTTTTTCCCTTTACCTTTATAAATCGGTGTTACTTTGGATATTTTCCAATCAGACGGAACTGAGCCATTTCTTAAACTTGCATTATATAGTAAAACCAATGGTTTAGATAAAACTGATGCTCCAATACAAAGCAATTTAGAATCTACATTAAATATGTCAAGATTACTTACATTTCCTAATTTGCATAACAATTCATTAACAACACTTTCCTTAAGTCTTTGAAATTCAAAACTATAAATACATTCAGGATGTTTCCAGCTAAAATCATCATTTTTAGGCTTATTCGTTTTTCCAACTGACGCAAAAAAATCGTTCAATTTATCTGCATTTAATTCATTAGGCAATACATCGTTTTTAGGTTTCCTACCAGTGATCTTATTCAGCTCACGCCATATTTTCTTACTATCTTTTTTACAATCTCGAATAACATCCTTGGTATAATCCCTCTTATTATCACGTCTTAATTTAGTAATACGGTTTCTTAAGCATTTATAGTCTTTTTTCATAGCTGGGTCAATATCAGATTTCCTCTTTAAAAAATCTCTTTTATAAATCAATTGGACTAATTCTTTTGAAATCCAGGGACAATATCTTTTTTTCATATGCATAGTTTTAAGAGGTGCATGTTTATCACATACCTCAGTAAAAGTAGATTTCCATTTAAACCATTTTTCATCAATATTATACTTATCATCTTGAAAATCAAGATTACTGGTATCAAAACTTCTTTCTAAGTCCTGTAAACAATCATCTCTATCAAATCGTTGATAATCACGAAATATAACCTCTTTAAGTTTGTTATGTTAAGTCATTGAAAAATTTATACATGTATAGATGAGATAATGATCACTTACTGAAATCTTTGCAACATTGGTGAGAGTATGTCTTTCAGGTATCGTGGTTAAAATATGATCTAAACATTTTGAAGAATTGCTTGTAACCCTTGTAGGCTTCAACACTAATTGTGTTATGAGAAATAGATTTTCAATCAAATTAATTGGATTATTACATAAATTATGATCTAAGACGTAATCATAATTAAGATCACCTAATATAATGAGTTCCTTATTTTCTTGTGACACCTTTTCCAATACATCCAAGAGATTATTAAAATATGATACATCAGCATTCGGTGGTCTATATATACAAGACATCAATACTTTTTCGTGATTAAAAAACATTTCAAACCAAATACCTTCCAATGAATTACTTATTAAATCATGTCGCAATGTGCATGGAATAGATTTTAAGATATAAACACAGACACCACCACCTCTTTTCTTGTTCATAGTCTTTGGTCTATCCTTACGAATTATTACATAATTGTCTATAAAAACATCATTATCATTTATCAGATCATGTAGCCATGTCTCTGAAATACATAGAACATCAAATTTTATTTTTATAAGTAATAATCGAATCTCCTCTATTTTATCTAATAAACTCCTAACATTTAAATACCCGACTTTAAGGCCATTATGTTTAGATAATTTAAAGTTACATTTGGAATATTCATTACTATGTTTATGATTGGTGGTATGATGAACATTGTTGGAAACATCATTAGCAGTTATTATGGAAACACATTTATCAATATCATATTCATTCTCCTCTTGAGCAGTTACAGAGTGGCCATGATGGAATGTGGCGCTCTCTTCTTGGCCTATGGTTCATATATAACAGTTTTTTTATCTTGTGACCATATTGGATACAGTTTCTGCACTGCAAAGGTGCACCATGTCGGCAGCTTAATGCATTGTGGTTTGGTTCTCCACAGTACTCACATCCTGGTCCTTTAAGTACCGAGGCATATGTAGGGTAGGGCTGGAGCTCTATTCCACGACCTAAGTCTGTCGATCTGTGCCAAGGTGCTTGACGTTGATGACTTGGTGGGATGAGAGGATCTATATATGGCGGTCCCATGAGTTGATTTTGTGCGGGATAGATGGATCCATTGGCATAGGTAGTTCCATTCATGGTGGGGTATATGGAGTCTACGCGCTGTCTTCTCCAAGGTTGACTGGGTGGAGGCTGGCCCATTGGTGGTCGGAAAGATGGGTTCAGGGGGCCTTGAGCAGAGGTTCCAGGCAAGTACTGATGCGGTGGTCTCCTAAGTTGGCTGGGTGGAAGCCGCAGTTGAGCCATTAATGGTTGGGGAGGTGGGCCTTGATGTGTCTGGACCGATCCAGAGATGGATGGAAATACAGGTCCACGCGGGTCGAATTGCTTTGGTCTCTGTGGTTGACGGGGAGGAGGTATTCGTGTTCCCGCTGTCATGGAGGAAGTTCTGGGGCTTGAAGATTTTTGGTTAACATTCTCATTCTGAACAGGGGGAGGGTGGGCGGGTCGTGAAGATGGCTTATCTAGGAGGGCATTAACTGCATGTTTAAGTTCCTTGATATCTGAAGCTAGTTGATCTAGGCGTTGTGGGGTGCATCTACATTTCATGCATAGTGGTTCTCCAGGTGGTGATTGCAGGCCACATAATTGACATACCAATGGGTATGATGGTGGCATTGGGCTTGCAGGTCCAATACTGGAATTTATCTCTGAGTTCACACTATCGTTCAAAAAAGACGACTCTTTGTCCTGTGTTTGAGGGTCAACATGTTGTAATATGAAATGGAGTCCAATTTCAATATTTAAATTCGGGCATATTATGCTTAGTTCACCAAGATAGAAGTCATTCACGTCTATTTCATCTGGAACGGTTAATCCCCGATGTAGTAGATTAATAGCATACAAAATTGAGGTTTCAGTGATATTCTTTGGTAGTCTATAACGAAAGTTGTCGGTTCCCAGTTCACCTTTATACTTGTTTGTCGTCAGCTTAGCCATGAAGACTATACATCGATTGTCATATGTGGGAATGTAGTATAATTTATGGCTTCGATCTTAAATTCAAAGACAACCTATACGACGTTCAAAAGTACTTACATGATGAAAAATTCTCCCTCTCAAAGTTTAAAATACTCCTTCTGATGTCAGTGTTGTGATATCGTCAGATTAAAATCAGTTTAGTTCATGGAATTCGTATAAATTGCACGGAAGATTCTCAAAAATTCGCGGTAGATAGCGCCCTCCTTAGCTCAATTAATCAATCAATGAATATTGAACTGTTCCTTCCCAGGCCACCTGCACCGTCTTTTGCTTCTTTGTCGCAGATGAATACATGCTGTAAGCCAAGTTTCTCAGTGATGGGAGACTTGAATAAGAATTTACAACGGTTTTGGACGGATGAAAGCAGGGCTTTGTAAGCAAGCTTCTTTAAAAAAAATTTTGGAGTATACTTTCTGAGGAACAGAGAGTCTTTTGTCCAGTTATGATTCAATCATGCAAGCTAACAAATTTTGATTAATTTTTCTTAATAGGGTAGGGGTGTGGATAGACAAAACAGTTCATGCAGGTGTAACAGTCACATTTCATGCAGAGTTGTTGAAGAAAGTCGTAATTCCCATACTATATTTCTTGGTGGAAGCAAAGGCCATTGGACCGTCAACAATAGTATAGTATTAATGACTGCTTTGAGAGAAATAGATGTTTTTATACGCTCAAGGGAAGGTTACAATTGTGCTATTACCCGAGGCGTGCCGAGGGCAAAAGCCCAATTGTAACCTTCCCGAGAGCGTATAAAAACAACTATTTCTCGAATATTAAAGCAGTCATTAATACTTTTATATGCCGAAAAAAAAGGAAAAAAAAAAGAAAAGAAAAAAAAAAAAAAAACTTTTGTCGAAGATGGGATTCTGATATTTATACAGGGTGGCACATATCACCAATTTGGTGGTCTTCCATGAGGCCCTGTCTGGCAATAATAAACAAATAACAGCATAAAAAACAAAATAGATAAATACACAAGCATATAAACAGGTAAAATACAAATGAATTGGTATCCCCTTGAAATAACTGATCATTCAAGAATCATCCTTGATCATTTACAAGAAATAGGTGAATGGAATTTTCAAATTAAATACAATTTTTAAAAACGTTCATTTAATAATCTGATAAAGCTTAATGCACGGGATACCAAAATTGTTATATACATATTTACATTCAATTGCTCTTTAACTAATTCACTTAGGTTGTTAACAAGATAGCTGAAAAAGGATACATTGCATGTATGAATACGTGATATAACGATAACCATGTCAACCAAATTTCATAATATTGCAAATAGGGAAAAAAATGGTTACCTTTGCACGAAACCACCAAAAGTTCACTTACACGTCATCTACAGATAACAGGGCTTTTAGAGCGTGTTTAAAACTGTTCAAAGTAGGTGATATTTTGACAGGACTTTTAAGTTAGTTCCATACTCTAATTCCAGAAATTAGAGGACTATTTTTATAAGTGTCCGTCCTAAATTTGGGTACACACAATGCATCCCTTACAGCATGTCTTGTGTTGTGATCATGTAGTGAACTAACATGATGTAAATCTTATTTTAAGTATGTTGGTGCCATGTCATGCATTGATTTATACATCATCACTGCACGTCCAAACTGGAAACGTGTCTGAATAGGCATCCATCCTAAGCGACTAAACATATCATTTGAAGATACTTCAAATCCTTCTCCCAGCACAACAAGTGCAGCTCGTTTTTGAACCTTTTGTAATTTAATTGTTACTCTTTGAAATCGCTCAGACCACACAGAGGAACGATAATCAAAATGAGGAAGTACGATGGCATTATACAGAAGTTTTAGAAATCTTGTTGGAACATAACTTTTGGCTCGCTTAATTACACTGATATTTCTTTGAGCAGTTTTAATAACTTTTTCCACATGCTCTGTCCAACGTAACTCCTCATCATCATCATCTTAAATTACTATTAGCCTAAATGGTCAATAGACCAAATGATAAGTAGAAGAAATGATTATTACCATATGGGTATAGACTAATTGGGTAGTAGATGAACTGGTTGTAGACCAAACGACAATACACTGGTTAATATACATTTGTCATTCCCTCTCATTGTCCTATATCTTCAGGCCGGAGACTATGTACTGTTCTCATCTTACATCATGCAGCTGTACAGCCCTCTCAACTTCTTTGGTACCTACTACAGGTGAGCATCAAGGTCACATTGGGGTCATTGGGTTCAAAGGTCACCTTGGGGTTGATGGGGTTCAGAGGTCTCTTCGGGGTCGGTGTTTCAGAGATCACATTGGGGTTGATGGGTTCAGAGAACACATTGGAGCTGGTGGGTTCAGAGGTCACATTGGGGTCGGTGGGTTCAGAGGTTCCTTGGGGTCGCTGGGTTCAATGGTCACCTTGGGGTTGATGGGTTCAGAGGTCACATTGGGGTCTTTTAAGGCCACCTGTCTATAGTGGCCGTGAATGTTCTCTTGCTTGAGAAGGAAATGTGTGGTAGAACCTGTCTAGAAAGGCCACCTTTCTACAGAGGCTACTTTTTCTGTTTTGCTTGGATGGCCTTAGTAGACAGGTTTTACTGTATATAATTAACTTCATAGAAAAAATGTAAAGCGTAATTTTTTTCTGTAATCTCTTTCATCTGGAAGAAATTATGATCCATCTGTCTTTTATCTTTTCTACTTTCAGAATGATACAGCAAGCCTTCATTGACATGGAAAATATGATTGATCTTTTGGAAGAGAAACAAGAGGTTAGTTTTTGTGTCAAAACCATTGAAATGAAATGTTATATGAACATGCCCCATCTCCAAAGTGTTCAGAATCAGGGTTCTTTGCAACGCCTCAGAAATCCTCATTTTTCCAAATTTGCGAACATCCCATTACAATGTGTGTTGTAAAAAAAACGTTTTAATGGAATGTCGGCAAACATGGACCTGAAATGATTTGTTTGATGCTGCCAGTAGTCTCACATTGATTCTGACAGACTTCAGGCAAAATGGGCTTGATTGTATGGTAAATATCCTTCCTCTGTTTTCTTCAGAGGAGCTCAATTTCGATTTTTTTTTTTTTCTTTTTTTTTTCTGTTTTATTTATGTATTTTATATAATTTTTGCCAAAGCTATCTCTAAATTTCCAAAGCTAAATTGCTAATAACAATTGACTGTCATATCTGTGTTATTTTATGTACCCATCTAGATCACAGATGACCCTGACGCTAAGGATCTTATCGTAAGCAAAGGAAAAGTGGAGTTTGATAATGTCTCCTTCTACTACAACGAACAGTAAGTATCGTACCAGAGGGGTGTTTCACAAAGATCCTGAGTCAAACTTAACTCTAAGTTGGACTTAAATTTATGGAGAGCCATTTGTAGCCGTAAAATAAAATATATTCAAAAGTAAAATATAAAGTATTTTAGACTTTGTATAAATTCCACATCAAGAACCTGAAATCTCCTACATGTATAGAAAATATGAATGATTTGAATCAACATTTTATGCCTTTTAAAACAGCTTTTACAAAATATTTTCATAGCTGCTAACGGCTTTCCATAATTGTTAAGTCCAACTTAGAGATAACTTCAATAATAATAATAATAATAATAATAATAATAATAATAATAGCCTAATAGTCCACTCCAAATTTTATTAAACCGAAACGGAAATTCTTTTTGCCCAATTGATCGTGAGCCCGGCAGCCACTGAGCAGCGCCAGATCGACGTTGCTCTATCCCTTATTGTTGAACGCCAAACAAGGTAGCAACAACTCCCATCTTTTAACGTCTTTTGGTATGACGCGGCCGGGGTTCGAACCCACGACCTCCTGCAGGCCTGATAAAAACCCGATTTAAATCGGTTTCCCGATTTTTTCTATTTTTCCCGATTTTTTCCCGATTTTTTTTTCTTCCCGATTTAAAAAAAAAAAAAAAAAAAAAATGTTTTTTTTTTTTTTTTTTTTAATATTTTTTTTTTTTACCAGATTTTTTTTCCCTTCCCTATTTTATCCTGATTTTCCCGATTCCCCCCTTATTTTCTCTATTCTTCCCTATTTTGCCCTATTTTTTCCCCCAATTTTCTTACTCGAAAGGGGGGAATGTTGTTAGATGCCATTTTTTTCCCCCGCGAATCCTCTTTTTTTTTTTTACTCAAGGGGGGCGTGGTTGAGGGGAAAACAAAAAACCTATTTTTTTTTTAGTGCTCACTATCACCCCTGCTCCTGGTTGTGAGGCGGACGCTCTACTCACTGAGCCAACACTCAACTTAGGATCTTTGTGAAACACCCCCCAGATCCTTGTTTGCACATGAGAGGAGAGTTAAATACACTTCACGTTTCTGTATCCTGTGTATCACAGATAAGCGAGTATGCAGAGCACCATTGTTGCACTTTATATATAGATGCCTTTTTTTCTCACATGCCATTCATTTACACTAAGTGATTTTTCTTCATTTATTGACAGTTAAAAGTAAACTTTATTATAACTCACTTTCTTAGCTTAAAGACACTCAGTAGTTAGCTCTCATGGGGAATTCAACACTGTTCGGGTGTTTGTCCAATAAGAGGTGTTGTCAATCACCAGGATTAGCCTTCAGTTTTATGACCAGCAGTTCTTATGTAACGTACTGCGGTTTCCATCCATTCCCCCACATGGTAAAGTCATTATCTCACTTTTCCCTCACCCAGTCACCCGAAGACTCTCTTTGAGAGACGAGGGGGTATTTTTTTATTGGCCTCCGGGTTCGCTGTGTGCAGACCGTAGTACCTGTACACACATTAATGATTTGTATCCACCAAGTCTGGTGTCAGCAAATTATGGCCTTCTGCACATGGAAACTGATGAGCGACTCCCTTTAAGGTTATCATATTAAATCACTAGTCCGCTTATTGAATACATTTACAAATTCTTTTCTTTGTTTCTTTTTCTTGTCTGCAGGAAGCCTATCTTGAGAAATGTTTCATTTACGGTTGAACCGGGCCAAGTACTAGCTATTGTAAGTAAACCAAGCATATATGTCAAAAAATATGCGTGCTATAAATGTGCCGATAAAGATAAGTGTTAAGATAATCCAGGAGGCGCGATGGCTCAGAGGAGGTCCTAGGTTGGAAACCCAAGTCAATGTGCTCGTGCCCTTTGGTAAGGCACTTATCCTCATTACAAAGTCCTTCAGAGAGGACTTTTAGCCGTCAGTTCTCTGGTTGCTTTTTTACAAGCATGTACATTTTTTCTTTAATAGCAGTCTGCTAAAACAATCATTAAACATCAAGCTGGGTGACCTTTACCCTAATATTACAAAAAAGGAGGTTTAAAGATTGGGGGGGGGGGAGCAAGATGGTCCTTCTCAAGACCCCACCCATGGAATGATCATTCGCTGGAAGATTTTGCACACCCTAAAAATTGTGTAAAGAATAAGTGTAGATCGTCAATTTCATTTGAGAATGGTTAATTTTCTATATCAATTTCATTTATATAAATCAAATTTACAGATGCACATTAAACCAGAAAGGTGCCAGCTGTCAAGACGAAGTCTTTCATCGACCTTTGTTCAGCCAATAATAGCCTTGCAAGACTAATTAAAGCCTCTAAAGTGTTGGGGGCCCCAAATTCGCCAACAATTTGATGACAAATTTCACTTAAATTGTATCATAATGTGAAAGAGGATGTCATTTAAGACACACTTTTAATTAAATTTTAGCATCAAATTTCTTGGGCTCCCAACATTTAGAGGGACTTTAAGTGTTTTTAATTATGTTATCTTATATTTCTGATGAGCAAATTTATATGTTGAGCAATAGTGTTTTTGTGTCATTCCTTTACCGGAATTGTTTATTGAACATTGTCAAATTATCCTTCTCCATCCTACTGTGTGACGTAGGTTGGTCCGTCTGGAGCTGGTAAAAGTACAATCATCAGACTGCTGTTCAGGTTCTACGAGGTACATGGTGGTCATATCAGATTAGATGGCCAGGACATCAGTAAGGTAAGATCTTAATCCTAATCTTAATCCTAATCTTAGTCATGATAGGACCAGGGGGAGAGGGGGATTTGGGGTCGGTGACTGTGAGTAAAGTGTACAGTCATCAGACTGCTCTTCAGGTTCAATGAGGTACATGGTGGTCATATCAGATTAGATGGCCAGGACATCAGTAAGGTAATATCTTGATCCTAATCTTAATCCTAATCCAAGTCCTGGAAGACCCAGGGGAGAGGGGAGTTGGGGTCGGTGACTGTGAGTAAAGTGTACAGTCATCAGATTGCTCTTCAGGTTCCATGAGGTACATGGTGGTCATATCAGATTAGATGGCCAGGACATCAGTAAGGTAATATCTTGATCCTAATCTTAATCCTAATCCAAGTCCTGGAAGACCCAGGGGAGAGGGGGGTTGGGGTTGGTGACTGTAAGAGTTCAATCTCTTCAGGTTCTATAGGTTCTGCGAGGCACAAGGGGGTTGCATCATTACCGTAGTAATGAAATATTTCACTCACTATTTATATGATGTTGCTAGCCTGACTTTACGACATTTCATGCAACATATAATTTATATCTGCAGGTAGCACAAAGTTCCCTGAGGAAAGTTATTGGTGTGGTTCCACAAGACACGGTCCTTTTCAATAATGATATCAGGTTAGTATGATTTCACCATTATGTACATGTACATGTATGCGTGGTCACAAATATGTTTACCATCCACCTCAAAATCACCAAAAAGTCACATAGTTTGATCAGGACTGTCACATTTTTGTTTTCAGCTTTTTTTGGAAGAGTATACTTTTTTGCTATGTAATTTAAAATCGAGAAGCATAAAACAATCCAAAAGTGGTGTTATGACAGTATTTTATTGAGCTACATGTATGTTTTTCTGATTTTGAGTTTGATGTAGGAGTTTTGATTTATTTACAACCCTTGCTACTGGTGTCATTTCAATCTGCAATAACTTGTAAACTGAGTACCAAGCTATTCCATTGGTTCCTGGGACCTGTTTCACAAAGCCTTTTTTCAATGATTAATTACAAAAAACTGTCATTTGTCACTGTTGATAAGTTTTGTGAAATGCCCCCCCCCCCCCCCTGGAAGAAATAAGAACAGGATGTGCTGAAATCTGAGGATCCCCTCTCAGAAATTCTTATAAAGTTTTAATCTTCCTTTTGTCACCTTGCACAATACCTTGGGAGTTAGATTGCTTAAAGGCCATCTGTACTAGTTTGGCAAGGAGGGATTAGACCACCCGGGAAGGTCACTGACAGGTGGCTATCTCATCAACTCAGCTCTCAATTAACATAAGAAAAAGAGGATCATGGGGGACCAATGGTCACTGATTAGGCATTGTTTTCTACATCGAGGGAGCAAGTAGCTACAAGTAGTACAGTGGGCCTTTAAACAGACTTACTGTAAACACCTTTTTCTCTAGAGTAATATTCTATGGGACTGGACATTCTTCTCTTCTTTAATTGAGTTACGAGCGTCCAGTTGTGTTTAAAGCTGAGAATCTCCTCTTTCAGAATTATCCCCAAAGTCTTTTCTGGCGACTTCTTCAGTTGTTTTGTGACCGTGCTGGGTCACATATGCCTTCACAGTGAATGGTCAGTGAGTAGTTACACTCTCCAGTGAATGGAGATGGTGCACATTTTGTGAACACTCGCAGTCTAGTGCACAGTATTATGTCTGTCACACTCAAAACATACGCTCCCTTCATCCAAAAGTGAGAGTCAGGATGTGAATTTTGTTCATTTTCCAAAAAGAAAGAAAGAAAGAAAGATGATTCCAAATATACTTTTTTACAAATTATATAATACAAATCATTTAGAGGTTTGATTAGTTTTCACATATTTTTAATGTGACGAAACCACTCAAGAGATGAAGAAAAAAAATCACAGCAAATACCATTTTCCCAACTTTTCCTGATACTGCAAATTGTGACTCAGTCCAGGTTTAGCTAAAGAGGTGTTATTTGTAATAACATCCTTAAATGATTATAAAACTTCATTGTGATTTCCTTAATTTAAGAATTGTAATGTATTTCGCTGCTCCCATTCCAGGTATAATATCGGGTATGGCAAAACGCAATGTTCAACAGAAGAGGTGGAGGAAGCAGCGAGAGCAGCCGACATACATACACGGATCGAGTCTTTCCCTGAAGGTGAGCGTAGCTAGGTTTATGACTTTGTTTAAGTTTCAGTATAAGGTCAGATTCATTTATAATTATGCATGAAGTCTGAAATCCATCAGTATGCAGAATTAACTGCAGAGCTCTAGAGTTTATTTCAAAATGCAAAAAATTCCAGTACTCTATTTTGTCTTAGAGCACACGTCTTTTGTTGATGTTTGTTAGGTTATGCTACTGTGGTAGTTGAGAGAAAATATCTTTGCTTTGATGCTTCCAAAACTTTGTATAATACACAAATATTCTAATATATATGATTCATAGTCAACCTTTTTTAAAGCCCGTCTGCACTAGTTTGGCCAGGGGGGATTAGACCTCCCTGCAAGGTCACTGACAGGTGGTTATCTCATCAAATCAGCTCTCAATTAATATAAGAAAAAGAGCATCATGGGGGACCAACAGGCATCGATTAGGCAATGTTTGCTATATAGAGGGCGCAAGTAGCTATAAGTAGGGTAGTGGGGCTTTAATAACCTCTAGAGTGTTTTTCAAAATGCAAAGTTCCACTACTCAATGTTGTATTTGAACACGCGTCTTCAATTTATGCTTTGTCAGGTTATGGTACTGTGGTAGGTGAGAGGGGATTGAAGCTGAGTGGCGGAGAGAAGCAACGAGTAGCCATCGCCAGGACCATACTGAAAGCACCAGATTTTGTTTTACTTGATGAGGTAAGCATATGATCTATATGGTATCCTTGATATGTTATATTGTAAAACAACATCTGAGGAATTAACACTTCAACAAGCTCTGCTTCTAGTTAGTTCCTCTTTTCTTGTGCTATTTCTATTATATTTGTCGTTCATTGCATATATTCTTGTACTATACTTATTCATTGTATTATGTTTTGCATAAGAAATAAAATCATTTGAAATAAAACATGCTCAAGAACGTCCAAATCCAGAAGGTACATCCTGAAAGCACCAGACTATGTTTTACTTGATGAGGTAAGCATTTTGATTGATGTACATGTACCTTGATATCATGAAATGTCTTCAAGAACGTAAAATCTAATTTTTCAAAAACAGAATATTAATCCTGGTGATTGAAAACACCAGTTATTTGATAAACACCCAAATGGTGTCAAAATTCCCCATTACAGCCCTCTCCTATGCGTCTTTCAGTTAAAGAGAAGGTTGAGTCCTGGGAAGAGGTGAAAAATAATTTGTGAGTGTTATCATTGTTATTATGCAAGGGTGGAAGAGCATCTGATAAAACATGCTCCTTGAAAAGCATGGCTCTTCAAATGCCTTAAAGGCCCACTGCACTTCTGGTAGCTACTTGCGCCCTCTATATAACAAACAATGCCTAATCGGTGCCCATTGGTCCCCCATGATCCTCTTTTTCTTATGTTAACTGAGAGCTGAGTTGATGAGATAACCACCTGTCCAGTGACCTTGCAGAGCGGTCTAATCCCTCCTGTAAACTACGGCAGATAAGCTTTAATATTCTAAATATGGCATGTAACATCGTAAAAATCTGGATGGATTCTCAGCCAGGTGTTCGTGTAGTCCCATATACATCCTTCTGTGTATAGTGCTTGTAAAACTACCAAGACTTGGCCAAATTTCTTATCATTTTAAAGATTCCAGAACCTTGCAATACACACAAATACTTATATGCTAGATGATCAACAATTTCTGATCGATTCCACATCGTTTCTTTCACAATGCAATCACATGACCAGAACTCAACTCTATCTTTAACAATCATCAGTTTTTTAAAGGTGCATCTGTTTCTGACACTTGCTCTAATATCCAAATTGTACATGCTCCCACAGGCCACGTCAGCCCTCGACACCAAGACAGAACGTAACATCCAAGCGTCATTAGCAAACATCTGTCAAGGCAGGACAACCATCGTTGTTGCTCATCGGCTGTCCACCATCATCAACGCCGATCAAATCTTGGTGCTGCAGGACGGCATCATCGTAGAAAAAGGAAGGTGGGTAAAATTGACTGATGACCACTGCATTATACAGTGCGTCCCAGAAAAAACAAAACCGAGAATTATCAATGTTTTTTTCATAACTTAATCACAATTATAATTAATAAATGACAAATATTTGTAAAGCTTAATTCCTCCTCTTTCATTTCATGCAGTTCATATGATGCATATTTCATGCATGAGTGATTAAAAACAATTTGAAGAGAGGGTACCAAAAAGTCATTTGGAAAACAGTATCTGAATTTCGAAGAGAAAATCATATTTCTAGAAAGTTCATTTTCTGCCCTTTCATATGACACCTCAATCATGTGTCATTCGTTAATTATAATCGTGATTAAGTTATGACAAAACATCTATACTTCTCGGTTTTGTTTTTTACCGGGGCACACTGTAGTGTCCTTTGTCAAGACATTATTCTGGCTTAGCCACTCTTCACCCAGGTGATGAAAGTGGGTTACCAATATGAAGAAGTTACTTGAATGCTTGAGAACCCTATCAGAGTAGCTCGGCTCAGCTTCAGCAACCAAAGCTAGAGAGCTTTCAAAAATGTGACGAAAATTGTGTTCATGCCCTTGTTCCATTTCATCATGTGTTTGGCAAAGTGGTGTGAATGAATGCATGGATAATGACTTTGTATTTCATGAAAAACACATTTCAAAGTTTTAACTATTTCCCTGATTTTACTACTTCAGTCATAAAGTTAGAAATCTGTCCAAAATGTAATAGCCTATTGATATTTTGTTAGTGCTCAGGAAAAAGGAAAGAATAGATGCATGAGCTGATGTCAATTTTGAGAAAAACGCATTCCAAAGTGTTGACCGTTCTTCGACTCCGTCTGTGTAATACATTAGTCTGCATATCATCAAAATAGTTAAGAGTGATAGATTATTAGGCGTACTTCATTAATCAATACTTTCAAAACACTGCTTTACACTAACTCTCTTTGAGGGTGGTCCAGAACGAACTGTGCAAGAATTTTGAAATTTTGGGGTTAGCACTTGTCTTTTGGGGCCCATTTGTCCCGGTATCTTTTAGTGTCAAGCCCTGCTTGAAATAAAAAAAAATGATCCAAAATGTTTGTTTTTTATATGACAGGCATGAACAGCTGTTGGGATTGGATGGCATTTACGCTGATATGTGGCAGCAGCAGCTTCAAGCAGAGGAGGAAGCAGTTGCGAAAGGGAGCAGCGAAACCCTTGATGAGCCAAAGTAGAAGATGCCAGACAGAATCTAAGACTTGTAATCGCAATCAGTGTGTGTGTTATTGGATTTTTACAGACATGTATCAATCAGATATGATTATTTACGTCTGTGGACCGGCCTTTAACGTCACCGTCCGAAAGACGTGACTCAGTTTCAAACCTGCGTCCTCGGCTGAATCAGTTTGTAACTTCCATTGTTAGCTGGATTACAGGCGCACGCCACAACGCCCAGTCTTCATTTCTTTGGCTTTAATAATCAGAAAATTACCTGAAATGGAGCAGCAAAAGTCCTGATGTGCCAAAATAGAAGACTCCAGACAGAAATCTAAGACTTGTATTCACAGTTGGTTTTCATTTCTTTGGCTTTAATAATCAGAAAATTCCTTGAAGTTATATTGCAAATCTTTTCTCTTGATGCATATATGTTTTTTTCTTCAGGGAAAGAGTGTGTGGGTGATGTTTCTTCTATGCTATTTCTATTTATTGCAAGTTGTACTATTAAGTGGTTTCGAGGTATGAAGAGTTTCGGAAGTATCCGCACGTTCTGTGAAGACATTTTGTCACGCATGGGCTTTTAGGCTGGCAATATTGTGGCTTCTGAATTGGTTTGGTTGAATTTCAGATGAGCCTTAGAACAGTACATGTGTAAAATAACATGATTGTAATGATTGCAATGATTGCTTGTATATATATGTTACATGTGAGGACTCTGATAAGTTAGTTGTTTACAGTGCGCACCATCTGAAGATACCGAGCTAGCACTGCATTTACATAACACCCAATTGGGTCAAGTGCGTTATTTGTTCTATACAATAGCGACATATGAAAATCAAAACGAATGAAAGTCTAGGTGTAACGTTAGAGTCTACAAGAGTTAGACTTAGGATAGAGTTATGTTGGTTCTAGAAAATGAAAAGAGAAGACCTTGCTACTTGCTCTACGCCTACACTGCCTGGATCTAGCGTTTTGACCAATCACAATGTTTATAAATACTTGAGCTATTTTATAACTCTCTTTATATGCCACACAAATAATCTCACTGTGCAGCTTGTATCTATCATGTGGTAGATACACATAAGGCTTTAAGGTTTTTTCACTGTTTCCAGCACAAGATTAATCTATACAGGTGTTGGAAGTGTTGTCATGGAACTAATTAAGACTGTCAATGGGAAATTATGCAAAGCTATTGTGTTGCACAAGGCAATCCTTCCAGCAGTTAGTGTCTATTGTTTGTGCAAAAATGCATGAGTGGCAAACAGGTGACAGTGCAGAAATGTGAAGAAAGTAGCCAAAGTGTTAAGCCAATTAAAAGCAACTGTACAGACATCAACCCCCTGACTTCTAAATTCTTGTTATTGTTTTGCTATAATGTTCAGTTTTCATATTATAATTGTCTAGTAAAGTGAATACAGAACTTTGTAAAAGCTATATTATCTATAGTGACTAAAATACTATTCAAATAACAGTTTATATACAACAGGCCCACATCACCTCAACAAAGAAAGAGGCACTGATAAAATTAAGACCAGGGTATTTCAATATTATCAATATTATTTATTTTGTTTATAGTAAATGTGTTAATATATCTGCATTTACGCCCATATTGATTTTGTGTTCTCAGGGTATCGGGGCCATATTCAATTCAATACTTGAATTATGTTTATTGTCGGGATTTTTACTTTAATAGCATTGAGCTTCAGGAAGTAAACTGAATCAGGTCTTATTTATATCATATCTAAGAATCTGACTTTTGAGAAACCAACTGAGTGGCAAAATATCTACTCAGTGACATATTCCCATTTTTCTGACATAAGTATTGAATGGAATACAGGCCTTGGACTGTTTCTACTTCATCTAGAGTGAATACAAGTAATAGTTATAACATATTTTTTTACATAGGTATTTTCATGAACGCAAAAAGGCATAGGAGCCGAGAGTAGTGAGTTTCTTCATTTGTATTAAAGGCACACTGTCCTACTTGTAGCTACTTGCTCCCTCTATATAGAAAACTTCCCAAATCGGTGCCTGTTGGTCCATGATCCTCTTTTTCTTATGTTAAATGAGAGCTGAGTTAATGAGATAGCCACCTGTCACAGTGACCTCTATGGCTTACTGGGTGGTCTAATCCCTTCTTGCTGAAGTAGTAAAGCCTCCCTTTAACTCACATCTAAGAAGACCACAACTATAGCACAGAGCAGTGGTCTTTATTATGTATTCTTGTGTGCAGTGTTACTAATTGTAGGCTAATTAAAGTGCATCTCCTTCTAGCTTATTATTAAAAACATGTACATGTATATTTCCTGTCATTGTTACAAGTTTCCAAATTCACCTTTAATTATTTACAAGATGTGAAGTTAATTTGCGAGGTGTGTTTTGCTCTCTTAGGGTGTGTGTAAATGTAGTTGATTACAAATCACCATTTAGTCCCATAGGAAATAATATTTGAACATGCGGTCTAATATTTGCTATTCTGTAGCTTGCAACTGTTAAAAACAGTAGTAAAAATGACAGATAGTAATCCGTATTGTAGATGAATACTTGTATGCAAGTGCGATTCGTTATTTTGCACAATATCATATGTTCCTTTTATTTATATATGTATGTATTCTTCTTTGTTTAGGGGGAGGGGGGGGGGGGGGGGGGGGAGGAGTGTGAGATCAAGATGAAATAATATTTGGACCTTGTATTTGAGGATAAATTGATTCATGTATGTTTATATAAATATGTTATTGATACATACAGTAATACATTATTTTTTATTACAGATTATAGTACCACGCTAATGTACTATCCATAAAAAATGTGTTTGCTTGTGTGTTTTCAAATTAAATACGATTTTTCCCCATGAAATTAAATCTTTGTGCAATTTCTAATGTGATTCTGTCTTTAATATACAGCTCACATAAATATTTCTGATTTGGGAAATAGGCCCGAAGTTACAAATCGCGTCTCCATCAGCTCGAGAAATTAGCTCAAGATGTTTTGCTCAGCGTTCGCGCATAGTGTGAGTCTTTGGGCTGGTGAAGACGCAAATTAGCGGGTTATTTGGCAATCTCGTGCTGATGAAGACAGGTATTATATCATAGCTGTCGCTGTTGCTGATGCAATACGACAATATGTAGAATGGGTTCACAGGTTGAAGAAAAATATTTTCTTTTCACTGACTGTGAAGAAGAAAGAACTTATTTTCAATTTCCATCGCCAATCAGATGAACCTTATCTGTGATTCAAGAATAAGCGAGTTCGTAATTAGGATTTGCGCATGGGCAGATAAAGGTCATACGTTCCCAATAGTAAAACCAGCAGGACGAATGCTGGTATCAGGTTCATGAAAGTTATGTAATCATTACTCTCTTATGCACCGACAGTACATTTATCTGATACACAGGTGGAAGTATTCTTCTCAAGAGGCAAACAAAAGGTATTCATGAAGCACCTCGATCACTTCGGCAGTGATTATTCTAAAGTGCACAAGTGGGACGTTTTCATCGTGTAAAAGATCTGTGGATATTTGGGGGTCATGCGTTCCTAAGCTATTTACGAACTGGCGTATTGCTCTCCTGCTGTACTTGTTAGCCCCCCGTTTTACTCATGATACAATAACTGCCGTACTAAAGAATGTGTCAAAAGGAATATACAGTAAACGATGCTTTTGTGACCACTTGCATAGAAAGACCACCTGTCTATAAAGAGCACATTTATTTGTTCCCTTGAGAATTATTTCCTCTTCACTTGTGTACTAAAGGAACCTGGGTATAAAGACCACCTGCCTATGAAGATCTCTATTGTCTCTTGAGAGGTCTTTATTTACTTGTTTTAACTTTTTTTTTCTCGTTCATGTATGTAATGGCAACTTTGAATTCAGAATTTCTTTCTTTATCAGATTAGTTTGCATGCTTCTACAGTCCTCAATTTCATACTAAATCCCAAGTTATTTCTTTTGTTTATTCAAGATCTCGTCACTTCAAGAAAAAATTGCCTAAGTAATACTACTTATTCATTTTTTTTTTCCATTTCACTTGATTTAGGCACCTCATTTTCATTAAAAACACAGTTTTAAGATTTGGACATTGACAAAAGGGCGAAAGTATTAAGTGGTATTCTCATAGAAAAGGCCTGATTAAGGCAAATATCTTGATTGAAAATAACACACAACTTTGGTAACTATTTTATTAACCTGATGGTTTTTCATGAAAAAAAGATTGAGCTTTCATCGTTTGTAAATTTTGGTCTTATCTTGAACGTCAAAATGTTTTAGCTGATGAGCTGGAATATGCAAGGCAGCTGGTAGTGTAGTAGAGTAAACTTTTTAGCAAAGGTGACAATGGAATGTGTGTTTTTGTACAATTGTGTCCGAGGTTATGAAGCAAAAATAAATCAAGATGTTGAATCAAAGTTACAGAATTGGTCGAAATGTGTTTACTCATTTCTGCATCGTACATGTACTTTACTTTGACTGTCTTTTATAGATGATTTAAGCACTCATTATAAATATGTAATGTTAGCATTTTTTTGTACTAGATTGTGATAATTATGACATATTATTTGTTGTATTTAAGTAGTCCTTAAAGTTTAAGGAATCAATCGTCTATTAATGTGTGAGTTTTTTTAAATGCCACTATTATCACAAAGTAGAATTGGAAGTTGAAAATTCATAAGCATAAAATTGTGTTTTGTTTTAGTTGTATTTACCTTGTTATGCACATACAAATTGTCCTATTATGCGCTTTATAAATTAATCTTTCTTCTTTTTCTTATTCCACAGCGACTTTACTCCTTTAGTGTTTTGTCAGTATTATTAACCCCAGTTTAGAATACCCTTTAAACTACCTCTGCCAGGATCTGTCCCTGTTAATTTACGATTAAGTAATTGAAATGTAATGCAAGGTATGCTCAGGTTGTGGTGCTTCACATTAAACTATGTTTACGTTTCCCGTCTTCACAACGATGACCCTGTGATTTTAATTAACACTTTTTGTTAATTCTTCAAAGATTAAGTTTAATGAAAATAGTGATGTTCCAATAATGGAAAAGAATAAACTCTTGGTTTATTGACATCCAATCTTGATTAAATATTTTATATGAATACTCACTAAAAAAATGAAACAAAACACCAATGTCATTGCTCTTTTTGCATGTTTTATTACCATGTATCCTGAGCTAATATATATATAAATATATACATTCATAAAAAGTACTAAAACATGTTCTCTCTTTGAGCATGGTGAAAGAATTTTCCCCAAACAAAAATCGAAGAAAGAAGTTCAGCAGCTAATGTGTTGCCATGCTTAGAACTGAGAATATTTGGAAAGTTGAGTGTAAAACTTTAAGCCAAGTTTGGAAATAACTTTTTAGAACAAGAAAAGAATATTGGTGGGATATAAATTATAAGGAAAACAATAGTAAGGGAAAGCGACTCCAAGAGTTGGAGAAGTAGGCATGTAGACAGAATGGCAGATACAAATGGAAAGAAAGAGAAAGTGGAGTAGAGAGAGAGAGAGAGAGATATTGGTAGAGAAAAAGACAAAGAGAGAGAGAGAAATTGGTAGAGAGGAAGAGACAGAGTGAAGGGGGGGGGGGGGGGGGGGAGGGAGAAAGAGAATACATGTATCGGTATGAATTGAATTTAGAGAAGAAAAAAAAGGATAAAACCTAGAATGACAACTTTTCAAATATCTTAAAAACTAGGAAAGGGGAAATATCAATCTGAACTCAAAACAAGTCAACCAAAAATCTTTTTATAACACGTTCCAACCAAAAGTTATAAAACAGAACTTAAAGTAAAAAAAAAATGAACATTTTATTTAGACTGAGGGACAATAGGGTGCATGTTTGCTTCAGTATTTTGATATCTTAAAAATTCACACATTTAGCATATATGTAAAAAAGTGGCTTGTAAAAAAAAACTACTTTCATGGATCGTGTTTCAAAAAAGTTTATTTGCTAAAAAAAGACCCAATTTACACCTGTACATGTAATACTTATTGATGGTTAAACATCGACTAAGAAAAGTCAATAGATTTTACGGGCTTATCCGAAGATCACAACAGTATTTAATTGCAAAAATCCAGTGATTTTTCTTTACTAATTTCAACAAACTTCTTTAACTCAATCAAATGCAGGTGAAGTAAAAAGTTCAACAAATCAATATTTGTTCCCTTTGTCAACATTAAAAACACACCCTTGTCTAGTAAATTTGAAAAAAATATCTAATTACAGCATTGTTATTTATAATCTGTGCTCTCATAATTTGTTGTTAATTTTGTACATTTACACTGATAAATATGCTTATTTACAAACAGGCATTGCCTCAACATACAAGACCACTCTTGCAAAAGATTTGGTTGAAAAAAAACGTGGGTTAGCACGTTCATTTCGACCATAAAACACTCATATACCAAGTAGAACAACTACCTTCAATGGCAAGAAAAAATATTGAAGGTTGTTTTTATAGTAAGAAAAAGTAATTGAAAGAATTTGTGCAACTCAAGTTTAGAACAAATCTAAATGAAGAAATACAACTCAAAGTATGAAAAACTCTTTCAAAACAAGGAAAATATTCTATGAATTGGAAAATTTGTAATTGCATTATTTTACTTCAAAAGAGATCAAGTAAGAAACCGAAAATCAACTTTTGATTCGAACAAAAAAGCAATCACAGAATACCAAATTAAGAATTTGTGCAAAAATCACATGGAATTCAAAACAAAAAGAATTAATACATAGTAAAATGAAGATGATAATCCTTTCATATCAACTCATATATTACGAAAGTGAAGCTTTTAAAAAAGACAACATTGTTGTTGTTCTCCTTTTCAATGCTTTAAGAAAGAAAATGCTCCTCAAATCTTGATCTTGAACAGCGCCACCTTGAGTCAGGATCGATACACTTTCGACCCAGTCACCTCTCCTGACACTCCATGTTGTAAACTTTTAGAAAGCTTTTTATGAGAAGAAAGCTCTGTAATCAAATTTCAGCTCGCTTTTAAAAAGCAAACTGGAAACAAAACAAATAAAGTTCTGATCACAAATGTTCTGATCATAAGTCCTTGTCAAATAATCTTCCTTTTGTCTTGCTATCGATGCGTCGATCGCGTCGATCGTGTCGACTGGAAGCGGAACCACCAGAGCGTCATGGGAAGGTTTTGACATCCCATGTACGTGACGCGGAGTTCATGTGGAGTAAGGAAGGGAAGCATATCACAGGGTGCTCCAAAAAGAGTTGTGTTGGCAGCGTTTTGAGAGCTCTCGTAGAGGATGGGCGTCGAGGAAAGAGTGCCTTCGTAACCCTGTAAAATGAGAAGAAGCAATTGCAATAAGAAGAAAATGTACCATAAGATTCAAGTTTTATTTTCAATTTGAAATACAACAAAAAATACCTTTTTTGTATTCTTTTTGTCTAACATGCAGTGTAAAATTCATGTTAATAAGAGATGAATAAATACAGTAGTATTGTGTTAATTTTAATGGATTTTATGACTTTTCTTCAGTCCTGAGAAGTAAAACTTTGAGCTATAAAGCCGTGTAAAAGAATCTGAATCTGATTCTGAAAAATATTACGGCTCAACACTCCTGGTTGAGTAGAACAAATCAGACTGGGTGTGCACAAGAAACATTAATACAAATATCAAAGAAGACTTGAATGTTAAGGTCTGATATTTGTCTGAGTGCTGTTATTTCTGTAGTCTAAAAAAATAGATTGATGAAATCGACATCTGTTTAACTTGCTTTCATATATTATTGCATTACATTACGTACAGACTACTCTAGGGAGACAAGAAAAGCGATCTTAATTGGCAGCTCGTTTAAAATTACTGGTTGTTTCATTACACTTGAAGTGGTTTCTATAAAGAAACACTATAAAAAGGGGAAATAAAATATGAAGTCTTTCATTATAAGGCCTAAAAATGATGTTCTATTGCCCTTTAGGTGCCAAAACATGGGTCGGTGGATCGGAAATCCTTTTTTTTCCCTCCTTCTTTGGACTGATGTTTCTCAGTTTCGAATGCTTTCATATTTTGTTTTCTCTAAGCAACAGTAAAAAAAACCAAAAAAACTGTTTTATAAAGCCAACTATAGATTTCAAGATTTGAGGGTCGGTTGCAAAGGGCAATACAACATTTTTTTTTAAAGGCCTAATCAAAAGTGGTGACTAAAGTGGGTTTTATTGAATTGTACTGATGCAGCTAGGACAGAAGTACGAAGATAAGTCTAATTTTCCTCACCCTATGGATTTCGTCAACACACAACGTCGTATGATTAGAGTTCATCCATCGATTCGTTAACTCGCTGTTCCATGAGTACTCCAGACTCCCTCCGCTGGTGAATACCACAACATTCTCATGATGGGGGGTGTCGGACCTAAGCTGAAGAGCATCTACCAGCCTACCGGAGAAGCTTTGGTCAGCGATGATGTAGATGTGCCGCGCGTTGCAGTCCGAGATGTCTTCTAAGAATTCTGAGACTGTGTACTGCTCGTCTACGTTTGCCTGTTGGTTTAATACATAATGAGTTATTAATGGTTCACATTTAATAAATGTTATAGCTTATTTATGGTATATATTACTAAAACATTAATATTACCCTACTAATAGAATAAGCAAGGACATAGGGAGGAATTTGTATCATCTACCTAATTACGATTTCTTGTCTGTAACTCTGAATATCTTTATATCTATCAATCAGTTACTGATGGCATATATACTTTTCCCTAACTGTTTCTCTACCCTCAGATCCCTGCACTTTGTGTAGGTGATGAAGTTCAAAATATCTCCTATTTAGCTTGATTTACAGCCTCGGTTACTGCAGCAGACACTGGATAGTAATTAGTCATGATTAAAAGGATAGAGATATTCATTCTCATATGTTGTGTTCAAGGCATTGACCAGATATGGCCTGGTGTTAAAACAACACGTAGTAACTCACTGAATGGCAGTAGGTGTTGCAAATTATACTACTTTCTGTGTCAAAGATTGTTCTGACTTGTATTTCATTCATATACTGATCTCACAGCTAATCTCAATACCTTGAGTTACAGCATAATTGCACATAAAAGGTGATGTGGTCCAGTGGATAAGTCTCTGGACTTTAAACCACTGGTTGCCGGGTTCAAATCTCTGTTGCAACGCTAATGTCCTTTAGGAAGATATCAATCTAGAATTGTCACACTCCATCTAGATGAGTTAAATGGGTACCTGGTGGTAATTGAAAAGCTCGAGCGCCGTAATGGCAGTCATGCTAAAAGCCAGGGTAATAATAATGGCCGGAGCACAAGGAGTGGCATTGTGCCAGACATGAGCACTATACAGTCAAACCTGTCTATAGCGACCACCCAAGTGAAACGCCAAACGTGGTCTTTGTAGACAGGTTCCTTTAGTACATGTTTCAATGAGAAACCATTTTCAAGGGAAACAAAAAATGTGAACTTTGTAGACAGGTTCCTTTAGTACATGTTTCAATGGGAAAACATTTTCAAGGAAAACAAAAAATGTGGTCTTTGTAGACAGGTGGTCACTAAAACAGGTTTGACTGCAGACTTCAATATTATTCTTATTATTAAAATATATCCAACTGCTTTTCAGATATATTACTCACTATGCCATCTTGGTTTGTATCCCAGAGAAGCATCGTCCCATCCGCTAGGGTGGGACTATTGAGATAGATGACGAGGCTCTCTACGCAGTACGGCGTTCTACAGAGTGTACTCAGATGGCTCTGGATCGCCATTTTGTGTGTTGCAGGGTAGGTGTGTCTCGATCCCTCTTCATCAATACCTTCTGTTGGAAGACAGAAATAAATGAATAAACATTAGCTTATTTATTTGCTTAGATTACATCTCATAAAAAAATACTCATTACAGTTACATGTATTCAAACTTTGGCTAAACACCAATTCCTTCATCTGGGGATCTGGAGTGCCATTTTCTTGTCTTTTTTAAAAGGAGGGGGAGGGGGAGGATGATGAGTCCAAATTTTGGGGTTTAGACCCCTAGCAGTGTAAGACCCTGAGTGAACAGTTCAAGAAAGAGGTGTTGCTGAAACACTTTTGAATTGGGCCCCAATTTTCTCAACATAACAGAAAAAACAAATGTTTTCTGTGATTCATAGATTTGCAGACAATGATACATTGTACATCATATTGTACAATGATACATTGTACAATATGATGTGCCTCCTCCCCACCCTACCCCTTCTTTGTCCCTTCCACAGGGTTCTTTCTTTACAAAATGTCATCATATATATTCACAAATAACATACAAGTATTCTAACAAATCATATCCATATAATGGCAAAACAATGATAAGAACCATCGTGGTCCAAAACTTGGCGCCAGAGACATACAAATTATGACAAAATGGATATTTAAACATGATATTAGAATATACAGAGTGATCAATTTCATGATGTCATGATGCCAACACTCTCAAAATATTTTCCAAAATGGAACCACTTCTTTATCAAAGTCTTATCATTGAGATTCATCTGATGTATCTATTGTACTGATGTACAGCACATAACATGTTGAAAAATGAAGGTAGTTTCAGTGCTTAATAAGATACTAATAGCTAATCCACAAAAAAAGAAGGAAAAAAGAAAGAAAAGAGATTTAAGGAAATGGAAAAAAGAAAGACATTGAAAACGCATTTTCATCTGATGTTGCATACCTAATACACTGCTGGTATCAGCAAAAAATGTTTTGATGTTTGGTCTTCTGAATCCATTTTTCCTGAGGACAGAATACATGTCTCGCACATTGTCTGCCGACGACTGGAGACTAGTCTGTCTGTTCCAGCCTCCTGAGATGAGTACTGCTTGATCGCAGATCTCGTAGACCTTACATCTTGCTTTAACCTGTATAGAGAGGGAGAGAATGAGGGGAAGAAGTTCTTTTTACTGAATGACTGAAGGGCACTGGTCTTTTTTAAGTTGTGGGTGAGAGCAATTGACCCCCCCCCCCCCTGAATCAAGTTTCTCAGAGATTAAGATGGGGGGGGGGGGGGCAGAGAGAGAGAGAGAGAGAGGAGGGAGGGGGGGGGAGCTCTCACCCAGAATAACTTACTTCTTGCTTTCACCTGTATTGTATAGATTCTTCCACAATGTATGATGGTCTGTTTATAATAAAGTAGAGGCATTTATTGGCCTTCAGTAGGGGAGAGAAAGAGAGGGAGAGAGGGAGAGAAAAGGGGAGCAATGGAAAGAGATTTGGAGAGGGAGAAGGAGAAAACAGATACATAGGTAGATGTTTAGAGGTAAAGAGAGAGAAAGAGAGAGAAAGAGAGAGAAAAATGTGTGTTTTAAAATACACTTTTATGAAAGGGATCAAAGAGAGGGCAAGATGGTTGGTCATAGTCTAATACAAAAAAACACCCTCTGAATGCCAAAATCATTGTCAATACATTTATGAAATGGACCATAATTTCCAAATTTATCATCAATACCAGGAAATGTTTGAGAAGAGATGAGGTTCAATCATTTTATTCATGTTCCATTTACCCCCTTCCCCTTTTTCTTTCTTTCTTGTTTCCTTTCTTTCTTTTTTTCCATTGTATTCCTTTTTTGTCAGATGATGGGGGAGGGTGTACACTCTAGTGCCTCAATAGAAACACAACTAATTCTCGTCACAGATATCTTCCTAATCACAGTAACATTCTACCTTCAAAGATGGCACTTCACATCGTCTTGTGTTCTTATTGAGCTCACAGTTTGTTGAGTAGTTGGCTGCATCACTGCGATATGTCGGGCAAGCCCCGAATCCTAGAATAGCGTCATCTCGACACACAAGATGCTGCTCTCTTGTCTGCATAATGCAAAGAATATTAGAAGGAAAGAAAAGAATCCAGAGTAAATAATCCACATTCTGCTAAAGATCATCACTGCAATTATATAATGAATAACCGATTAACTTACGTAGACCGAACACACTCAATTTATTTCGACAGGGCCTAAATGAATGGATGCTAGATTTTGATGTATAAACTTTTGGTGTAAACGGGGAGGGGGGAGGGATGGTAACAATCGTATTCATAATGTGTTATAGAGGGTTTGGGAGGGGGTTGTAGATAGTGCGTTTGTAATATTATATTTTTGTAATATTTTGTGTTTTATTTCTATGTTTGATTATTTCTGGACCTCTAGGAAGAACAGAGCCATTTTAATAATGGCTCTGAATAGAGCTTTCCAGCCGTTTTTTAATTCTTGATTTGTATTATTTATAAATTGTATTCTTGTATGTATTGAATTTTTATACGGAAAATAAAACCAAACCAAACCAAACAACTGTTGGGTAAAATATTTGCCCAACAATGACGGGAATAAAATGTATGTATCCAATCAAACTTTTGGCAAATACCCAACTCGGGTAATGTCTTCTTTATTTTTTGTCGTTGCTCACTCAATAAGTAGTAAAGCGATCAAGATTGTGCAAAACATTACTCAAGTCGGGCAAACAGTAATTGCCTAAATTTAGCTGGTTGTTCACATATTAATTACCCTCATGTTCAGTAATTTTTATTTACTATTACTTTTTAACAATATACCTCAAGCATTTGCCGAAAGAACAAAATTTACAAACAACTTCTGTCCATTTATGTTTCATGAGCAAATATCCGAAGACGGGATTAGATCGCACAACTTTCACAATTTCAAAATTATTCTTATACTTGATGATGGCAAATTTTGAATTTCACAAACTATTTATATCTTCACTGAAAACATTTTAAGTATAAGAGGAGTATATACAAGGACAGAGTCCAAACAACATTTTGTTTACACGACCTTTAATGTTTTGAAATATCGTGTAAGGAAACCCTTTGATGTGGATTAATATATTCCATTACAAAGTGTTTCTTAATATTCATCACATTGAACAGACTTTAAATGATCTTTAAATAGAAAACAAAATGTTGAACTACCCTCCAGGGAAACCAGAACATGGCACAATATCCTCCAATATAAACCGTGAACTTTCGCTCAACCTATCGCTTTCTAAAAACATTTACCTCATCACCCAGAAAAAACTTGTCGGAAGGAGAATATTGTGTATGTATGTATGCATGGGAACGACTCGTAGCCAGAAATTGCATTCCAAATTTAAAATGATACCTAAATAATTGAGGCAGTTCGGCTGAAATAACCCCGAGATCTCTCGGCTTCTTGTAGGAGCCCAGCTTTGACGGCTCGGCGGCGGAAAACATCAAAGGCGCGCAGAAAATGTTTCATAGGGGGCATAAAATTACCAGTTTGTATGTGAGACGGACATAAACACGTTCGTGAGCAGACGACAGGACAGTTTTGCGTTTGTTTTACGAGGTAGCATTTAGATAGATGGGACTATTGGCGTGCTATTAAGAGATCGCTATTTAGCGCTAAATGTTGTTTGATTTCGCCCGAATCAGACCAAAAGTAAAGGACCGAAAAGATCGGAATATAAATAGAGAGATCATGCAGTTCCGTGGTATGCGGGTGATGGAAGCGCGAGATAGCTCCGATGGAATCTCTTTTTTTAATTTCACAGTTCGACGAATAGATGCACCTGATTTGACAAAATAAAGTTTTACAACTTAGGAAGAAATCTTCCTTTTTATGGGCAATTCCGATGAACATCACAAACCCTATTTGCCTTTAAAGTCTCCAAACTATGTTGAAAAAGAAATACAAGTATATTTATGATGGAGAAGGATTCAGTTGAAATGCATTACGTCTCAAACCAATACAATGGCAGAGCGCACTTCCAGGCGAAACAAAAAATACATCCATTTCCAATAGACGTATAAATGCTATTCTGACATTTCATAAAAAGGCGCCTTTCAATGGGAAGAAAGAGACTATAGAATTCGTAACAGTTGGCTTTTTGTGTCTTTGATAGAGGAGAATAATAGAGGTTAAACAGTCCTTTTTCCTAACACCCTTTAAAGTGCGTCGATCGCTAACGTAGCTATTAGAATAGCTGTATGTCGAGTCGGCCTATTGGTAGGAGAAACATCAAAGAGCGAGCCGACAGTCTCGGCGGTTCGTTCTCTTTGATCTCTGCTCACCGCTGTTTTGTTACTTCGCTTTCCTCTTCTGCTATTTAAACTGCCCTTTCTTTACAATATCCATGCTCAATTGATTCGGGACAATACAGAATTGCATTACTACTATTCACATTGAAGCAATGAACAAATGCGATCCGGCCTGCGCCCCATTATTTTCGCAATTTTCTGCAAGGGAAACACAGAGAACAATGCGAGGGAGGACAAGAAGAGACTGCGAGAGAAGATGTCGGTGAGTATATACCGCTATCAGTTCATGCCCTGAATGCAAAAATTGATCTCGAAGCTGGATACCAACACCCAGGGACACTCCCTAACCCTCTGGGTATTAATCCAAAAGATCATGAAACTATTGGCGTTTTTTTTTTAAGGGACCTTGACACTTATCGACCCTCGCCTCAAACGCAAGACCTGCCAATTTTGCCAACTTCAAGAAACTCGTGCTTGCTTCGTGAAAGAGTCAATCTTTAATAAATAGATGAACCCCTAGGACAGACCTTCAATGTCTTTCTCAGAAGCACGCCGACATTAAAAATCCAATTAAATATTTAAATGTGTAATAAGGAATTTAAGCAGCCTTGAAGTGTGCCGAAACCCTCTCCGACTATTATCATTTCTTACACGAATCTTCCCCAACTCCACCCCACCTGAGTTCCATTAAGCCCATTTCATTTTCTTTATTACCAAATTTTGTTGGTAACAGTTAGCATTTCAACTTCATGTATATAACATCTTTATTTTCTTTACGAGTAGACTTCTGAAGATATCAATGTTTCATATAACTTTGCATCTTAAATTAAATAACACATCGTCATTATTAATTGAAGCAATTATAGCATCATTATGTTCCTTTTCATAAATTATACCAGTTCCGCATGTGAAAACGGGAAACTGGAATAAACTTTGAGGTACAAGGTAGAAAGACCACGGACCATTCGTGGCTCCTTTTCATGAAATGACATCCATTTGCAGATGTCATTAACCCCAACACAATCAAACAAACTGAAAATATTAGCCAAAAGAATATTATTAAACATATAAAGGGGGAAAGATACAGGGAGAAAAAAAGAGATCAAAATATCCAAGGAAGATGCGGCAGATTACTTAATTATTTTGTAACGGAAATTTTACGATAATTCTCAGTTTCTCACGAGATAATTATGAAATCGTCTCATCTCAAAGTTTTCCCACGACGTTTTAATTGTTACCCGTCATATCACTTTGATCACCTGCAAATACCTTCACAATATTCTACGATCGTGATTTTGGCGGGGCCCTTTGAAAGAATACCTGAAACATATCTCTTCGCTCTTTATTACTTTGCGATAATACCTATAACGTCATACCATTTATACCAGGTGGCGGGGTCCTTTGAATTGATACCTGAAAATAATTATCTCTTTCCCCCCTTTTTTAAAAAAGTTTCTGTGATCATAAACATACATGTGACACTGGCGGTACTTTTTAAAAGAATACCTGAAAACGTATCTCTTAACTCTTTATTACTCTGCGATAATACCTATAACTTCATACCATTTATACCAGGTGGCGTGGTCCTTTGAATTAATACCTGAAAATAATTATCTCTTTTCTCCTTTTTTTTAAATTTCTGTGGTCATGATCATACATGTGACACTGGCGGTGCTTTTTAAAAGAATACCTGAAAACGTATCTCTTTTCTACAACTCCACAATGATAATTAAGATTTCGAGATATTTGGCGGAACTCTTTGCATCAGTACCTGAAAAGAATTTCGTATCTCTTACCCCTTTCTTTCAAAACTTGTGATCATATACCTGTGACCCAAAACATATATTTACTTGTTCAACTCCACAATCATACCTAATCAATTATGTCCTATCGTTTTGCAGATCATTTAAATGCACGACTGAAAATAACAAGTAACTATGCACTCTTTGTACCTCCAAGATCATGATCATGATCATACCTGTGCATTTTCACATTTTGTAGGATCCTTTGATTAATACGTGAGAAATTGTAAAACCATATCCGTGATTCATTTCACAATAATTTGCTGGGGACCTTGGACCAGTACCTGAACACGTCTCTCTGTATTTGTGTTTATAAGTGCACCTTCATACCTTTGGTTTTGGAATCAGTTAGCGGGATCCTTTTAAATCAATACCTGAATATAGTCTCTTCTCCTTCGTAGCCCTAAGATTGTGATCACATTTGTAATTTGATTTAAACGAGTAAGGCGGGACCCTTTGAATCAATGCCTGAAAACATATATCTCTTTATTCTGTGCAACTCTATCATGATATCATCACACCTACGACTTCCTAAACATTAAATCAGTACCTGAGACATAATTATATATCTCTCTACTCCTCATAACTCCTCATCATACATGTAACCTCTTAAACTTTGGCGGAACCTTTGAATCAATTCCTGAAAACATATCTCTCTTTATTCCTTCCAATTAACTTCATGATCATTCACACCTCTAACTTCCTAACCAAAATCTGGTAAATGATTACATATATATCTCTTTACTCATCATAGCTCCTCATCATACATGTAACCTCTTAAACTTTTGCGGAACCTTTGAATCAAAACCTCAAAGCATCTCTCCTTTTTGATTCACATGCGACTTCCTAGCATTTGTCGTAACCATTTGAATCAAAACTTGTACACATGTAGCACATTTTGGTACAAATTAACAATTCAACCTTTTTCGAGGTGGGGATAAAGATCATGCATCATTCAGTCGAGTAGTGTAGATGATAATTTAGATTCCCGAGTATTTTGTATCATCAAATGGAAAAGATAATTCTAATTAGATCATAATTACAAAATCGTGTCAATGGCCCCTTGATAATGAAAGAACCAAAATTATAAATGTAACAAAACATAATCGTCATGGTTATGCACCACTTCAACAATATTTCAGGTTTATTCTAAACGCCAAATTTAATTTAAATTCAAAATAACTACTTTAAGGGAAATGATCCTTGTAAAAAAGAAATTGTTTTGAAGATATGAAATTTTTGCGAGCATTGTTTTTTCGGTTTGATAAGTACATATATTTAATGTCAAAGAGGTGTTTTTTATTCATAAAGTATGGGTTATTCCTACAAAATTTCGGGGAAAAATATTTTGTTTCATTGCGACCCACCATACGGAATATAATGCTATTAATACACGCATATAGAACCCCAATCTCGTGACCTCTGTACACGTCTATTGGTATTATTCAATCAACAATGTTGTTGTTTGTTTACTCCACTATCTTGTTTACAAACAAAACTATTTCACATCCACAATATCCCACTCCTGCCGCCATTGTAGAAATTCTAAGAAGGCCAGACTGTAAAATTCATAGTTCGCCTAAAAGACTGTTTTGACCGGCACTCTATCAAACGGGGTTCTGCACAGAACACATAGAAGTGGGTCATAAACCTAGTCAATCTTTAAACACAGTTTTGTATCAAAACCAAAGAGGAGATTTAAAGTAACTGTCATGACTCAGACAGTGACTTAAAATGTAAATATCGGCTCGTATTGAATCCTGAGGTCTTAGAAAACCTTTCGAACAAAAAGCAAGTAGCAGTAAACTAAAGGGAGGTGTGAATTAGCTATAATGCGCGCAAGTCCTTTGAAAATGGGATTAACTTGGGGTCCATGGAACTTTGATCGACTTGAATTGAGTGGATTAGTGAGAAACATAAAAACATTACGGTTCCTTCTTCTTGAAAAAGACGACATAAAGTGGGTTTTAAAGCATATAGGATATGTGTGATGTTACGTCGCGTTTCTATCTAGTTATTAGGTTTATATAGCATATAGAAACCTGGTGGTATTTAGTCCATAAACCCGATTCAATGAAGTTGGAAATCTAATTTAGAGCTTGGCTGATTTGGCCGAGTTTGAAAGCTTCACAATCATGTTTGAAGAGCCGCATACGAATAAGAAGGAGAATATTCTCCACGTAGAATTTGATATTCAATGGCATACCAAAGCCGAAATCGGGTGTATGCCTATCTGGTAATTTTGGTTGGGCAAGTTATACATGTATAATATGGAAATGCATGTACCTCAAACATCCTTGATCGTTAGATCGAATAAAAAAAAAACGCAATAACGCGGAATCCTCCTGAAATAATTAATTGATTAAAGTTCTGTATTCATAAAGTGATATGAAGTTCTAATACTCATACTTGATTAGTGATAAAGAAGACAGAACAACACAGTATAAAAATGCATTGTTTTAGCCAATTAAGACAATTAAAATGAAAGACTCACAAACCTCGTCAAAGGGGGAGTAGACATGGGGCAAGAAATTGATGTCGCATCGTCGTCGTCCACTTCGAGGCCATAACCGATTTCGACATCGCTGCTTCTCAGCCAGCTGAAGGCATTCACCGCTAGCTAGTGAGAAGAAAAAGAAAAAATATATATAAATATGAAAGCTTAAAATGTTGTCGATTATAAAATTATCTTTCCATTACTTTAAAGATGTACAATATTATACAATTTTCGAAATATAGACGTAAAGCATCAGTAAAGTATATCTCTGTAAAAAAAAGACAAAACATGACAAATGTAAGATTTAGATTTTGCCGATTACAGAATAATCTTTCCAAACTGCTCTCCCCAGGCCTCAGTTACTTTTAAAGATGTACTATATTATTCATTTTGTTTTAATGTAGACGTAAATAATCAATTAAAGTTTATCTGTAACAAAAAGGATTATAACTATTGATGGAATCATATATAGATTTATGTGCGCTTGCACATTGCATTGGAAAGAAGACATAAGGTTCATGAAAAACGTAAAGCATTATTGGTGTAGTCTGATGTTTTCATACCTGGATGTAATTCACTGAATGAAAAGTAGGCCTACTGGAACTTTTTAGCGTTCGACATGAAACGCGATTTCCAGTAAAGTAACAAGAGATTGAGGAGGAGGAAGTTTGCGGGAGATGGAGGCAAAGGCGTTACTTTTACGTTGAATTGTCATTCTGTCTACAATCAGTTCGTCTTCTATTCACATGATCTATATCATTTCGTCTTCTTATCATTTGGTATAATGGCTAATTAAGCTAATAGTCATTTGGTCTATTTCCATATGGTCTAATCTCCGATTATTCTACTACCCATAATGGTCTTTTGTTCATTTAGTCTAATTCCCTGTCTGGCTAATGCCCATTTCGTCTACCATCTATAAAGTCTAAAATTGATTTTATGATTAAATGACTATGAGAGAAATGAATATTTGACAAACTAGGAATAAGACCGCGACTGGAAATTAAACTCAATGAGCAATAGACCTAAACCACTTTTACAGAGATACAATGGGATACACATCGAATGCAGATAGGCAAATAATTATAGGTGATATTTGTGGACATGACGTACGTTGTCATGGTTACAACTTACAACGAGTATGGTCACGTGCTTCTCATATTTGGGGAACGTTACTCGGCCCTCGTTTTTGGTATCCTTTTTAAAAACCCAGAGTCGTTTACTCGAGATTACTTGTTCCTAACGACTAAACTGCTTAAAAACTTAATATTGTTAACTAGTTTTTATACAGTTTCCTTAGAGCAAGAAAGCCGTTACGTTGACCCATTTCGCCCTATACACCATAGAGTTAACGCCATTCCGACTCCAGGCAGACAACACTTATCATGATTATACTCGATGTTCGGCCCGCAAAGAAGCCCGTAACGATGACACAGATGAGAGCATGTGGGAGAAGATTTATGAGAGCGGGAGCAGCGAATTCTTGTTCAGCCGACCCGAATAAACGACAGGTATATCGACCGAGAAGTCAAGTCGAGTCAATTACAATCCCGTCCAGAACAAAAACCGTTTTTGTACAGCTTACATACAAGAAGAGGAAGAGATGAAATATATATTGCATAGCGTGGTACATCATACACGGGTCACGGTAGAAGTATGCGATGGAAAAACAAGAGCCGAATTAAATTGCCAATGAATTGGGGATTGGTTTTGAAACACATGTTTGTTCGTTTGAATTCAAGTGCATCAGTGATGTATGATACCTTGCTAAGAAGACTTCGTTTTCAAAAACATTGTAAACATTCTTCACTGTTAACAACATGTTTTCCTTAAAAATGTTGTGAATTACGATTATTGCTGAAATCTTTAATTGTCATAAATCATACTCATTAAACTAGTTTAGGTGAATTTCTCATTATGTTTCAACACAGTCATCATTTGATGAAAACCATAAACAAACGACCAAAATGTAATGATGCTTTCAATTGACTTACACCCTTTGGTGCAGAATTTATGTTGTTTAGCACATGGCCCAATTTTGCGGCGCTGTGTTGTGAATGACCTCAGAGTTTATATGTATGTTCATGTAAACACGGTTAACATGGTTAATGTGCGCCTTCGTAAATATGATACCACTATATGTTTCTTGATGCCTCTCTAATAGGTTTTTAAAGCTGAAAGAAAATGTATTATTTGAATTTCCCTCTTTAAAGATTGGAATACCTGTGCAACTAAAGGTCACACCGCACAAACCAAATGTAATTAGACAAGGTCTAGCATGTATTGAACAATTAACCACATACGTGTAATAACGGAAATGCTTAATGAACACGTGAGAACAAAATTGTAATTTTTTTTTTACTGAATATTTAGGCAAAGTCATTTTGAGTGCTAATTCTACAGCAAGTCTAGCTCATGACCACAGATTAAGCGAAGGTAATTATATAACTTAATTTGATTATTTAAAATCACATTTTCTATTTTTTAAAAATATTCTTTCATCTACATTTTGAGTATTCCGTATTTTTGTCGTAAACATTTTGATACCACATCTTTTCTTTGGTGTAGGCTAGATGCAAAAATGCCACGCTTATATTCTTGCAAGGTTATTGTATAACGGATTCACAGGCTGCACAGTTTATTTAAGTTTTAACATTAAAATTGTAATAATGATTTAAAAAAAAATATATTTTGTATTATCATGTTCTGTATGTATAGTTTTGTCATTATCATATCATTATTATCAATATTATCAATATGCGCCTTGAGCATTTGACTGTCAAGTGGAATTGGCGCCTTATAAATCATATGTATTATTAATATGTTATGCTTTCAGTCATCGCTTATTATGGTTGATGTTCATTATGTATATCTTAGTCTGTATTATGTATATCTTATTCTGAAGTTTTGTATAATATTAATTTGTACATGTATTCAAATATGTTATTCAGAGATTTATTTTCAACAAAATGGCCTGTCGGAGGGTCCCAAAAATTGAGGGGAAAAATGAATTTCAACATTAACCGTTGCCTTGATTAGTGATCTCATGACTACGGCTATTTGTTTCTTTTTCAAGTGGGTAGAAATGCCCTACCGACAACCCTGCAAAGTGGTAAGAATCACAAAGTGTATTCACCTTTCATACTTTAATTACCCCTAAAACGTGACGATTTAAATTAATGAGGTATTTTTGAAGGCCAATGGTAATGAAATTCGTTTTCTCCATTTCATCGTTGGCGCTCTATACGACATATTTTCTGGTAGGTCACACGGGGGAGTTTAGACACCCACTTTATAATACTGAAAGATATATTGAGAAAGTCATGACAATGAGGTCAATTACATCTAGCCTCTCTGCTTTCCGGGCGGAATGTGAACTCTGGATTGGGAAATATTAGTAATATAGCAGCAAATGTATTCACATGATATTATGACTCAGCTAAAGATCATTAATGGAACTATAGACTAATAAGTATTTGAGAATATAACCGAATTAATCGTGTTCATATGACATTGCGTTAATCTATTTCATGAGTTTTGTCTGGGGCTGTCATATTTTCACGGCAATCTGCTTACAATGACAGTCCTTCTTCCGCAAATAATTTGATAATGTTTGATGAAATTTAGTTTTTATGAGTTTATCATTCCGTTCTTGAAAAAAACAATTGTTCTATATATTAGCATATTTGTGATTCACTGTCTGAAAAATGATTATTTTTTTTCTTCAAATATTACTATTGTTATCTCAAAACTGTGTACTTATATGAATGCAGAAGAAATTCAAATCAAATCAAATCATATCAAATTGTCATTTATCAATTAATAACACCGAGTAAAAGATCTTAAAGTTAAACAATATGCAGAAATGATGGAAACACAAAATTGAAATGCCCGTTCACGTCTCGTCGATCGTCTAGTGTTACAAGCCAGGGCAACCCAACAGTATCCGGCTCATAATGTGAAATGATTCATCATGTTTTTCTCGAGCATCCGTATATATTTATTTACAAAAAAATCTTAATGGTAACATTGTGAAACGTGAAATAGCTGCTTAGCAACCTGTGTCCGCGGTATGACTTCCTGACGCAAAAACCCGAAGGACAATATCCAGGTAACCAAGCATCAGGGGCGGCTTCAGTGATCCCTTGTGGAGAGAAGGGGGGGGGGGGGGGAGAAGGGTCCAAAAATGTCCGAGAATTTCACGTGTGGTAGGCACAAGTTCGAAAAATGTCCGATATTTTGACATAGGGTGGGGCCCCAAGTCCGCAAAATGTCTGATATTCATTCCTATACGTGCCCTTAATGACTATAAAAAGGGACGGGGGCACAAGTCCGCAAAATGTCTGATATTCCTACGTGCCCTTAATGATTTTAAAAAGGGACGGGGGCACAAGTCCGCAAAATGTCTGATATTCCTACGTGCCCTTTATGACTGTAAAAAGGGGGCGGGGCGGCGCACAGGACAATTGTGCCCCCTTCTTACATCCGCATATGAACATGTTTACCAGCACATTGACCGCCAATGTGGGGTCACGTTTTACGTTTTCACGTTGACATTTAAACATCAAAATGACTTTCCTGTTTTTTATCCAACGTTTCGAATATCAAATGATGATCGAATATCCAATTTCCATCACCTTCTATAAATAGTTCGCTAACGACTCTTGAACAAGAGTGTTACTCATGGATCACCTTGGCAAGGTCTTGCCATCATACGTGATGTAGTCATATGTTTCCTATCTATCATGTGCTAATTTCAAAGAATTGTTTTTAATGATTTGTCCTTCTTGTTAAACCTCTATATGCCCTTGCAACATTACAGATATTGTTGTTCACGTGGGAATTGTATTCTTTTCCGGAAACTGTCATAAGTTCGCCGACATGCCATTGAAACGCGTTTTACCCCTTTACCTACTGGAACCGGGAGGTTCCTTTGATAAGTCAATGGGAATGAGATAATTCAGTAGTAAATGGGTTAATTGTAATACAAATGTCTATAGGATGTCGGTGAAATTGTACTCCTGACGGTTTCATCAGAGCCATCTATACACAGAGTTGGACCATAGACGTAATTACGTCTATGGTTGGACCAACTTGGTTTCACTGGGTCGCAACATGGCGTA